CATACAGGTCGAATAACATTGATTATTTTCTTTATATGCGATCATCAGTCACCTAAAAATTAGTAAGAAAGTAATAAGTAAAATATCAAAAAATACAATCCTACAAGAACTGAAGCGTTACATACATAAGGTTCCAAAAAAATGAAGCACACTTAATAGATATAGCTATTTTTAAAATATCTATCTAACGATGTCTTGGCATATGCTCAAATCTTCTTAATATTGGGCCGCAGAACCTCGCTTAAGCTAATATACGAATCGGATAGACCAATACTCTTTATTTTACCCTCATACTTAATTTATTCCTAATTTGCTTGAAGAAAATCATCTAGAGGATTTATTCTGAACGAGACGCTAACGTGAGTACTCACCTTCATCGCAAATACCCTAGGGTTAAAAAAACTGTATTTTCCGTTTCACGGTCGACCTTTTTTGTATTTTCAATACAACTTTCGACGCCTGATTGTAAAAAAAAATAGCATTTCTCTCTATTGCTCTTCGTGAGAACTTACTCATACCCACATAGACATTATTCTCAACTGTTCAGTTGGAAAATTCAAAAATGAGCTCTATTAAATCTAATTTTCAATGCCATTGCATTATGTGAAGTAGTATATGCACCATCGTTTTTCCGTTTGAAACGCTGCTCCTTTAAATTTAAGGTTCAATCATTTACTGCTTTTAGGAACACGCTCAATGAATTCCTCTAGAGCATTACCACTTTCAGTCCCGAGTACATGTTACTGATTGCTGTGATCTCTAAAGCACTTCTTTAATTATGAAAGAAGATTCGAGCAAATAATTATACGAACAATCGCTTCTTCTTCGAATCTATGAGGAGGTAACTCATGAAGTTACACTGGACCTAATCGTTGCGTAATAAAGTCTGTTGTTATATCATAACTTATCTGTCAGGTACCTTCATTTTTAGGACTAACATTATGTGCGTAAGATTAAACTTCTGAGGACCTAACGTCTATTCGTTAACCTAGTTATTCAGTTTAAAAATCCTTGATCTAAACATGATATTACTACATGCATTTCAGAAGAGAGTCTATAACAAGACATTCTGAATATAGTAACTGACCTTTTTTTTTAATTAATCTATTCGAATATTATTCCGTCGACCTGCCATTCATATTTTCGGCATATAGCATTGATTTTTTTAGACCACAATCGTCTCCTATATCATTATAAGCAGACTAAAGTTTATGACATTTTAACTCAACGCGGTCAAACCGCTTTAATCTCAAGTGTCCAAACGTTTAAATAGGAATAAAACGACAGAAATAGAGAACACAGCTTCCCTATTCTCTATTCGTAGTCAACTGTCGTAAAAACCGTAACTTTTGCCCAAAATTAAAAAAACATTTAGCTTATGACAATGAGTTTGCTTCAGCGCTAAAATAATTGAAGATTATTTACTGTATTGCAAAACTATATTCAGCTCCAAGATAAAATCGCAACCAACTTCAAAGTCTTTTTAATAAAATTTATACTTAACCTTCAATCACGTTTCAATCATATTTAAGTTCTACAATTTTAAATTCAACTGATCCAATCCGTTATAGCAGGTACCGATATAAACGATATCACTCACTAACAGTGCTCGGACAATTCTGCGGCATCTTGAGACAAGTTATCCCCCGACTAATTAGCTCAAAATTAAGTTTTTTTGGATAGCATTGACCATTTTTTAAGAACATTTCTTTGGTTTTTATAAATCATATTTAATATGATTCGTGGCATTTCGAACCTTCCAACTCTCAGATGTGACCTGGTTTATGATGCTGTGATCTGGCCACGATTTGGTACACTTACAGCTCAAACAAAGAGTACCTGCTCATAAGTTACACTCAGCCTAGAAACCGCGTTTAATTAAAGTATTCTACTGCATATAAAACTTCGATAGCCCTCAAATATCGTCATTTACACATCGGAGTGATCTTAGCATAAAAATTGGAACACAAGCCACGTTATCAAAGTTCATGTCTCATCTTAAATTTCGACACCTTAGTCCCATTTTCCGATATAATTGCACATCATCCGATCATCGACATATGGGAGGAGGGTGTTCTATTTCTAGTGGCCGATGTAAGTTAATATCAACCGATATCGGTGATAGCTTCGTGGGTAACTTGTCTGCTCATCATCTGGAACACGTTGTGGTCTGTACTTAAACGCAGGCATAGACACACTTCAATTCATGCTGATAGTCACCCCTATGATGAAATACTTAATGGCGATACCGAGTGCAAAACTCCAAACATACCATTGATATCCACAATGGCTTAAAAGCTTTTAACCACCACGTTAAGTTGCTTAGCGAAATAACAAAAAAAAATCGGCAGTAATAGACGTCCAAGGAAGGTTGTTTTTTCTGGTTAAAAATCCGCTTTAACGCTAAAGTCCGTACACATGCGAAGCAAGAAGTTATATTTAATGATCTAAACAATTGTGTCTCGTTTTATTAGTGGCGCTGCGGCAAAAGCAGCCTCACATAATCGGTTAATGAAAGCCGGATGCCACTTACCATAAGGTACGTTTTTGACCGCTCAAGCAGATAAGAATGAGAACATAGAAGGAAGACTTTCAGAGGCGAACAACCTAGAAACATTACGTCAGTATAAAAAAACACGAGGATGGGTTGAAGAACTCGTGAGGAGAAGGATTTACTGGCCTTGATCTTGTGTGCAGCACCTCGTAGCTTTGTTGTCTGCATTGAGACCGTAAGATGTAGTTATCTGGAGCAACTTAACATCACGATTTAGCATTGATTGGATTTTAGTAGACCGTTGGCTGAGGTCAAATGACATATAATGTACTAATCTTTGTCACTTCGAACGTGCTATATACCAAGCAACCATACTTTGGTATCAAATATTCACATTCACCCACACACATAGCATGACAAATGAAATGAACTGGCTACCAAGACAGCGCGTGTCGCATCAAATAAGGTAAAGTCCTTTATTAAGAATACATGGTAGCTCCAGCACGTTCATTCACTATTCGTGTGATTTACTTTTATTATCATACGATGTCGCCCCACCACCTGCATCATTTAAACTATTGCTAAAAACAGAAACCACACAATTTGAATTGTACATTAGACTGTTAAAAGCACAACAAACTTTAAAATGTATTAAATTTTAAACTACGCGCCGCTAAAGGATGAAGTAAATACTCCTTTATACTATGATTAATAAACTGGCACTTTAGTGCAAATCTTTTGATAACATATTTCATATTGAAATAAATGTGCGATAATTCGTAAGCATTCCTGTGAATCCTTTTCTACGTTGCTATATATTACACTTCTCTAAAAACTAGTGCTCTGTTTTTTTAGTTATATACTATATATCTTACATATATAAGCGGTCAGCCACCCATTCAGATAATTAAAACTCAGTTTTTATTTTCGCGGAAGTACGGAATAGAACATCCATACAGTACTACAGTCTCCACAGTAAACGGTTATTAGGATGTGACTACCGTATTATTAAAAGGCTAAAACGTTGAGTTCTTCTTCTCTGGCCACCTTTTTTAATGAAATATATGGACCTGAGTATATTTTATACTTAAGTACTTTACTTAACCACCAAGAAAAAATAATTACAAACCTTCTTAACTGAAGGTTATAGCCGCAGGTAAATATTATACGTACATATGTATGATAAATTTTTTTCCCTATCTTAATACTTAACAACTTTGGCCCAAACTTTGCCCTGGGATTCTGTCCTGATTGCTGCAGAAGTCTCGCAGAAACCGTATTAGAAAGGAAGTACTTTGGATTTTTTGTACTAGTCTAAACGTCTGATCTTGATGTTATTTAAAAACGGTCTGACAAAGAAGAAAATCAACTTAACAATTAGAGTACAATATTACCTTCCCTTGTTGTGGATGAATGTTGTAATTACAACAATCTTACCTGAGTTGTTGAGTCTTGAGCGATTTTTGTCTACGAATCTATCTTGTATAGCTATACACTACTATACTGCTAATTTTCGCCGTAATTTGTTATGTTTAAAACAGAAAATGGCTAAATCTTTATATGCTCACTAAAATTTATATATATATATATATATATATATATATATATATATATATATATATAAGGTAGGTATTCACTCAACTCTCCAGAATGGTAAGATGCAAACGTGTAAGCACACGATATTTGTCGACAAAATTTGGAGGCACGTTTACCTGTTCAGCAGATCTCTTTCAAGCGCTAGTATTTTGCAGCAACACTTTGTGTAACAGTGCGTGAAAGCATTCCTTGCCTAACATATGGAGATCTAAAAAGTAATAGACTTTTAAACGTCTCATTACAGAAAAAAACAAAACCACAAAAATTATGGCATTTCATAAAAATAAACTATACAAATAAATGTATTTTTTGAGTTGGGGAGAGTGTTTGTTGAGAATGTCCTCACACCTTTCAGTCAATCCTTCAGGAAATAAATGCGAAAGACCAATTCAATAATCAGCTTTCCCATTGCGTTCGACCTTAAAATGATTTATCTTCAAATCAAGTATTGAAGCTTAAGTAAATCGTGTGGTAATATTTTTAACTTAAAGAGTAAACGGGTAGCCGACGCCACGAAAATAAGTGGTTTTGAATATATTATGGATGAAAACTAAATACTGCTGTATATAAGAATCCACCAGCGTAAATTGTTCGAGCAAGTTATATGGTTAGATATAGATCTATTTAATGAAGATGGCTATCTTCATTGGCGAATCAACTTGACGAATACTTAATCTTAAAATCTGAAAAGCGAGTTAAAGAAAATTGACTCCTTAGCGGTGAAATATAAAAGTGAAATTTCGACCCACATATAATAATAATCATAATAGAAAGATTAATAGTAGCAGCTATAGCAGTGTTTCTTACGAATTATATAAGGTTGGTGATATAATATTGGCCATTCTATATGTTTTTTACATGAAAAGTGAGCTGAAAAAGCAAAAAATTACAACTATTTTGTAGAGGCACATTTCACCGTTTATTAGTTCACTATCGGTAAAAGCATTTACGTTGGATGGTGTTGTGATCGGTCCCATAGATAAAACACGCTTCACTCTTTGTATAGGTGGTATTCGATCCCACAAACCTGCAGAACTTTGGCCACTCTATTTACTATGGTATAATATACTATGAACTAGTATAGTATCCCAAGTCATCTTATTATTCGAATGGGAAATATATCTTGCATATGGATGCTATTATTATGTTCGAATGGGAGCTGATTATTGCGTGTTTACGCAATGTTCTTACCACTTCTTCAAAACGAATTTCTGGATAAGGGATTAGGCAGCGTATAATTGTCATTTGAAAAAGGCTGTCATTATACTCTTTAGACCCCGCCTGATGGACTATTGACACTGGAGTGTCCCTTTGCTACAAGTCCTTTAATACCATCCAGAGTAATGATTTCACCCGACTGGAAAAATTCAGTAGCCCCCAGAACACCAGCAACGGCGGGTAAGCCGTACTCCCGAGCAACTACCGCCCCGTGGGACAGCGTGCCTCCGATCTCAGTTACTACTCCAGCCAACAACGGAAAATATGGTGTCCACCCTAGAAAAAGTAGGCAAATTGAGAAAAAAACCGATTAATTTAAATTAGGCTTTGCAGAATGTTTTCTGGTTTCTTTACCATTAAACGTCAACATTGCAACAATAAGTTAATGAAATATCATCGTATGATCGGTGCATCTCATGCGACAATAAATGCGACACGTTAAGAACAATGAGAAGTAAGGCGGTTGCCGCCCACTGGTAAGTTTTTATAACAAACACCCCAGTCTCCTTTACTGTTGAGTAATAAACTCTATATAAATAAGCAGAGCATAATAACTGTGCTTAAGGCGAGATAATTTCTATTATTCACTGCGTATCGAGAAAAGTTACAAAAAACGGACAGACTATGAAAAAGATCATTTTCAAAGTTCCATTGGTTAGAACATTCTACCTGTGTCAGTAGCTCTTGTGACGAGAATATCGCCTTTGCATATAAGATGCGCTTCAGTCTGAAAATGAGTCACGATTCGGGCTACACCAACTACGACTCCTTCGCTAACAGGCATCCCCGGCAGACTAGTCGCCCCTTTTGGTATCGATACTACATCCAATCCTATCTGCAAAAGAAAGTAAGTCTGATAAATGATAAATTCTGTCTGCTATAAAGTAAAGCAAGTATGCGACTAAGAAAACCAAAGCTAAAGTAACTCACTGGTTTCGGTATACCGCTACTGATCACCTTCACTTTCAGTTTATCGAGCTGTTCGTGGAGCCTTCTACGCCGTATCGTTCTAAATAGGAGAATAAGGGTAATTAATTAATTTGGGTTTTACAAAAAAGCAACTAAGATTATCTTTGTTCGCTAAACCAGTTACACTAATTAATACTCCCCTACATAGGCATGTTTTTTTGTTTGAGATCCTCTGTTAATCCACACTAGTCATAGAAAGGCTCGTTGGATGACAAGACACTGTGGATGCTACAACCTCACGGGTTGAAACTGCCGCAATTATAGAAATTATTATTTATTTGCAATTATAATTTGCGTTGCAAACAATCAGATAATTACGATTGAACTGAACGGATTTTTATTTGAAACAATTGAATGTTAAAAATTTATTAAGGTTATCTAGGCTCGTTAAATTTAGTGTTATAAAAAGTGATTAAACTCAACCTAAAATTTTACGTCAAACTACTTCTAATTTTTTATCCCACGATGAAGACTCTTTACAGTAGTTTGTGTAATCGTATGGTATATATATATATATATATATATATATATATATATATATATATAATAATAATGGCACATAGTATGAAACGACTGTATGCTACTACTATGGACGTAAAAAAGTGTGTCGTTTTCGCGTTTATCTATTGAGGTCTAAACAAATAGAGCAGCTAGGGAATAAAATCGTTCAGAAAAAGGACAAACCGTGACAAAAGACTCGGATTGCGCGTTGTGATTAAGCGATAAGCTTCGTCTACGGTAAGAAAGAAGACAAGCTGGGCATCGGGAATTCTGCCTTCAGCTTGGAGTTGTTGCCCCAATCGTCGTAACGCCAATCTGATTTGATGTATGCACTTGACAAGGCACGATTTCCCAACCTCACGAGCATATATAGCATACTGGGCTCGGGGTATTAGATAGTGGAGCATTTTTCTGGAAGAGGCAGTACGCAGCTGTATTTTTAGAGGTTTTTAGTCAAATCCTAGAGGTTTTATAATATCAGAAATAATGTAGGCGAATGAAATGCGCTATCTTTGGCTAGGTTGTATTTCCCTAAAGTGACACCAAATCCTTCAGATTTTCTATCTCATTTTATAAAGTAAGCTTTTTCAGCATTTTGACGAATTTAAAACTAGTACCGTTGGTAGTCTAAATTAGTCCATGCGAAATTCAACCGGGCTTTCAGAAAAGTGCGAGATTCATTAAGCAACTATATGTATATTTCATTATTTTCTGTTGAACCCTATCGATGTATAAACACGAGCTTAGAAAACATAATGCAATCGACAGCAAGTTATTAAAAAAACCCACGATGGGTTTTTCGTATTGTGTCACCTATTGAACCCCCTGGACGCAAACCTTTGTACGAACGTCGGCTGTCGTTCGAGGTCATCCACTGTAAAAGATTCTCTTTCCGTATTTTTGATTGCACCGGCACGAACATTAGCTTGAAGTGTGTATATTAAAGGTGTTGGATCGATATCCCAAGTCTTAGATAAAACGTCCAGTTCCTTGTAACATCGATGGCCATGTCTAGCTTGAAACGTTCTAAATTTTTTAGCCACTTCACAGTCATCTGTAGTTAGAAACTTGACAGCATCGTCTGGTGTCATGTCCATAAATCCTGCTGCCCTTGGTTCATTGCGGATATCTGATGCGAGTTTCTAGATGACACAAGAATGCATAATAGTATCAACGATCTCGGGAGTCGACTGCAATCATTATCCTTCTACTCCTGTATATCTGAGGTATAGTTTCGAAATCCAGAATATCAAAAATTGTTAACAGGAGCGTCAGTATACGAACAAATTAAGCATATATGTACTATAACTTCTTCTACTTGTAGCATATCAGTGTGGGTCGCCAGTCGTTTGCTTAGTCGAGCCGATGCTTAGCGGCAGTACGGATCGCAAAACTCAAAGCATTATTTAGTATCTAAGTAATGTTAACGTAAACCGAAACAAAAGCTTTTAAATTGGGCGCCTAAATAAACTTTACCATTGAACTGATGAGCTCTTCTCTTATTGAGCAAAGACACTTCCATAAACAAGGACATATTTTTTCTATCTGCCTAATAAATGTATTGTTACTCAAGAGAAATATCTTTTCGTATCTCTCGAACTCCTTGTTAAGTAACATAATTATCTGAGTTCAAGTAATCCCACTGTAAATATTTTAAAATATTTTGTAACGTCGGTAATACATTTTTGAAAATATTGCACTTGAACAAATATGACAAAGAACTTGGTTGAATAATAAATGCTTCACATTTTCATTTAATCGAAGACACGCTGTTTTACTAACTTTTGAATTTAACAGTAGTTTTGTGTATGTTTAACGGTTCTGTCATGCACAGTGTCGGCAGAGACGCTACAACAACCAGCTTCTTTTTGTTTCTTTCGGTTAGTCCATATGACAGGTAACATCCTTAAATTTGTATACCTTACTGAGTATAAACGGGCCTTTATTGCTCAATGGCTCATATTTTTGGCCGATGTCTAATTGTTTGGCGGCTCCCTTTCTACAAATCCTACTACTTCGCCGCATTCTAATTGAAAACGTAGCAGTCAACAACAGGTTGCACCCTCCAAGGGTAAACAGCGGTTTCCAAACTTTGAAAACCAACGTTCAAAAAGCATTTTCTACATACACAGTCTCTTGCTCACGGCACATTATATTTTCTCAACTCCTTTGGACAGGGCCTAAGCTTGTCGGAAGGACAGCAGGGACGTTTTTGTTTCATTTGGCACCTTTATCTTTTGAGCCCTATTAGGAGAAAATCTTAGGTTTCTTTTAGTACGAATAAATGTGTTCTGATCGATAAGGCCAGAGGTTTTCGAATCGTATACTTCACTGAAGGACGTATTTGGAGGTGCGCTTTAGAGGTTACCGTTCATATATTAAGCACATATATTCTAACTCACTAATTTTTATAATCACAACTACACGTACTTATTTAGTATTATTATGTAGGTAGTATCATGTTTGTAGCTTATTTAGTATTCAGTATATATGTATACAGTAGTTCAAAGGTAATTATTCATATGATACTAACCATAAGTTCTTTCGGAATTTCGGCGCTTTCGACTTCATAGTTTGAGCGCAGTAGTTTCGATAAAAGTACCATTGATTCAGCACTTGCTTCCTTTTCGCCCTGGCTCTTTTTAATGATGTTTAGGATTAGCGTATTCAACATAGTCGATGGAAGAACGCATAAATTAAGTAATTCCATGCTATCCTTGACATGGAAAAGTTGTCGCACTGTACTGAGCAGGATCGAAAGAGAATCATTATGCTGCGAGACTTCAATCTTTGCATGCTCTGAATAATTCTCCGCTCTACGTACTACAGCTTTGATGTTACACAGCGTCTGTAATGTGGCGAAATGGTGTCAGCTTAAACAGAAGTAACTGGAAATCCTAAAATCTCAATCAGTGTCAGGGTAAAAATAGAAAAAGAAATTAAATAAATTTCCCAGTTCTAGTTTCAGCTCCGGTTGTAAAAGTAATCCCGTGCATTCACAGTATAACACTAACGAGAAGCTATCTACGTTTACCTTCAGTAAAAAGGTGCCCATTTTTAACATGTCATTTTTGGAAAAGTTCTTTTCATAGAATATTCCCTTTTTCATTTCTTCATCTTTGTTGAGGTCAAATCCGTACAATGTGTATTGCAAGGTTTCTTGGCCGGATTCGGTTCGCCCTAACGGGTTCTGTAAATTTTGAGAAATGATATTTATCGTTAATTGGACTACTCATAAATAATAAGATTACTTTTTCTATAAATGAGCGGTATTTGGACGTATTAAGGAGCAATTCAGTAAAATAGAATAATGTTCTGAAGTTAAAGTCCGTTTGCGTCGACTGACGATGAGGTGATAATGCTAGACAAGTACAAAAAGGTCAACGAACATTGTGTACCCAAACCTGTCTCTAATGAAAGGTGTGACTACGGTTGTATTGAACGTTGTTTTTCATATTAAAACAAAACAAGCGTAATATGACATCGAATAACTTGACAAGAATGCCACCTTCAAAATAACTTACATGAGAGAAATTTATGAAATTTCTTTTTCCAATATTGCTGCATATGCATTGTGCGTACGGTGTTGGTTCTAGTAGACCAGGAAATAGATCGTTCGCCCATATTTTTCCGAAGACGTCAAGATAAATATGGTTCAAAATTACAATGCACATTGGCGACATCACCCCCGGTGATATCTCGCTGAAATTTGTATTACACACAAGAAGACGAAACAACAATTTCATATTACGCTTTTAGCTTTGATATTCTGTATGCTAAATACTACTCTGACGAGTACTCTATAAGCAATTTTAATTACAGAAACATGCTTCAAAATTTTACTTACAGGATGTAAGTCCTAATAAAAAATGTCAGATTTTTTACGGTCAAGTTACGACCAAAAAGTTTACTTGGGTGCTAATTTTGGTGAAAAAAAAGGGTTAACTTATACTAGTTCAATCTACGCATGTACGAGTCGGGTTGTATTCGACAGAAGCTATATGGGTTACTTTATTTGTTCTATCTGAGCTAAAATTTTATTACTACTAAAGCTTTAGAATTTACGAAATGCACATAGGTTTAAAAAAATAGTTAGGCTTGCGCAACTGGATTTTCTCTTTTGTTAGGTGTCAAAAAGGGGGGGGTCTATAAGACAAGTATTTTGGTAGTTTGGTATTTGGACATTTTCTACTGTAGTCTCATCTGACCTCAAGCTACATTTTCAAAGGCAAACTGGCGGAAAGTAACGTTTTGTGACACAACTGAATTACATGATTATCTTGGCGGCTAAAATGGGCCAGAGTGAGGTGGGACTAAACAGGCCAGTGCATATGTAGAGTATGAAATCGGATGCTAATTTTACAGAACAATAAAAGAACTAGACAGCCTTAGAGTTCAACTCGGCTTGATCGAAATGCGTATATACGCAGGGTTAGACCAACGTATCGTGGCTCCGTCGTGCCTGTGCATGGGCCTATATTTCTCGGTGCGCGGCAGGACTTCATCACAGTGGCTTCAGTAGCCTACCAGTTGCTCAAATAGCCTCTTTACTTCTATTATATAGATATATATATATATATATATATTGCAGCAACGACAACGTTCGACCACTGGAGACTGGTTGAACGTTCGGCTTATGATCTGCCCATAGCAGGCTAGAGCCGGAGATTAGTTTATTTCTTTTATATATACATATATTTTTATATACGATTTATACGTTAATACATATTATACTTACTCGAGATTTCCTCGGGCGAAAATTTCCTGATTTGTACAAACGAAACTATTTAAGTCGTGTTGTATTTCAAAGTCGCTTTCACGAAAGACTGAGGTCACTGGCCTCGACTGTAGAAGAACTACGTCTCCATTTACGATAGCCCATTCGATATCTCGCGGGGTGTCAGTCAACTCTGTTAACTGCCACGATCATGTAATACGGATCGTACAAATATATTATTTTAACATTCTTAGCACGATAATTAGGATGTCTCAAGTTAGCTTATTTTCCTTAGTAAAAATTTGCTCCGAGACTTGTGTAAAACAGGTATGCAGTATGTTCACATTTAGATTTGACTACACGGTGATTTGACTGGACATTGACTCATGCAAAATCCCTTCCCATCATCATCATCTGCTTCTCATAGGGAATAAAAAACTATATTGTTAGTTGAATTAACTTGACGTTGGATAATGGTAATTTATCAATACACGATTTGAGGTTGTTAGATACAGTTAACACCACGTCCTGGTGGACATACTCGATACGACTAAGCTTCTATAATTTCTCCTTCGTGCCGAAAGTAGCTAACCTTTACTCCAATAGCGGCAAGACGAATCGTTTGTTCATCTGTCAGACAGTACGTCTGCATTTTATCTGAGGATACAGTCATTTCTGCAACTCCTTTGCCGTTGTTGGATTCAACGATCATCCTGTCCTTCTTTCCACACTGCAAATGGTCCAACATACTTTGTTCCGAAATGATGATTCAGTGAATATTATAACCGTATCTAGTTATTTTTTTCCATGTATGCATTAGTGGGGCGTGACCTTGGTCACGATAGCTGGCTCTTCAACTGTCACGCCGGAGGCCTATGGTTTAAGTCGCAAGACAATCTAAAGCTCATAACTTCACTGTGTGAGATTTAATAAAAAAGTTAATCCGATAACTGGAAGCTCACAGCTTACCACTTTGTCGAGCAATTCGACTGAAGGGTATTGCCCATTCGTTGCGCCGACAAGTGGTGCATACTTTAGAGTGTACGTGTCAGGTTCTATTGCAGCAGATACAACAGATTCACCGAGTCCGAAATTACCAGTAATTACAATTCGGTCGGGGTGGCACGAAACGGGATCACAAGTGAGCATAACGCCTGCACTTTCGGCTCTTGCCATTTCCTGCACTACGACAGCCATTGGCGTATTCAAACTCTGGCCATATTGTTGCTTGTAGATAATCGCACTCAGGGAGAACTGTGACGCCCAACATTTCACGATGGCATCAAGCAGATTCTTCCTCCCAGATATCCCGAGAAAAGTAGACATTTGTCCAGCTGCAGACATTTCTTCCGAATCTTCTTCAACAGCTGAAGATCGCACTGCAAAGCGTCTATTTTCCCATTCATCTTCGAACGACTGCTTTAATTTTTCCAACAGCTGGAAGGTATATTTTAAGCTTAAAGTAGAAGACATCAACCCTGCAGGCTTTGGTAGGGTACAGAAACTTGCGTACGTTACGATGTCGCTTATTGATATTATGTGCTCAAAAACTGAACACAGTCGTTCAGCTTCGAGAAACTACACCTATTTTATACTACTATACTGAGTTGGAATTTAAACCTAAACAGAGCAGTACTAATTGTTATAACGTTTAGCCAACTGTGGAAGCTGCTATATAATGGAAACGCTGTGTCAGAGAAAAACACTTTATGGAAAGTATACGCAGTTTTTACTAGGTATAAATATATATATATATATATATGCGAACCAATTGTTCGAGAGAAACGGGCATCCCAACTTTAGTGATTTTCGCTACGCATCTCTTTGAAGCTGAGGTAAGGCACGACAGATCTGTCGAGTATGTCCAGTCATCTAAAGCCTTCTGAAGCTCTGTTATAGCGCCTGTTACTTCCGGCAGAACAACGAAAGTCTTATACGCCTCCGTGGTAAGAACGATGGCCCAAGGCACCGAAAATGCGATGGCCTATAATTTGCAAATATGTTTACCAGTCATTTAAAATTTACAGCATCTTAAATATAATGATAAGTAGATTACCATGATAATTACGGAAAAAACACAACTCACCTAAATATATAAACCGACTTAAAAAACTGTTGTACATGCGTTTCTTGAAAGGAAATATTTGAGTATATTTCTATTTATAGCTTAAACAGTGACTGCATTCGTTGCGATTAGTCTGCATGACAAAAGTTAATGGTTAACACTCGGAGAGCTTAGAACCGTAACAAAGCTGCGTAACTTCTCGTTGTTTTCATGAAGGTACTGTGAGATAGACGCCAGCACAGCCAGAGATGAACCTTTGCCTCCTGTAAGATCTGGCCTACGACAAGCCTCTTCCATTATGTTCAGAATTTGCGTTCCTTCACACATGGAATCTTCTAGCAACGCGTTTCTATAATACAAAGCGCAATTTCAATGTTAATTTTCTTAATTATACAACTCTTCGAACTGACATAACGTAAAATTTCCATCTTAACATACATAGATTTATGACTCACGTAATTAGCTTTTCCGGAGGTAGTACATATGCTCCGGAAATTTTGAAGGTAACTCCGTACACACTGTGTTCTTCCGCCGTACCTCGTGTCAGTTTCCCCTCGAAATCGCTTACTGACCAAGCGTCGAGCGCGGTGGCATTTAAAGTGCTAATATCGGCTGACTGCCCTTTAGGCGATACGTAAATGGTGTGGGGATAATTCCTGGAGCGATAAACTAAATTTAAATTGCAGAAAAAATTGAAACATTAGTTTGTAGTGCCTAATGAATCGTATTTAACTGCAGTCAACCGTTTCGTGTAATGTAGGCTCTAGAAAAAGTTTTTACATAGAAGGATGCTTGTGAACCGCATCATTGCTTATTAGAATTTCAAACGCTTATTTTATAATGTACATATGACGTAGCTAAGGCCTATAGAATGATGTACGCCACATTTTAAGGCGGTGAGTGAACCGCAATGGGGCCATGAATACCGGTGTTGAATGTGAATGAGACCAGCGATAGATTTTGAGCCGAGCTTCTCTGAAAGCGTCCTTTGAAAATAGGTCCACCGAAGAAAGTCGGATGAAAGCAATATCCATAGCATTTCCCGCCTGTTGATTCCATGAGATGAAATACGGTGCCGTTCTAAACAAGATAAGTATTAAAACCAATTTATCTTCATGGTTACTTTACTGCGAGTATTTTTCAACAGTCTTCATAGTTTCCAAAGTAATGAAGTAGTCGACCAAATATTTCCACTCCTTGCATGACATATCCGAATTTCACTAGAAAATATTTAATAAACGCTCGACCATATCTACGTAGATCCCGCAATATAAAAAGACTTCACTACTAAAGTTTACAGATTTGACTTACTGAACATTTCGAAAACATTGACATATGGGCGGTCCATTCTTCGTGACTCTTTCTCAAATATTAATGCTTGTAATAACTAAAAATAATAGTGCTAATAGACTTCAGAGTATTTCCATACGATAAGTGTAAGCAACTAAATATAAGAAAAGGGTATAAGGATTAATACAAGGTTCGTCTCTACTAATATAAATAAAATTGGCAAAAATACTTTACTACTGGTAGAGAACCGACACATTTTATCAAAAAATTCAAGTTTGGAAATGTGTTCTTGAGATTGACCTTCTCCCCAGTGAAGTCGGTACTTTTTTACTTCAATTCTGTAAGAACAAGTTTTTTTTTTTTTAATTTTTAAGAGCCCCTTAGTTACACACTCTTTGTATATTTATTAAAACGTTTTACCAGAAAATCCGTCTAAAGGTGTACAGGTCATCAACGCTAGATAATCATTGTCTGTTTCCAATTGTTACATACCGTTTCGATTCGGAAAATCGAGTTATTGAGTAATACAAGTAATTATGTCAATGGCTAACATAACTGGGCGCTCTATATTTGACTTGCTCACATCCAATGGAGTTAATAAGGAAAACGATAAACAATACAACATTTATTCATTAGAAGTATCAGATGTGTTATTAAAAACAGCTTTAAACATAACTGGAAAACTATCTTGCCTACCGCTCCGTATCCGCAATAGTGGCGGATGCCTTGAAGCAGATTTGATTTTCCCAGCAGCTTCAGCCGAGACCCAAACAAGAGTAGCTCGTTGCGTTCGCCATCAAGGGTGAGTTCACAGAACCAAGATCCGCTTTGTATGTAGGCTTGAATATTGTGGCAGCATCTTCAAAATAGGTAAGTTATTACTGATAAACAATTATTAATGACGTGCACACTAGTATTTTGACACTGTTACAACTTATCAAAATACTACAGCTATCGATTTTCTATAGACTGTTAAATTAAACGAAAGAAGGAAGCGGTAAAATCAAATCTATGACTGATACGAAATCATTCTTTCAATCCGTTTGCATATTCTCTATTTTCAAATCTTGTTCATTTGAAATAACTAATAAATTGTTTAAATAAGTTGATCCTCAACAACTGGTTAAATCGCTAAACTGGCTTCACTCCATAAAATACATTTGAAAACCATTTTTGTAAATGTTTGGTTGAATTCATTCTATCCAACCAAAGCTAATTACTTGTCCCTATTATTAACCAGATAACTTACTCTGCTATGCAGAACTTCGCTTTTTCGTGATTACTGTGTTCTTCTAGCTCCACTTCGTACCTTCGGGCAAGCATGGAGGGGGAACATTGCTTGGGCAGTTCGAACGGGTGACTCATGGACGAAATGCGGGCACCCAATTTCACGTGCACTCTATCTTTCGAGTTCGCTTGTGCAAGATTTGTATCGATCATTACAGCATTAATAGCCACCCTCCAGAAACGCAATGGTCCATGACACTCGAGACGAACTCCCCCAGCACTATACACACGCGTGATTGCTGAAATATATGTACATACTTTACAAATGTTCATGGGAGATGGTGCTACATTTTTCAAAATATTATAAACCTTAACTTCCCTAAATAGCTCGCTGTTTATGTGCGAATATTTCTAACGATGCTCAGAGAAAAGCAAATATAGCATGAACCGTCGCTAAAAACAGCTTTCATCGAACTTGGTATCATTCAATGGCATATATTGAGCCGAATATTATAGCGTTATGCAGAACGTACCATTGCTGTGATCCTTGTAACATCGCTCGTGTAGGACTAGATTACGCCCTCCGAACTTCACTCGCGCCCAAACTATTGCAAAACCGTCTGGAACACGCTCGAAAAACACCTGCACGAAGTCACCTCTCGATCTATCAACGCCGAACACGTGCTGCCAATCTCGACGCTTCAATATGTACACAATAATGTAAACTTCATTGAAAGTAAACAACAAAATAAAAAGCACTATTATACGTAATTGGGTTCTATTTACATGCACATCTGAAGTATAGATACACTCTACTGCATATCGATGTGCATATCGTTAATTCAGTTTCACTTTAATTAACATGAAATGCGTAATACATAAAGAGCCTTAAAGAACTCTATGCCTATATGAATATACTTATCTCTAGATACGTGGGAACACATTTCCTAATGCGCGGTCCCGAGCTGAAAAGGCATCAGAGCCTTATCCTTTCGAAACAGCTATGACTATAATATACTTACTTATTATTAGTCTGAAAGGAAGTGCAATAGCGGCAGGTAATGCAGTGAACCTATTTAGGAGTTTAAAATGAGGATTTCTCGCGCCAACAAGTTATTGATATTTGCATAAGTAGCAGCTTACCGCTGTATGTAGAACATGACACACTAAGATGATCTGCGTTCTTAGAAATGTATATTAACCCAATTTTTATCAGACATTAAAACAGTTATGAGCCGATAAAAAATGTGCTATTTCTGGCTTTGCTCAACGTTTCTTTATGTATTAGATATTTCATTCATTTTTGAAAGCGCGCCACAGCGTCCTACACCGGCGCTACTTGTCGTCTCATGAGATTCGTATCATATGTTCATTTACGATATGGCGGTATTAGCTCTTTGTCAACATAAACTCGCTCATGACTTACCTCGGATAAATCTCCGGCAGGTCCCTCCGTGCTCCATTCATATTCTGGGTATATGGCGTTGATTTTCTCTGGATCACTATGACCACTAGAAGGGTAATACGGAAAATGCACTGGAAGGAGCTGCAATTGCTCATGGGCAAATCGCTTTAGTTTCGCGTGTCGGATTATCTGGAAAACAAAAAGAGGCCATAATTTCATCTGATGCTTATCACTGTTTGCCCACGTGGCAATAATAGTTGCAATTGTAAACTTTAAACTGCTTTATGTTTATATTAAATAATCATTTATGAAACAATTTTATTGACGTTATCTCTCCTCGTCTATCCTTCTGATTTTGTCTTCGTAGAAGACATTCCACAAAAAAATGTAGCGCAGCAGGGATAGCTTTTACATTGCATGCTGCTTACAAAAATGGTCCTGTAAATAATGTCAATTTTTCAAATAATAATATAATAGGCACCGATGCAAGTTTTCTTGCGTCAGTGCATACTATTTCTAGGGCCTACATACGGCCACCATTCTATATCAAAGCTAGGGCAGGTTTGTAGCAGCAAATGCGAGCACCAGAGCCGAAACCTCATTCTGCACAGAAGAAACGGCGTTATCCTATTGGTTTTGAGGAATTTGGTCCTATCCTAGATGGTCGCCTAATCCCCGATAAATCCAAAGTAAAAAGTATTTATTAATGTTCTCTGTATTTCGTTGGCTGTATCTTCTTACTATAATACAGTATAGTACAGTATATTAAATTGTGGCGCTTGCGTTATAAGGAGGCTTAAATAATTAGAACCTGATGATGTCGCTGCACAACAGGTAGTTTCGAAATTCTTGGCCCAAGAAAATCGAATTTTCTGACGCAAATATAGAGCAAGCGTTTGGTTGCTGCCATTGACCTCTACTCAACGCTTCTTGCGTATGCGTTTCATGCCCAAAAGCACCATCACAATGGAGGTATCGAAACAGGACAAAGCAACACGGAACCGCAAGAAGCGATTTTTAGGACAGCGACACTCGTCAGTTCGAAATTACAATCGGTAATGGCCAAATCAAAACAATCTTAGTTAATCATAATCTTTTGCAGCCAGCGACTACAACATGAATAGAAGAAATTGAAAATTTTGCCACTAAAAAGAAATGTTTAAAACGAGTGACCTGAAACAAAACTTGCCTAGAGTAACTTCAACGCTAGAAGATGGCCCATTTAGCGGACATTTTAGACTTGTTGCCAAGGTCAAACTGTAAGCCTATCAAATTATAGACAGTCAAGAGTTACGTCAAACCGGTTATTCGACCAGTATTTGCCGACCAGTATGACAAGTTTACGCCGCGCTATTTTACGAAAATAGGGAATGAGTTTTAAAACATGCCTAATATTGTGCAGATGAACAGAGCTTAATTTTGCATTTTTTTTATTTGATGAGACATAACAAACAACATTACGAAGATGAGTATTATCTTTAGTTTTTGAGACCGTCGGTTCAGTAAATGTTACGTATATATAAAGCGCATGATAGCACTATGGCAATCACGCACGCAGATGCTAAACATTTCAGTTTAGCTCAAGGCAAAAATTGCTCGAGCAGAAGAGATCCTTATCACAATACTCTTTTAATACCATGAGAAAACCTCCCCTTCAGAAAGTGAAGTGAAGACGCCAAGAACCAAATGCAGCGTTTAAAACGCAAACATCGTAAGTATAGCACTCGAGTGAGGTATTATCGAAGCACCTGGCGAGCTCGTGAATATAACACATTTACGAAAGGAAACCTCCACGGAAAACAGTAAATTAATAACTATGATCAATGCATCTGTTTTTAGATTTTCAAATAGCTATTTGATAGCGCGACCTGAGAGAAAATAGTAGTTCTTTAAATCGCGTTAACCATGCACATATATTTACTACTATATTTATTAGTTTCTAAAGCGTCTCACTTCTTTTCGGTACTCAAAGAAGTGATTCTATTATAACCTTTGAATTAGACGTATTTTACTCACAGTCAATGCTTGCTGCATCCTGCTTAGCCTAACGATGTCCTTTCATGTCGTATTACAATGGGAGCAACGCAATAATTCGGGACAGCCGGACGAGTTCATACGCGCGTTACCTATAAATAAACCGCACAATGAAGCCGTTTCGGAAAGGGGTAACTGAATCCCTTTCTTTTAGAGAACTAGACAATGGTATAGGCGAAGATTAGATTAAACACGAAAAACAATGAATAACGAGAGATGACAGTATTGCTTCTATTAATCGCCTTTTGCCACATACATACAAATTGATAGAATACACACACATAAACACATTTGTGTGTGTGTATGCGAATTATTGCTAAAATGTAAATAGACATTTCGAATTATCTATACATGTTTCATTGGTTCATATTTTCTATATATTCTACAACAAAATAGACATGGCGTCTGCTAGCTAAATGTTGATGGACTTAACGCGTATAGTAAATATCAGGAATAAAGATCACTCTATGGCACGTCAATCTTCTGACATTATATTGCGAAAAAAAGCTGCCTGTTGTTATTCCGTTGTGTCCGTCAATACTTTTTAAACTGCATTGCCTTAAGCCATACGAATGAACTATGCGCTATTCGATCACTTAGTAGCAAACCTAATATCAACTAAATTCATCCATCTCGATTAGAGACGGAGTCAATTGGAAAAAGGGCTTCGCGGCACGCAGAAGGAAAGGGCGATTGTTGAAATATTAAGGAGAATAAGGAAGAATAGCTGGAGTAATATGCAAATGGTTCCAGTGGAAACTGGGGCAGAGTGAGTTTTTTCTACAGTAACTTCATTCTAAAAAAAAAACGGGTCGCGTCCTGCGGCGCATGTTTCTTACGTGAGTCAATCATAAAGGACCGTAATAATTCTATAATGTAGTTGAACTCTCGATGAAACTTCTGCATACTGGTTATTTCATATTTAAGCAGAAAAACTGAAGAATTGAGCACATTTTCCGCAAAACGTATGTAGTTGTAAATTTTCATATGTTGCATAGCATTGTGGTTATTATTGTCCCAAAAGTTACACCTTTTACTAACCGTCCTGAATGTCGTTGGGATCGTTGGATAGTACGTTAGTATGTGATCCGTTGGGATTACCTTAATCGTTCATTTTTTTTGTAAATTAGTTCTCTAAACACTCCAAAAATACATCCGAGAATATCTTTATTTTTACTGAAGATATAATTTAGATTATTGACTGCCCTAAGTCCTATCGTAGGTGAAAGGTGAGTAGCAATATAAAGTCACTTCATATCACCTTCATCCTAAAGAGATGTATCTGAAAAGGATCGCATCGGAAAGGCTGTTAAGGAAAAAGTAGCGGTTAATTTTTTACTGGAACTACCGATATCGTTATTTATGTGATCTATTTGCGAGGTATCATAAATTAATTTTGTGCATTAAGAGACGTGATCATCCGAAGAGGTCGTATTAGCGTTACTTTGACTTTTTGCTTGAGGCCGTTGAACGGTTTGTTTTGAGTGCAATTGAACGAAGTTCTGCTTGGCAATCTTTTCATCGCTTCTATCGAGCGTGACATTTCGCCTGATCGGAAAAATTTAGTGGTTTCTAAGACCCCGACTACAGCAGGCAAACCGCATTCGCGAGCCACGGTCGTGGCGTGTCACAGCAGGTCTCCGAGTTCAGTAACCGCACCACCGAGCAGTGAGAAGTACGGAGTCCACACTGTATAAACAATAAAAAACGTCACAGTAATAACCTTTTAAGAGACATAAGCTACAGTTGCCTATGCGAAATTTCTACGGGTTCTAGGATGCAGTACTGCTGTAGACGCTTGAAGCAAACTACAAATGTAAGTGTATTCACAAAATAAGCAATAGAGGTATAAATACAAAGTATGTTCCCTTTAAAATCTTATAATGAAAAGCAGCTTTATAAATAAGCATCTGCATAAAACAGGCCAATAGCATTTCTCTTATATTTTAGTGGTCAAATGGCTCTATAAGCTACAACAAAGAATATGGATCAATAGAACTTAAATGTTACGATTCTGCTTTCTAGGTTTTACCAGTACCCGCGTGATTCAGATAGCTCCCTTCCCGGTCTGGACGTCCAGCACTATTCTGGAAATGCCAACAACGCCTTCTCTCACGGTTGTGCCCGAAAGACAACTTATGCTCTCTGGTATCAATACTTTTTCGGCTTTAATATGTGACGGCGCAATTAAAGTGACCATACTTATTAAAGAGAGGGAATCCAGTGTCTTCGTGTACTTTTTCTTTTCTAATCTTTCCTAATACAGATTTAGTTAACCTTGTTAATATTATTACTATTATTATTATTGGGCCTGAAAGAACGAGATCACTGCAGAACAAAAATTGAAAGGCTTGCTACGAAATGCAACCGGTTTAAATGATGCTTTGAACGTCTTGACCACATAGTTGGTCACACATATGGTGCAAAACCTATTTCTCCCCCCAATAATCGCCAGAAGTAAACTAACCGAACGATAACATATTAACAAAATCAAAAATGCATGGTAAAGGAGTTTTAAAATTACTGTGGATAAAACACATCAATCAGTAGTCTTCTACGCTTTATTCTACTATAGAAATAGTAATAGTAACCACTTACTAGCTTGGGCATCCGTAAAATAGAGGAGGATATTCTACCTCGCTAAGTCTTTCGTGCTCTCGAAATCACCGGATTACCCTGTAAATCAGGGTACTCGAATTATAAATTGTAAAGCAAATAATTATCTTATTTGTACCAAGTTGCTTAAAATTTACTTTAGTAGAAGATCAGAGTTGCGGGTTGTGATGAGACGGTAAATCTCATCGATTGTAAAGAAGAATATTAGCTCTAGATCTGGTAGTCTTCTCCCGCTTGGAGTTGGCTGGCCATACGTTGCACAGCAAGGCGGATCTGATGAATGCATTTGATCAAAATAGACTTTGTCGCTTTTCAGGCAAACACTGCGTATTTAGCTCGGTGTAAGACAAAATTGAGAACCCCTCTGTAATAAATTCAAATGCAAGAAATTCATTACCAGGATGAGTCGTAAATTCGTGAAACGAAACTATTTATTGTCTCCGTATATTGAAGGCTCGTTTCAATAAATTCCAATGACTACGGTTAGTTTACCTATATGCACAAACTTTTGAACGAATGAAGATCGATTTTTAAGGTCCTCTACTTTTAACATTTTATCATCCCTTTACTTTGAATGGCCTGCTTTAGGTATAGCCTAAAGGGTTTTAATAAGGAGCATCGGATCGATATCCCACGTTTTAGAGTGGATATCAAATTCCTTATAGCAGCGATGAGCATACCTAGACCGAGAGTAGCGAAATTTTTTCGCCGCTTCTCGTTTAGAAAAAGAAATTTAAAGCATCTTGTCAGGATACGTCAGGGAATGCGATCCCTTCAGATCGTTTTGAATCTTCCGGGATAGCTCCTATGCTTAACATGGATTTACGAATATTTCAGCTTTTTAGGGAAAGTGCTTAAAAACCTATAATTTATCCAGCTGTTTATCTCTGATTTGTCTCAGATCTAACCCATGGCTTATAAAATATTTTATTCAGTAATTGTCGTTTATCTCATGGTATTCTGAAAACGTCTTCCCTGTATATTCTTTCGAAATACGAGAGATAAACAAATATCTGCTGCTGTTAGTAGCTTATTATTACTCACCAAAAGTTTTTCAGGAATTTCAGCGCTTACGACGTCATTGCTGGAGCGTAAGGGCTTGGGAAGTAGTACGATCATCTCTGGGGTTGCTTTTTCTTCTTTTTGGCTTTTCTTCGATACATTTATGGCTATCATATTATATAATGAAGCCGAATACGATACACTCATTAGATAAACTAGTTCTCGTTCCGGAATTTGTGCATTTGGTTTAGTATACGCATTAGGAGAGTCAAAGAATCAGGTTCATTGGGTAGATCGACTTTAGCCTTTGCCAGTTCTGCTCTGGCTTCTTCAACAATTTCTTTGATGTTATGACATGCCTGAAGGGTAAAAACATGTACAAGCAGAAACACACTACTACTCAGTATACACATTTTTTTTTCGACCAGAACGCAACGTATGTTCCTTCATCTGTCACTGGTTCTTTGGGAAACAAGACGTCAATCTATACCTGAAGTATTAAGGGTGTCTAATTTCTATATTAGATAGCATGCATATACTATTCCAGAACACCTATAAAGTTCATAAACTACTGTCGACTAACTCTCGTGCATATATCAATTATGTCAAAATTTAATGCTTGTCCAGAAGAAATGAAAACCTAACACACATTAGGGCTTAGTATCCATGATAATGAGTCTTTGAGATGAGAGGACTGTCAAGATTTTTTTATCAAAATTGGACACAAAACGGCCTCTTATCTTTATAAATCTAATCTCTTTCTAGTTTCTAAAGCGTTTAAATGACGCTAGCATACTTCCGATACAAAACAGGCTGAAATAAATTAAAGGTATAATGGTGGTGGTGCACATATATATATAAAAAGGTAGTGCATCCAATTAACAACTTCTTACGCTTTGTTTCGAAGATTATATTTAAAAAAAAAGCGTATTTTTAACAATCTTTCTTGTTACGTTCTAGAAGTGCCGTACTTCGGTGAGGTATCCTGTTTATTTAATATTACCATCGTCTATCGCGAGTACAGTTTCGATTCGACTAGTCCCGAATCAGCTAGCCACTGACTAGTCATTATGGACGTCTTCCGTCGCTCATTTACAAATGACTTTTAATAGGAACTGTACGTCAGGCGTAATTAGTAGCTATAAAGTCGTTATAGTGTTACTTAAATACGCTATATACGAGAAGCTTCAACCGAATTTAATATTAGGTTAATAGAAAGCCCAGTGTTTTAAAAATGCAAGGGCTCAAAACGACCGAAGTGTTAAAAAAAATGCAAAAAGACGCAAAACGTAATAAAAAGACTAACCGCTGAAGCTCATATGAACGATATAATCAACAACTAATATAATTATTTTTAAAACGGCTGTTAAATTTCAAAAGCCGCGTGAAAGCTGGCAATCTCGGGCAAGAAAAGGAGATTTAAGTTTTAGAGCGTTTGGTTAGAGCAAAAATGATGATAACTGAATGTTTGCTCAAATTCCAAAAATAACTTATTTTTTTCGCCATGACGAGTTCATTGTTTTCCTTTATATATGGATGGCTTTCATCAAGTACAAGAGTAGCGGACGTATATATGCCCGTTACGACAAACACCCTGCTGAAGTATATTGCCCGTATACTATTTGCTATACGCTCAAAAAATTGGTTACCGTATCTTTCTGTGTAACCTATTTTTTTAGAATAACTTCGTGTGTATGCAAATCAGTAAATGATAAATATAACGCTAAAAGCTACCTTGCGTTACGATTAGCATCTGTCAGTAAACGGCAATAAACCAAAACAAAAATTCTGAGGTATTTTCCTTTTAAGATAATAGAAATAGTATTAATGTACATACATTTGGGTATTGACAATTATTATTATTGTGTGACTCTAATAAACTACCTTCCATACCGCTCTCATCATAGGTACAGAGCCTACTTTCTTACTTTAATGGAAAATCCCGTTTTTGAACGCCTCGTGCTCGATGACGTTATTGATGACGGCTACGTTATTCACATTGATCAATGATTTAGACCCATTGCTGATAGCAAACTGAAAATCACAATGTAGGTGTTGAATAGTTATGTTCTCTAGTCGAGATGACTCACAAAATAATTCATTAATGGCTCTCACAACCATATATACGAGAATTTGACTTTTACTCTACTGTGATCATTAGCACATTCAATATTGCAGCAAAACATGTAAAACCAAATACACGTCTTTAAATTAATATCCTCAGTATACAAAATGCTTTACAAGAATTTACTTAAATATTTTCATCGCTCACCGCGCCAGACCGTAGACTTCTTATATCGTTTACATTGTTATTAATAGCTTGAGAAAAGTTGAAACTTAGCCCGATGTGCGTGTCTATCAATATTTATTATAAAGATCGCACTTATTATATGAAAATCGAATTACTACCTGAAAAATTATAAATATCGTTACTACACGTATAGTTGTTTCACGTACACTGTTTAAAAAACCAAGCACTTACCATGAGGAAGTTCATGAAGAATCGTTTCCCAATAGTAAAAAATCGTGAATACGGGCACACTATCAAATCCTAGATTACGGAAACATCCTCAGCAGTTTAGCGATAGTGAATTAAATAAAATGTTGTTCAAAAGGGTCAGCAATAACGGCGAGAACGCTCCGAATGTCACCTCACTAAAAAACAAATCATATATATGTATTAGATCCAAAAACCACTTCATTTTTGTTCGGACGATCCACTGACAAAATCACGGAGGAGTGTAGTTGGACATAATGAAAAATTGTGCAAAATATGTTTTTGTCAAACCTTAATATGAGTTATAAAAATCTAATAGTACTTGGTGAATGTGTGACGTATGTGTCACGTATGTTTTGTAGAGAGCAAAGAGCACACATGAACTTTTATGGGCAAATTTAATGATACTTAAGCTTTCAATAATTCAAGTAGGCATGTACATCACAAGAGAGGTGAACTGGGGCTAGCTGAGCCGGTTCTCAATGCCATTTGAAGCTTTCTGAAGTTCGTATGGCGTATGTCTAATTAGGTGTTAAATTCCATTACATTGTACACCATAAGGCTGTTACAAATGAATCCGACAGACTCTGAAATTGAATCATTTCGCTAATTGGGCTAGAATGTGTTTTTTTTACTATGACTTAGAGCTACTATCCTTTATTTTCTACACTCTTCTGATTGAGGCATTATGTGATCTAGCGTTGTCATTAAGTAACTAGTGCCTTACATCCGCACTTATAAGACGTTGCCACGGAATTCAATTCCTCTCCATGCCAACGCTATTTTTTCACTTTGTACCTTTCTAGCTAACGGTGAAGATTGAACCATGCACCACCATAGTGACTGTATGCTCCAGGCAAGTCCTGTATTAATTAAAGCTTTGCAAATTGCATGTGGAATATATCGCACATATTTTCAACTGATCTTGAGGCAATTCACGGCGACGCATGTTTTACCCAGTTTCCTGGAACGCATTGCATGTGAAATTCCAGTTTTAGCCAATAGAGCCCACAGACTTTAAGCTCTGCTTTCGGGAAAAGCCTCCTCGATTGCGACATATTTTCGGGTCTCGATATCTAGTCACCTTCTTACTGGTCTTCAACATTCCAATCTCTGTTCTTGAAATGTTCTTACTACTTTCGTTTGAGGCCTTCTTGCCTGATGTCTTCACTAACCTTCGATGAAAGACGCAGCGCTGTGGCCTTTGAAAAACAAAAACTTGGCCACTGGACGTTGATTTTCAAAACTAAAAGACGTTTTTTCTTTCTTTTCCTGGTATTAACTAAACCGGCGTTGATCACAAGTTTCTACAAGGACTGGCGGTATGTATTTCGAAAATTATTTAATTTTAAAGGTCGCTGGAGTCGGTTGTCACAGCCTAACCTAAAGAGAGCAGCGGGACATCTCTTTTCTGTAAAAGCCTTCTACCAAGGTATTAGTATTAGTACTGAGACTAAGGTAAAAGGATGATTCTTACGGTTAGATAGCCTTTTTTATATTTGATATATGGACAAGGTTTAGTGAGTAGTACTGTATAAAGCCGAATTTCATATTACGTATATACATGACTGCAAAAAATAATAAAAAAACTCAACTCAAGCAAAAAGAAACGTACAGAAAGTCATTAAAGAAAGAAGTTTTTCCCACATACGAGTTTAGATTCTGCCAGATTCAGTTATCAGGGATTGCAGCCCAGAGCACTGCTTCATTTTGCATTTCTAGGAATCAGTCCTAAACAAGTTTTTTTTTCTTAAATGTTCTAAAATGATACGCACTCAAGATTTCCACGTGAGAGAATTTCTCGGTTCGTGTAAAGTGAACTATTAATTTCTTTTGAGTTTCATAGAAAAACGGGGTAACAGAACGAAACTGCGGAAGAACTATTTCGTCCTTAACCACGGTCCATTAAATTTTGTCATTATTATCATTATCATAATTATCTGTAAATTCCATCACTTGACAATATCGTCCATAAAGCAATAAAGTTCCGTAAGACAGAATTTAATTCCTTCTCATGATATGTATTACACACAACAAGCGTGAAACATGTACCTTTATACAACCGACTTTAGATGTAATGAGACAAGATAGTCGCGGTCCAACTATAGACTAAAAAAATGACGAAACAAACCTTTGTACCAATCCTGGCTATTTGAATGAATCCTGGCTATTTATTGGTGAGAACTGTCGGGCCGAGTCCTTATCTACGGCAATTTCTTCAGTTCCATTAACTGATTATACGACAGATCATTCTTTAGCTCCACACTATCTCAATCTAGAATCTTACCGCCGAAATTAGTTTATCCGCAAAACAAACTACGACTATTATGATCAGACGAGCTGATTACGGTTTAAAGCCTTTCGGTCATCACTAACATGTCAGAGTCAATATCTTCAGCGCACGCACTAACGAAACTATAATATAAACAATGGGAGAATCGAATTTCTCTTTCCTCAAAGGAAATACGATGCAAAAACGGTGCCACCTCGCAATTGAATAAGCTAGTGGATAACAACATTGATTGCTGAGCGTAAAGTATTGGGCTGCAATATAATTCTAATCAAGGAACATATTTGCTCCTTCAGCGTTCGCTATTAATGGCCTTGTTTCATTCTGACGATAGCACGGATGCTTGGTAGAAATTATTTAATTTGAGAATGGCTAGATATGATATAAAGTAGCATGCTGTTCTCTCATTGTAATCTTTATAATTAATTATAATTAATAATCTTTGATAAAATACACATTCATAAAAAATTGTAAATCCTGCAAATACACGAACTATTCGATAAAAATATAAACTAAAGAAAGTAAAATAAAAGCCGTGTTGTCGTGATAATGGGGCACATACTATTTTATAAAACTCGTTAAGCACACCTCCGCCAGGTTTAATACTCCATTTGTACTCTAAAATGTACATGTCTGGGTCAACCGACGCGGAGACCACAGGTTTACCTAGTGCGATATTGGCCATTAAAACAATTTATTGCCAGCAGCAAACCGGCGAATTCCTTGTACGTATTTACAACGAGCACAGTGAAAGACAGCAACTGCATTGAATCGTTATTACTTACAGTTTGAAGTTTTCGCGTTTTGAACTCTACATACACATACGTATATAATCTGTGCATTTTATTGAAGATTTTATCAACCGGAAATAAATAACACGTGCCTTATGCTGCTGTTACTGTTCATTATGATTATGACCGCTTTGCTGTTGTTGTCTCAGATAATCCGCGATTAAAGATAGCACCGCAAGCGACGAACCCCTTCCTAGTGTAAGTTCAGCCGCGTGGTTTGCGTTCTCTGCTGTGCTGGTTACCGTTACACTATTCCTTAGATCTCTATCAATAAGCAGTGCCTCTACTTGCGAATGCCTGGAAGTTACTCTATAGATACTCCTTAGATATGCAAACCATAACACATTCAATGTGGTCTACGATTGATTACAGTTCTTTCTAAATAAATTTTATTTTTCCTCAAAGTCTTTTTCCCTTCATGAGGTTCTTTTTATGTGAGACACAAGAGTTTAGAGGAGTGTCTTACATGTTTAGTTTTACTGTTAGTAGATTCTATTTACTGCGTAATTTGAAAGTCAAAGCTTCCGCTATAAAGGTTTCTTTATTCCAACAGAGCTCTCCATGGCTCTCATGGACTAGCCACGAACCTAGCAGACCTGGCCGGGCGCTGAGTTTGCTTATCGAAAGAGAATCGGTATTGCTGAGGTCAAGTGTGTGCGTAAAACCACCTACTTAAAGCAACACAAACACTCTATTAATTATATCCTTCTGCTTTCTATTCTTCTGAAATTGATGCTGTAAAAAGCAGACTGAAGTAAAGGACTTTTACCAACACTGCAAAGGAGTTTTCTGTGCACTCTTGCAAACAGGATGCTGATTCGGTAAACTTTGCATGCATTATTTATTTTTAGATAACCAATTTTTGCGGCAATTATTTTATAAAACATACGTGAGCATAATCATGACTAAGACATACGAGTAAATTGGGCAACATAATCAATCTATACGAAGATGCTTCGCAACGCCTCAAACAATGAAGACAGCGAATGATTTTATTGGAACTGATAACGAATCTTTGAAGTCAAAAAAATCAATACACTTGGCCTTTTGGTGCTCATGGAGCTCGTTTTAAACATTTGCTGGTATGACATACTCTTCTAATTACAATACACAAGCATTCTCTTTCTTTGTCGTTTTAACGAGATTTTTTCTAATCACCTGCAGCTTCGATGCGTAGCAAATCGTTACTATATTAATTACCCGCGTTAAATACAATTTAAAGAGGTATTTAACCTTTGTTGTGGTAAACCCTGCCCCTCTTAATCGATGTATCAAGTGATGTCGGCCTAAAGTAAAATCCAAAGCACTTGTAGTCCATTGACTCAATTACATGAAATACAGTTCCATTCTGGAAATATAAAGGGATACACAAATTAATCTTAGACTTCTTCTGCTAGCAGTGATAAAAGAAATTAGAAAAATAAGTCTCTATAAATTTTTCAATACAAGTTGAAGCTTAGCGGACATATAGAGTACGTTTGTAAGAGGTTGTAATAGTGTGCCAAGGACACTTAATATAGCCTACAATTCGACCTAAAGATTCATGTTTTGCAACCAATTGATGGTTACATAATATCGTGCAATAATTACATGGCGATATAACTCACTTTACGTGAAATCCAGGAATTTAACTCAACGGTCTTTAGCACAATATGGGTTTAAAAGTAAATTGTTCATCATCTACATTTCACGCTAGAGTGAAGAAAGAATCTGATGCTCCGGTGTAAACCTCCACATAAAATCGGCTCGTCTAAAGAGTGGTCAGCACGACTGTGTCGTTATTGGGCTAAATGGTCCCGAAAAATGACAACCATGAGTAGCTGGCATATCGCTGGAATAATGCTCCTACTGGACGTATAAAAAAAACAATCTTTAAAACAAGATCAGCCTACTTACCGAGTAATCACGAGATATGTACAATCAATAGCTGGCATAAACTTCAACAGATCGAGTCACTTAAAATGATTAAAGATTTTCATTTATTATTATTTGCAAGTCTTGTGAGGTTCTTAATGCGGAAAACGGGTTTGACTAATAGTGTGTGGCGCTCTTACATAATATATATCAAGTTGACTAACACCTTTATCAGTTTAGTTCTTCCTTACATCAGCATATCCGCTATGATGAAGAACGCACTTTGAACAAGAATAGGTTCCCTCAAGAAAATCGCTACGCCCTCTGCGTCTAAGTCGAGAACACAAAAGCAACCGCTCTAGTTTCTCACTGCCATCAAGTTGTATCTTTGTGTAACATGTTACAGCACGGATATATGTCTGAAGTTCACTACAGTATCTACACGAGAAATGAAGTTAGCGATTACTATTGTTGTGTTTAAAAATGTGCTTACTTGAAGCTAGATTCAATAATTTCGATTTTGATGACTAGAATTTTTCGGGAAATGGCTGGCGAAGAGAATTTGACAGTTCGAGATTTTGCGACCTGACATCCTCGCACTACTATTGGGGGCTCATCTAGCTCTTTAGCTGTAGGGTTTATAGAGGTTTAATAAGATTTTATAGAGAATCTGGAAGATAGAGAAGGCGGGAAACACATATCTCCATCATGGTGTCGTAATAACTGGATTTTAAAGTCAACGAGTTTAGCATAAGTAGCTAAGCCGTGCGTTGAAGAGCAATCTAAATTTCGATTAGGTATTTTGTGAGCTATTGTTGTCGAATAGATATCTGCCCAGTAAGTGAAAGATATGTTATGCGAATATACTATATACGACGTTCCACTAAGTTTTTATAGCTTCCTTAGCCTCGTTAATATAATCGACACTGATCGAAGCTGAACACTGAAGAGGAGTTTCAAATGGGCGGCTCGTGGTAATCATTCTTCCAGCAAGCCTTGAACCTGTTTCGGCGCATCTGGCGACGACAGACTATTAGTTTCCTATTTTGTAGTACAATCTTCTTTTGACTCGATGTCCGCTGAATCAATTGTGGGTTCCTAGAATAGAATAATATTAATCGCTACCCTCGAGGAACGCGTGCGAGCATCGCATTTCAACCTAATTCCACTGTATACACCTGCTATCACTACGATCGATTGCTAATGAGTTATCACATTAATTTAGAATGACGCATTCAATGAAGAATGCACGCTTTGAAGCAACATACAGTTTCATTTCATCATGTAAAACTGCCTTAACGCAAAATGTTTTTATTATCAATAGACGTTTTGAAAACTTAATCCTACAAATGTGCATATGGATTAAACGGGATTTCTTATATCTTCTCTTGAAGTCCCAACATCTAGACTTCATGGAAGTCTTAAAGTACTCATATAATGAGTCGTACTGTGCACCGCCAATAGTCTAACTGCGCAGTATAAAAAGTGCCACTAACAATGTCAGCTGTTTGTTTCACTGTTGTTCAATGAATCTATTATATATCATATTTACAAAGTCAGTTGTTAACACGAAAATAACGATTCTGATTATATTTTGCTCGCAGCGAAGCCGCCCAAATGGACTAAGAACAGTTCTTCACCTTCGACTAGAGTTGGACAAATACATATTAGAATTATTTTCCAGCCTTAAAAACAGTGTATGACATTCAAAGGTATTTTCGCAAGTAACATCACTGTAACTTAAGTTCCCTCAGTGATAGCCTTTTACTTTTCTAGGCAGATACCTATAAGTGTGTTAGTGTAATAAGCTAAACGCTTTGCTGTTTTTTTGTCTTCAATTAACCCAATGTGTCATTCATTTTAAACATCTGAAATATATTGGATATGATAATACCATTTCTGTAGCCTTTGTAACATTCCTCAGGTAACATGAACTTTTGACCGTCGATTTCAAACCTCGCCCATGTGACTACTATGCCCTCCAATGATCGTTCGAAGAATATTTCTATTCGATATCCACTGCTTTTATCGGCTGCAAATATGCGGTGCCGATCTTGTCTCTGAAAAACAGATTAAGTTTATGAGCAAGATATACTTGCTAGATTTACGTAATTCAGTGTGTAGGAAGAGATTGCCGGCTCTTCCGAGCATACTGCGCTACTACAACGATTCTGCCTTTCTAAAAGTAGATTATTTGATAACACGAATGGCGCAAGTATTCAGATGAATACCTGCTGTAGAAAATTACCTTGTTGTCTAAGTTTGGGGTCGTTCAGCATCCCATTCATACTAACGAGAGATCGCGTTTAGTGGCGTGAATCGTGGACATCAGCGATATTTTAATAAGAGAAGTAGCGTTTAAGATTCTATACAGCATCCTCTGCCACTCATTTCAGCTTGGATAGTCGCATCATTCTAATTTAAACATGGCGCAAAAACTCTATATTTCTATTTCACTATATTTCTATTTCTAGAAATGATTTTATAGCTAATTCATCTTTCTTATCAAACAGATTTTTTGCAGATAATCTGTAAGTATTAGAGTATTAAAATGTATATAACCACCTGAGAATTCGTTTCGTAGTAGCCTTTTATAAGCGTACTTCTGCGAAAAAAGTAAAAAAACGCAAAGAAAATTGCCCTCAATCCCGAAACTAATGGTGACCGAATCGCATCGTTCTCGTTCCTGTATTTCTATTCTGCAATGTACATTGCAGAATTTGTATGGAAAAACAAGTAACTTATTCTTTGTGTATTCGTGTACAAAATTCATTGGAAGACTTCAAAAATGAAGTAAAGTCAATTACCTTAGTAATTTAGATCCAATTGATAAAATTGAGAGTATTACAAAAAAAATAACGTGCAAATGCTGTGTAAAAGCTGTAATATTGAAATATATGTTCAGGACATGTATTTTTACTTTTTACAATAAACATTTTTCTTTGTATAGCTAACGTTTACTTGATTTGGCCAACCAATTGGATAACTGGTGATCCCTACATACACAGGGTTTTAGATAAACTACTATTCAGAGAAAATGTTCAGATCAGCCACGAAGATTAAAATCGAACGGAAAGCAATTCATCTAAATTCACACAAATATACTCACAATGTGTCTCCTTCTACATAGGGTTGCCAACGTTTAAGGAACAAAGATACAAGATAAAATGGGGACTATATGTTTGCCGCTTTGTGATCTCTATGGCTCTGCATGTCCACTCCATATTTCATTCAGGCAAATAGTAACAGTGTTGCTTCTCAAATTCAACTTATTAGAACACATATTTATCTAATTTAATACAAACTATTCCACTTTAAGATTGCCAATGTAGTCATTTTTCATATTGTTGTTTTGGTCAAGATAGATAAACGAGCATTTATAAAATTGAAGTTTTAGATCACATTGAACACTCTATCTGTAAAACTGATTTAGTATAGCCTGCATTTTTCTATGATTGTTTTAATAATTGATTTTAAAATCGCCGACATACACCATCGTTTTAACAGCAGGTGCAATCGAATTTGTGCATTTGTGAATGCTTTCAATACTTTTTTTTTGTAGATAATTAAGAGTTGCCTTTTGTCTTAAAAAAAAGACCCTTTTTGACCCTGACGCAAAAACTTTGGCGGTAGAGAAAGGCTACAATCGATTAAATGGGATCCGCAGTGCCATTTTCTTTTTGGAGGCAAACTCTTAACTTCGAGTCTATGCCATGTAAGCTTGAACTGCCTAATGCAACGTCCGTGCATTCAGCATCATACGCACTGTCTATTTGGCTAACTACGACTACTATTTTCGCTTAAAAACATTTTCAGTGTATTACGGTTAACAAAAAGCAAGCTAAAATATCTGCACCGAGCTAGCACACAGAAACACGTTAGCGATGATCCGCTCTTTTATATTTGAACAAAAGCTTGCCCATTTGTACTTGAGACTCTTTTCATAATTAGACTTGAAGTACCCCCGCTCCTTGAACCCCTGTATTGACGAGATTTTTGATATAATGATGATTAAAAGGATCTAAAAAGTTCAACTTAGTTATTACGACTACTGTATGGTTAGAGACCACTAAAGAAACCTACAATTTCAACAAATTATTGGATGCCAGCTGCGGATAAAACCCTGCGCTTTTTGTTGTAGTAAATTTTTTGAAGGAAACCAATATGGTAACAGTCAAATGCAGCACTATCGAGTATTAGATACTAATACTACTCAACAGCCAATAGGTATGAACAATCTTAGAAAGATTAAAAATTTGCATTAGAATTTTATGAACATGATTATATGCACAACGGATGGAGCGCGTTGTCACCAAGCTTCTGGTTGGGAACCACTGACACATGAGCTGCACAGATTACCCTTATAATGTAACCCATTTAGCAAGTTCATCTAGTTGACTGCGGGTACGTATTATACAATCCAGAGAATCAATAGTATGAAATGGTAATTGCACAACTGACTGGAAGAAGCGATATGGTTGAGCTACAAACACAGCACGTTACATTGTTACGTTACAATTGCTGATTTAAGTGACCAGTTAAATAAAACAGCTAGTAGGTAATATTAGAGGCGGAATTCTATTTACTTGTCATCTTTTTCAATCAATAAATTATGATAACTATGGATATGTTTGATTGATAATTTTTACCCACTTCTTTAACTTGACTCATTGCTAGTAGTTTAATTTATTCGCTCACTCGATAAAATAGTCTATGGCTGAGTGATCTGACTAGCTTTACCTTGCGTTTTGTGTATTATATGATTATTACTAGTAAAACCAGTCATCGTCGTGTCATGTCTCAGTGAGGCCGTGTGTCTACGTATGTGTGTGTGTGTGTGTCTTTCAGCTTGAGCTGCTACTGACTCCGCAGTAGCCATGGCATTAATGGTGCGCCGACATGGCAATCCATCTACTCGCGAAATCAACACGGCAAAGTCGCTGCTATATTCACGTTAAATCCTCTATTGGCTTTACTATATTACTGCAGTATATATTACAAGATGCAGCACACACGCGCCAGCTGCGGCGGTTTCGTATCCGTCTGTGAATTTGGCTTCGAGTGCTATATATAGACACGTATACACATACAAGCACAGATAGATACGTACGGATATCGTGGTCCCGGCATAAACGAACGAGCACGTCAAAACATGCGTAGTTGCTGAAGCAACTATTTTATAATAGTGAAATAGAACGAATAAAGCAGGAACCCTTAGCGAGGACCAGTTAGTGGCAATGGACATGAACGGCTGAGCGACCGACTGACAAGAATGCTGAGTCCCTTTTTTCTTTAGACGCTTAAGGGCGTTTACCGGATCTTCCTGCCGTTAAAGTCGAGCAAAGATTGCAATTTTATAGAAGCAGGAGTTACTGCTGGTATACCAATGAGCTTTGCGGATGAGATCACGCAAACTAGTAATATTGAAATGTAATATACACAATTAAGTTTTTCTACCTTTTCTATCAATACGGCTTGGGTTTGTTAGATGAGATTCAAGTAGCAGGAGTCGCAGACAACTAATCATCAGATATCGAATACGACTGACTAATTCTATCTGCTAGTTCAATCAATGTAAGCATGCAGTAAAAGAGAACTACTTAATTGCTTCTGAACTGATAGAATGCTTCGACAAGTGGAAGGGAAAAGATACTTAGGCGGCTAAATGTTGGTTCAACTGAAATTCTACTCAACACTTCTGTTCCAAAATTGGAGGGAACATATTAGTGCAACTTTTTCCATAGCGTCTCTTCTGCATGCTTAGTCGTAAAGTAAATACAATAATATGCTTTGCTTGCCTTTTCTATTTTGACTAAGAAAAAGAAAGCACATAGTTAGTTGTTAATAACTGTGAATGTTGCGTGCAGTCTTATTTTCCGTCGACAACGGTGCACTTGAATGCGCATATAAATATATATACAGTGCTGAAGCTTAGATGGACTACTAGTTAAGAGTTCATTATTGGATAGTACTTACTTTCCTAGGAGAGGGAGGTTGGGCAATAACGGCCAACGTTTACTTGATGCTGGCTCATTAAAGTTTATTCTTCCTCGAGAAAATATCAATTAAAACATGTTGTTAGCCCCATGTTGATAGCTCACAAGATGGGGTTACATGAGCCGGAAATGAAGGAAATCAGCCGTTCAACGAAGCCGGGGTTCTTCCCGGAAAAGGCCGAGATCATGCCTAGAAAAAAAAAACTTTATAATCTTTTATTGCCAAGTTAGGCAGGTCCTAGATTATTATTCGTTTGCCATAAGTCTGCATGAGATTCTGTTGTGCGGCGTGCAACTAGGTTTTGAACGGCGTAAGTGTTGGTACATTTATGAGTTGCATTTTGTACGAGAACTGGCAAGTAACAATGTACGTACCGTTCTCAAAAACCAACTTCACTGCTCTTAAGCCTGTATAATTATCGCGTTTACACATGATTTTGATGCAAATAATTACCAATAGTAGATTCTCCATAATGTGGTCCAGATGTCGACAGTATTGTTTTGTCCCAATGATGCGTCATGCCAATAAGTAATTGATATTTTTTTATGGGCGACTACATTCGACGCCTTATTGACAAAACGGCACGTGTTGCAACGAGTGCCAAAATTCAATTTAATATGCATAGGCATTTCTTCTAAGTTGAGTTGTAGTTTGAAGCCGCTTAACCCTTTTAATTGCTCTCTAAAATTAGCATCGACGGAATCCTGCGTTATGTATGCTCGAACTGAAGGGGTACACATTAGCCTCCGGGGTGGCTATATAACAGAATTTAGGATAATAACTATATATAAAAACGTCACTTGCCTTCAATATGATTTTGAAACCATAAATTTGGGGCACGCAAAATTGTAGTTGAAAACTGAGCTGGTTACTTTGCTTTATTATTGTTAAACAAAGTTCGCTAAATGCAAAGTAAACATCACATTGTATCACATAACTTTTAAAATTTGGTTAGAGAGGAATATGAGTAATCCTTAATTCCTTGACATAGTAATAATCCCTTGACCCTTGTGCATCTCAATAAATTCAAAACTTTAGGTTTTTTAACTATTAAAATTCTAAGGTATTGATTTTTAAAATCAATGTTTCGTTGCTGAAAAAAACCGTAGCCGTATAAGCTTTCTTCTATATGCGATGCAGAATAGGATAACCTTAAATCGGTAAACAAAACATGAATATTACAAATATTAAAATTAATGTCTAGCACTTCAAATTTACGAAGTAGTTTATGTGCGTATATGTGGCCAGTACAAACGTGAACATTCCAGCATGTTTCGTACTTTCAAAACACTTGCAAAAAGGCTTCTCTGTGGCTCAAAAGGCTTTTACACACGCTGAATTTTTATCTATCTTAGCAAACGCTCCCTCAGCCAAATTCAGTGTTCATGGTAGTAGAACAAACAAATCATATTGTTAATGTTATATTACGGTGATTAATATACGGGTTAATATACCTATTTGTTAAATTTAGTAAATTCGACGTATACCTAGAAAGCTCCTCCGGAAATCATTACTGATTTACTAAAGTACTACATCAACGGTTCTAAAATATGGCCTGTGTAAAGTAATTCTTATTCATAATAGATGGCCCACAAGAAGTAAACAGTTGACAATGCATCGCACATTTCAAGAAGGCTCGCCTTTCGGTAGGAGCGTGTGCTAGACAGCCAAAACAATGTTTTGTTATTATACAAAACAGACACTATTTATCAACACTAATCAATATAAAATTTATACATCAACAAATCTGCAAGGTAAAAGTTCGCATTTATGTATCTACCTTAAATACGTTTTTACTATAATAAGACACTATTAATTATTCTTGTAAAATAACTATATCAAAGTTAGATTAATAATTTAAGTGTAATTTGGATATTTCTGTATAAATATTGTAATTCTCAAATTACATTTTTTGGGATAATATATTGATTACCATTAACTATGAGCTAGCAACTTCTAATCGGCAAAATCTAAACAGAACTCAATAAACCTTTAAATCAAAGTTCAACTTAAACAATACAGTTATTTAAATTGTCTTAGTATCACAACCGAAGTTACTACTCGGTTTTTGTCGATGATTATTTTTGCAGAATTATTTTCGCCATCGATCTCATAGCGTCGCCTTTACTAAGAACGTTAATATTGATATCCTCTAACATGAAGTGCATCATCGCTATTTTATATGTTTTCCATGCGGGATGTCCAGTGGCATCTATTTTTGTGCTGGAAATGTGTTGCTCCGCTATGTGCGACGCATGCAACTACGATTTTATTAACCGTATTAAAAGCACCCTTCAGTGCCTTCGCGAATCATTTTACTTTAACTATCTGTCGTTCTATGTTCCTCGCATAGTATCCAGGTTTCTGACATCTGTAGCATTAGTACGAACATTTATAGTTATTGAGCTTGGCCGACTCTATACATTGCTAAATCACTTTGAATCAGTACCATTTTGGAAAAACCAAATCGCTGCAGCACTAAATTTTGCAAACCCTCCAGAGAAAAAAGGAACAATCGTTTTGAATTAAACACTCTAGTGTTTGACTCCTCAAAATTATAAGGACCACTCAGTTAATTAAAAACAAACTTCTCTTAAAAAAAATTCCAATAACTCAACAGATTGTGTATTATTAAAGAAACTACTTTACGAAGCACATTTAGGTATGTATGTGTAACTTACCAATTAATTCCAGCCGTTGTCTAAATCGCTTTATTACGATCTTATATAAAGACCAGTTTGTACTTGCAATAAAACAAACCACAAATTATCAAATCTAAGGAAAAACGTTTATTACTTTTTTTTCTCTAGAAGACAATTTTCACACAACAATCTTCGTTTATATACAACATTTAGCTAACGAAGAGTCCTCATCTATCCCTTGTCTTCTTTATTACTCAGTATAATCTTATATAATCATCGCATGGAAGAGCGTAAAATCATTAATGGCAGCAACATGCATAGGGAAACATTCCAATCTTAATTAACACTTTGTTTATTTTATTGCATTTCCTCTACATTGTCATACGGAATCATCGTCTAACTTTAGCAACATCTAAGCATAGAACGTTATCGTTGTTAAGGCTGCGTGAAGCCAGACTTTCTCAAGTGACTACTGCGATTGTTTACCACAGAGCCAAATCGATCTGTAGAACAGTTCATGGAACTAGAATTTCCGCCTAATAGGAACACCAACCTGTAGCTAGTTTATGCAAGAATAGCGATCCCAAACCTTTAGAAATAGATCCTACAAGGGCTCAAACCTGGATGAGGTGGCCGGATCATTAAATCACCGTACGAACTCTCTTGCGCATTTTATGTTAAAAGTCAGCTCATCACGAACTTAGAAGTGTATACAAGTGCAGCGGAAATGAAAATTGTTGCACATGGCGCCGCATCAACTCTTCTTTAGGTACTTTTTGTAGGTTTTTCAGTCACGCCAGCTTTAGTTTTAAAAGAGTGCCTACGAGCGCATTTTATATTTATTTTTTCTTTTTCGCACACAGCTGTTCCAATAACTGTATATTAATGTACTTCATACTAATGGTAATTTTCAAAAGTTACGGTATTTGAAACCTAAGTGAAGCGTGCTTTAATTTAGGGTTCAATCTACAATTCAGCTCGATTCAAAGACCGCACTCTAAGCCGCATAGTCCTTTTTTTGCAAAACTAAAAACAGGAGGAAGCACCCATTAGTACTCTAAAGATCCTGCTGCTTGACCGTATCCCGAGCTTGCTCGGCTCCACCGATCGGTTTTTAACCTATGGTGGTAGTCTTAGCTAACCTTTCACAAATGAAGCTTACAACGGACCAACTAAAGGCTAACATTCTCATGCCACACAATTTGAACCAACAGAGAATTTTTTCTATTATATTCCTAACTGAATCTAAATCATTTGATAAAGCTCTGCAAAAATGTGTGACTTATGATGACACCGCGTAAACAGAGTAATATATTCCTGGCACGCCAGTATTTATTTACTAGAAGAACTGTGCTAATTAACCAAGTTATGGCAGCTTATTTTACTTGTATTATGTACAATTATGATGTTACGACAATACTCTTCATAATATTTTACCTTTTTATGCTTATTCATCTGCTCTTTAGTACCAAATAAGTTGTTTGTTCGTTAGAGGTTATGTGCTTACTTGTTGAATTTAAAACAGTCTGTTGCATCTCCATCTCAATCGCGCAATGGCATTCACAGGATCCGCACTGTTAAAACTTGAAGCTCTCTCAATTTGGCGCGCATTGAAGCCCGCGCCATTCAAATCGATTATTGCTGTTTGGCTCATCAGCTGATTTTTACTATCTGGCAGCGTCTCAATGCCGAAATCACGACAAGTTGTAAGTACAATCTAAGATACGATTGAAATGATTAAGTTTACTGGTCTTTATGGTGTGAGTGTAAGGTTTGTGCGAAGAAAAACGTTTAATCCAAATCACGTCACGCATTTCACATCTCCATGACTACTTATAACTATTACTCGTAGATTTCATCTAGTACTGTGCTTTGAAACTTTATATATAAATGTATAATCTTTAGATGTATAACGACAACATTGATCTAATAGTCTTCTTAAGTAGTTATGTAACATTTTGCTGCTTTTGAACCGCTATATAATGAACGTTTTTTTCTATAAATGATTGTAGCATTTCTACGTTCGAGAAGAATTTTATTTCAATGTATCGTTTTAACCCATCTTTAGCTCTACTTCTGAAGAGTCATAAAACTACCCTAAAAAATAATTAATTGAAGGTCAAAAGTTGATCATTGTTGAAAGAGATGTGCATCCTTCAGTTGCTGGGTTGTTTCTCAGTGCTTCGGCTTGTATCATCAACAGCGTGCCGTGACAGAGCTTTCTCGATGTCTGCGACAGAAATCCAACAAGCGGGCGCATTTTCCGTTTCATACGTCACAGCACCAAGCAAAGATGTCGCCGAAAAGATCGCCAGGTACATATCAAAATACATAAATATTTGACAGCCATAAAAAAAGCATATGCGCACAATATAGATTGTGTTAAGAGTGTTAAAAAGAACGCATTATAACTCTTGAGACGAAACTGTTTATTCAGTTAATGGTGCTTATATTGTTTAGTGAGAATTTCAATGCATTTGCCTCGTAATTGGTTACCGTTTTTAGAACGCCGATCGTAAAATTCTTAACAGCCTTGCAACAGTTTACTAAGCTTGATTCTACATCATCTCCTTTTTGTGCATAGTAAGTCTTCTACGTTTGATCCGACATTTTGTACCAAAATTTTGAATTCTAGAGTTGGCCCGGTTTCTCACTGCTGTATGGCCTTTTTTTAGTGGGCTCGTTGAAAATCGTCTAGCAGCTTGTGTCAACATAATCCCGGGGCTCACCTCAATCTATCGTTGGAAGGGTGCCATCGAAAAGGATAACGAGGTTAGAAGTGTCATTATTTAATATAATTTGTTCTAGTAGCAATGATAATTGCCTAGAGTCACCCAGTAGGTGAAAACAATTAGTGAGCATACATTCTTTATTATGTAAGGACTTTTTGTTTTAACAGGTCTGATGCTTTATAGAAATCGAACCAGCAGCAATTCTTCACGATCAGATCCTTTGGCGCATAAAAAAATTAAGATTTTCTGTAATGTAGCCCGCTGTACTTCATCATAATTGTAGTTTGTGTAGCGCCTATGTAGCTGCTATCAGAACTATACGTGCGCACTATTTTTTTTAAGTTTTTGACTTAAACAGGTAAGATTGCTACGCAGCTGCGAAAAGAGCGAGCTAATGATCCGTACTATTTTCCCCTTAAAGAACTGTTAACCTACCTCTTTTTGCAGTTACGTCGGTATTCGGCCCACGTTGTGGCTTAATGGCGAATGCCAGTATAGACAATGAGCGGTAAAGATATTCAGTATGTTTCGCGCTTCAAGCCTAATTTTCTTTTATCCTTTCTTGCTCGATTGGTGTTCACAGGTTTTACTGATGATCAAGTCACCAAGTGCATCTTTAGCTAATCTAACCACATTTGTCAAATCTTTACATCCATATGAGGTTTGTGAGATTATCTCTTTGCCTATCCAGCAGGGAAATCCCGACTATCTGCAATTCCTGATGGATGCGACTGCAGGAGGAAAGCATTAAACGAAATATCTTTATTTTTTAACTGGATATTACACTGCTGCTATTTTATCGCTCACCTTCAGGTTTTGTACTGAAATAAATGTTCGGTAATTCGTAAGCACTTCTGTGAGTTTTTTTTTTTTTGTTAGTTTGCTATATATTATGCTTTTTCTACAAACTACCAATTTTTAAAATAAATGCTGCTTTCCAATCAGGGAAAACTTTTTCTGATTGTTTGTTGTAACGCGTATGCACTCATTTGCTGGTCTTAGTACAGACAAAAGCCAGTTTTTCTAGAATAAAATACGAAGCTCGTCATATTTAGCAAGAATGCGTTGCTTTCAGAATTCACACGAAAATCAGTTTTTTCAAGTTTTTCACGCTAGGTAAACCCTTCGCAAGATAAAAGAAAAACAAAATGCACGGTAGACGTTCAGTTTTTATGCGGCTTCTGAAAAATCAGAACAAAACTCAATTATTAAATAAAAACAGAATTGATGGTCGACGTTCAGTTTTCATGTGGTTTCTGAAAAATCTCAAGAAAACCTTCATGAGGCAACCAGAAGATCCTAAAAGAAAAACAAAATCGATGGTCGACGTTCAGTTTTCATGCGGTTTCTGAAAAATCTCTAGAAAACGTTTATAAGGCGACCAGAAGATCCTGAATAAGATCGAGATTTAACGGGCTCGAAAGTTCACCAAGAAGGCTTAAAAGTTATTTTTAGTACACCACGGAAATCAATGGCCGTTTTAGAGAAGAAAATATGAATCGTTAATTGAATCATCCGCACAGGCTCCAAAAGCTAGTCTTTTTAAGACCTTTTTGCATCTGTTGAGCTTTTTGGCCGTTCTGTGCCTTTGCGTTTTTCGGGCTCTGGCCTACTATCAGCCCAAAATTTTGTTGAATTTTATTGTATATTGTTTATTTAACGTCTACTAGTATTGTTTGACGCCCGGAAAAGTATTTGCGTATTAAAGGAGAGATGTCTTGAGAATGATTAATGCGTGGTTTAGATCCCTAACTGAAGTTGTAACCGCAGTGGATGGCAATTGTATCAAATAAACATGATTGTTAGAACCGACGTCTCTCGTGCCGAAAATTTTAGGACATTTCGTTCAAACTTGTTTTCAATTAAATACAGCCCTAGACGCAATCATAAAAATAATTCTTAATTTAGGTGCGTTACATTGATGTACATGCCTTAATATATACATCAGTTTCATTTATCAGTCTTATCGCTTGTTTCCCCGTCTAATCGGGCTTCAGCCGAACATACGTGTTGAATGAAATATTTACTGAACATTTTAAGCGAGCTAGAGTACTCTTTGAATAATTGACATGATTTTGTATCGTAAAGAAATATATAAGTAAAATACAAATCACTACAATTCCTAACATACAGTACTTACAATACAGGTTCATTGTAATTTTATTTTTTCAATGGGCCTTTCATCCGAAATGTAATCAAACGAAAGTAACAAAAGATGCATTTGTTAGTCGCTTTCAGACATTTTTGCTTGAACATTTGAACAGCAGTTTTACATCTCGAGTTATGTATTGCAGATGTTATACTGTTTCTAAAAAACCTAATCAATTTTTGGAAATGGTTTATTATTTTCTATATGAGTTAAGCAATAAGCTGTTTGATGACTGTAGTTAAAATCAATGTGGCAGATTAAAGTCAAACATTTTTTTTGCTGATCATAAAAGTGGGACCACAAACCACATCTAGTTTTTAACCTGGATAGGTCTGCAATAATTTAATGAAGTAATAGTTCTATAATTTATTTAAACAGCTATAATTTGCAACTCTATAGCTATTTACTTTACAATAATTATCGTCAGCTTAGAAAATATCATGACTCAATAAAATGTATGCATTGACTGAATGCAAGTGTTGAAACAACTCCGTAGATCCGCATTTTTCGAAACACACTAAAAGTCAGTTTGTTCAATAAAATAGTCAACGCGCGTGTCCGCTTTACTAATCGTAAAGAAATGTTCGAACCTTTAATATACATGCAAGGCATTTCCTCCTATTGCCGTTTTCCATTATTAATTATTTCGCCATTTAGAATTGTATTACTTCTCAAAATTATCGTGACTACAATGAGATGTTATGGCCATTCTTTATCGTTTCTCGATTGATAGGGCACCGATACCTTGTTGAAATGATTCCAACCAGTATAATCAGACATTGTCCACATGGTGTAGTAACAGTGTGTTCACTTACATTCCTAGAAGCAGTATCGGACGTAAAAATAGAAACATATTTTAGGGTCAGCAAAGTTGGTGAAACGTTCAAAATTTTGCGCGTCTAAAAATTGTTGCCAACAATCAGTGCTTCAGCGTGGTGGCGCTACTGTTGCTATCCGCCATTAAAGCGTTTGAGGCGTGTTGTGAGCCTTGTGACGTCTCGACTGGGGTTTCTTCAACACATTTCACCGTATGTATTCTTTCTTCAGTTCACTACCGTACAAATCTTTGTAACTCAAGTATGAAACTATATACACCGTAACTGTGAACGGTCCTAAAACTAAAAGTAGCTTAGTTAGCAGCAAAAATCGTTTTGCCGGTTCATCCCCAGGACCGTTTGTTGGTGCCCGACTCATGCCCGGCGAGACCCGCCGCAGCGCATAATAACTCGAGGGGATTGTACCTTGAATTGCGTGTAAGACATTTCAATTCACTTTGATTTAATGAAGATCATTGATTCGGGCCTATCTGTCAGAATATCGAGTACACTGGAGAACCGCGAACCCGAATCGGGCGAGAGGACCGATCTCTCTCATCTTTATGGGGTTAGGCTTACTGCAAAAGCCGCTGAACGCTTCGACGCCCACTCATAAAATAATCGTGGTCGCAGTTATTGCTTTCAAGCTCGTTGTGCCGTCATCTATATTGATTGAGAAGTCGAGCTGTTGAGAGCGAGTGTAAGAAAATGTAGGTGTTTATTTGGTATACACATCTGTTATATGTATTATGTTCTGAATTGGTGGTGGTAATCGATTGGTGGTAACCGTGCTCATTGATTTTTAACGTTTGTGTTTTGCCTACACAGTTGGCTGGCAAATATAGATGGTACCCCTGTGGTTATTATAGCATTAGGCAGCAATAGCATATACTACGTTTTGTAACTAACGTGTTGCCCACAGTTAAAGCTAATTAATCACTTTATGAAAAATCTTGTTTATAATTCTAGTAGATTTTATTACTAAATGCAAAGTCTACATTTTAAGTTAGTATTTGTGTCTGAAAAGGTATAGTTCTGTTTCTGCGAACCGGTTATATTTGACCACTTAGTGTTATTAAATTATTTGGCATTACAGATGTCCAGCCGCAACTGGGATCTTAGTTGTAAAGTTTACATTGGCAACTTGGCCAACCACACTTCGCGCCACGACATCGAGTCGGTGTTCGCCAAATACGGCAGCCTGCGCGATGTTTGGGTGGCACGTAATCCGCCTGGATTTGCCTTCGTCGAGTTTGACGACTCTCGCGATGCAGAGGACGCCGTACGTGCGCTTGATGGATCCAGGTAAGAAGGGTTAATCATGTGACAGGTTCAACCCATGATGCCTTTGTCATCACATCCAAATACCCTGCACGAAGCTTGTGTGTTTACACGAGTGTTCACTGACTACGCTATCAACAGTGCTTTGTGTAGTTTGAGTGATTCAAACTTAAAAATCGAGTTTGAATCGCCGTTAATCTTATCACCATTAAGCCTTTTTAGTAATTTTACACGCGATGAATTAGTTTTTATACAAGCCTTCAGATTTCGACAAAATGCGGACAAGACTCTGCAAATAGGTAGCATGCTACGCTTTGAAGTAGCTACGATTCCAAAAATTTTAAAGAAGCATGTAACACTCCAATCAACTACTTCTCTACATATTCTTCTTATTATGGTGCATGTCGGTAGATTTAAAAAGGTTGTTTTGTCTATGATTATGTTGGCTTTTGTTTATAAACATCATCGTGAAGCATCTATACAGTAATTAAAGAGCGATTTATAGCATTTAGTAGGGGCCGTGTCCCATTACGAGAAAACTCTTACTTGTAGGTTGACATAACTGTCTCGTCTTCGTGGTGTCGTGTTTTATAATCCCCTCTATCTACTGTTTAAAAATTTGAAGAGCGAAAATTACGTTTGATATTACGCGAGTGTGTGGAGCTGTGAATGTGAGTAAATAGATGTGAGCGTGGTTGTCGATTGCAAATAGCATTGGCTTTATGGGGACTGCTCACAGTTGTGTGTCGATATGACACACTACGAGAATGGGCTGATACTGGTGCTGTCTCTTGTACGTTCAATTATTCCAAGTAACAGCATGCAGTGTTCTCCCTCTTCATGGTTACTCATACAACAATTAAAACTATTTTAACTAAATTTAGCAGCTTAAACTATGGCGTCGAAAATGTACAAGTTGCATAGATTTCACGTTATCTCCCCTGCCCCCGCCACCTTCCGCAATATATAGAGAGACGACTGACTGAGTGGTGGCCGTTTAATGTTTGCCCGGCAAACGAAAAGAAAAAGGTTTTGTCGACTTTCTTCTTCTCGACGGTCTCTAATATAGCCCCTTGTCTTGCTGTTGAGTTGAGCAACCAAACTAAGATTTCCTGTGTGTTGTTATTATTCGTTGTTGTTGATGATGATCGCGATCGCAGTAACATGGCGTCCCTCTGGCGACCGGCCGTCGGCTGAATCTCAGAGTGACGCGACAGCGACGATAATCGGCAACAACACAAACTTCGATTGCGATCCGAACCACTCTCCTCGTGTCGCTCACTCGCGGGTCTGTCCTCGAACCGCCGAATACAAGAATTCGCTGCTGCTACTACACGAATGTCAGCTCCTCCTCGCTCATCCGCGAAAACGCATCTGCCTCTGACTGCTGCCTACACGTGTGTATGTACCTACCGTTTCGCACGTCGAGGTGGCAGCAGCAGCAGCAGCAATAACCCCCATCGTGCGTGGTGGCGGGCGGGCGACTGACGACGGCTCGCTCCTTTTTCACCTCGACAGATAGACAGGCACCCTGCCAGCCCAGCCCTGGTTGATTGACTCTCTCCCTTTCTTCCGAGGGGGTCCGGCTAGCAACAGACATCCTCCACCATCAATCAGCTATCAGCTCGAACGATCAGCTCTCCTCTTCAAACAGCTCTTCTTGTTCCACACAACTTCCACCATAAGCATAACTTCGAACTAGGCCTCCATCACAACTCCAGTCACCAACTACCATATCGAAACAACAACAGCTTCTACTACTGCTACTGCTACAACCATAGTGTCCGCGAATGTGTGTTTGTATTTTACAAAATGTATTTACTACGTTGCGTTTGTTCATTTTATTATCTAAGCTGAATGGTTATCTTAGGTTTAAGTTTATTGTCGTTGTTGTCAACCTTTACACCTAATACGCACACGAGAACCGGTTATTATCTACTAGGGTGATTTCTGCTTTTACTGTGGCTGTGTTATTCTTCTTCGGTACATATATCCAGTCAATAGAAAAACTAGTTATTTTCCTTTCTATATTTCTATCTAATGTTGTGTGATCGTGACGCTTAGCCGCGCCCAGTAATTACTACAAGTATCTATACACAGATTTCCAATCAATCGTCAGTGTTTGTGCCCTTCGTTTTCTCGGGTTTTTTCCGGCCAACATCTTACAACAACAACAACACATTCTCTTCGTCATGTAACAACAACAACAACAACAAAGTGATTTCCTCGCTCATCCCCCTAACTCTTCCTTCACACTTCGGTCAACCGACTTCGCTCGCCTACTCGTTCGTTCGGCTTCTCCGACAATTCTTCTTCTAACGCCACTGCCATCAGCACCTTCCTCCAACGATAATTCTCCTGCTGCTGCAGCTGTTTCTCCATTCTCCACCTCTCCGCCCTCTGCGAACTGTAGCAGTCTCCACAAATAGCAGCAGCAGCATCAATACAACCAACCAACACCACATCTCTACAGTACTACCATCTGTGGCGACGGTTAACGCTGTTCGTAACTTGATGATGGCTCTGTGCCCAGACCGCTTTGCACTCACGAACTATTCTCAGCAGCAACAACAACGATCCAACAAATCAACCCACCAACAATCTTGCCACCACAGCCACGAACCAATCATCCCTCTGCCTGCTGCGGGGCAACCCTTCGAAAAAACCTGTACGTAGCAAGTACCGTGTGTGAGCTAAAGCTACAAAAACTTCGCCCCGTGAACTGACTCATGAGTTTCATAAGTCCACGACGAAAAACCACATTCTTCTTTCTTCGGAGGCGCAATTGACAGGCCTCTTCTAGAGCAGGTACGAAATAGTAAAAGTCTCTGGTCCATTGGTTAGCTCTGGGGTTCGATCGCAGGAAGTGTTTTGTTCACCTCTGAAAAAAGGATACCAACATGAGTATCAGACCAAGACCTATATAAACAGGTAATTCATGACAAGTGGGCTTGGTCTATAGGACAAGTTAATATGAAAGAGCTATGTTGTAGGTGGAAGATGATAAACCAGTACTTCTTGCGTTTCTGCATATCTGGATTTCAACATTACGCTTGGCGCAAAAAAGCTAAAGAAAGCTTAGTTGAGTTCGCTGGAGCTGTCGGTGTTGTGTACTTTGCCAAAAAGACCTACTTTTAGGTTCAATCCTAACTGGTTGAGTACAATATCACATTACGTATGTAATCTAGCTCCCAAATGGTGCTAATTGCAAATGCTTGCTTATTTCATTCACACTTAGTAGTGGATCAGCGGTGGCTCAGGAAACTGTTTAAAATTTAACATCGATTATTGGTGGCGAATAAAGGAGCTGCTTAAAATATCGCCCCTTCCCCCATATGACACTAATACACAAATCTCGCATTAATTGGGGTGATACTACAGTATCATTGCTGCAGCAAAAAAGATGGTAACAATCAGAAGTGGTGGAACTTCATATTTACGATTAACAATTTCGACTAACAAGGAGTTTTCTATTTCATCTGAACGCAGGATTTGTGGAGCACGCGTGAAGGTAGAAATGTCACACGGCAAACGACGTAACGGTGGAGCCCGAGGCGGAAGGGCTCGCAGATCTCGCTCTCGCAGCTACAATCGCAGAAGATCGTACTCGCGCAGCCGTTCAAGGTCAAGGAGCAGGTCGTATGGTCGAGACCGCCGTGATGGGGCTGGTCGCCGGGACAGAAGTTATTCACGAAGTCCCTCAAGGTCTCGCTCCAGAGACAGGCATTAATTAGAACGGTTTGAAGCTTAAAACACTTGCATGAATGTATAAGTCGGCATACCCCTATTTCATCTGGCCGCGTAGGTCCGTCTATTCCAGAACAGAAAATAAACTTTGTTCTTTATTTGTAACCTCTGGTGTTTTTCATATTCTAACTGGAATTTGTTAATTGACAGTTGACTTACTTGATTCTTGAAATAAGTTAACTTGCAGTGTTAGTTTGCAGAGTTTTGCAGTGTTAGTTAACAAATGTAAATTTTAATAGGACCCATAACAGGGTGATGCCTATTCATTTTCTATTATTTAAGTTTAGCTAATAACGGTATTAAAGAAGCTAAACAAAGAAGTTTTTGAGTATAAGATTTTCTTGTTATACTGAGGCTACTCAGCGGGAATAGTCAAACTTTCTCTTGGCGTTTTCAAATTTTTTTTTATTATATAATATGCAAACTGAGTTTGCTTTAGGTTATCAAATACTCATAGGATTTTTCATTTTTGAAACTTAAGAAGCGTGTACAACAAACAACGTGTAAATGGAAGAATCCGCGTATAAAATCAAATTTAGGCCTTATAAGTCTACTACTTTTCCGTTGTAGAAGAAAAGGTGAATGTTTGTTCAGCTAGATTTAACCAAATATCTAAACAAAGCTATTTGGTGCTGTGAGCAATTCTTTGAACTCGTTGTGTATCTTAAAGGTCAACATTTATTCTTGCAGATCAAAAAACTTCGAGGGAACATCTGCGGCTCTATCACTATTTGAGAGTACATTTATTAGTGAATGGTTCGCGATCGTAAATAGGCATCCTAAACCTTGAAATAATCTCAGGAGTTTTTTTTCGATGTACATGTGTCGGAACACGACATATTTAATTTTTTTAATAACTAATTTTAGTGTATTTGCCATAAAATACAAGATACGCCGTTCTTCAAACTGAATAATTCTTGTGATACTAATATTCTAATAATATAGCAATGATCATGCAAGGATGGTAATAGAATTACTTCGCGTAGATCGACCGGTGAATCGAGATAATCCATTGGCGTTATTATTAATGAAACCATGATTGAACTTTATTTCCATTGTAGCAACAAAGAATAAGTTAATATCTTTACATTTAATATTGTTTTTGTGAATATAGCGCGAGGCAACTAGACCAATAAGGCACATCACCGTGGGGTGTGCTGTTTAGTGAGGGTTATTCCGCTAGCAAAGTGACATGTCGAGCGATCACTGCAAAAGTGAGCACTTTTATAGCTGAAAAACAGATCGCGTAGTAAGCCTGTTTGATATATGCGCATGATCAGTTGTTACTTTTAATAATAACTAATAATATATAAAACGTAAGTGTGCTTGTGTTCAGCACTGTTCGGTATCACTCCGTAGATAGGTCGTCGACTATGTATGTACATCTAGTCCATGTAGATTATTCTCAAAAGTATTGACCAACAGGAGCTATAATAGGACATTCCATACTGTTAACTATTTCGCTATCGCAAACACCTTCAATTCGATGGCGTTCGCTTTGACGAGAAAAATTTTCGATTATGCCGCCGTACTGCATGCTCCACTCTTTCGTCATCCCCCCCCCTGCTCCGAGTCGGTGGCGCTGCAATCGCGCGTCGCCATTTTGGACAGTAAGGCGTGCTGTGAATTGTGCGGTGTCGTGTTTCGAAATCCAGCGTGAAATTTTACGGTAAGTATGTTTTTCTTCTATGTTTGTGGCATATAAGTTTGCCAGGCACTTAACTGCATTTGTACTAAATAGTTGATAAGGTTAGGATATCTCAAATGTTTTTTTTACTGTGAGATACCAGATGCCGATTGATCTCTTTATAGTCTGACCAGTTTAGCTTAGCTGTCTTAAGCTGATTGCTAATAGCGCAGGAGTATGGGGATGACTCCGCAGCTGCGAGATTGATTGGCTTATGAATAGAAATGGCTAAGTATCCTTTCTTTGGGGTTAATTTTTTGGAAAGAGGCTAGAAATAGGCTTATAACACTACAAAGCAGCTCTAACTAAAACAGGCAGCGCAAAATATCTCAACCTACGCCCATGATAAACGGCCTTAAGGTCCCAGCAAGATCCTGCAGTTGCCTGGCCGACCTTCATTGTTTTTTGTTACCATCCACATCTATCTTGCAGACAAGGCAGCCCTTCGTACAAAAGATTAGTGTTTAATGTAAAACTTTGTAAATAAAAATGCATCTTACTGAGGAGTTTATTCTAATATTTGTCTACGGAAATCACTTGCGCATTGGCTACGTCTGAGCTGTCAAACCCAGTGTGCTACTGCAGTGGAACATTTCAATTTAGCATATATAATATCGAATAGCTCAACATTGACAGGTAAAAATAGAAATTCTATATTTTGATCATTATTGCAATGTATTCTTATTGTTCACTGTGGAGAATTCATGTAGGCGCTTATTGATGATCGTTCTATTAGTTAGTCAAGCTCACTTGAAGAAGACTGAAGAAGTTCATACGTATTGATTTACATCTTGTAAGTTGGATAATTGTCATTGAATTGAAAATGGTCTACTGGTAAACAAAAGATAATGAACGTTTACTGTTATTCTGTCAACAATATCTAAAGTATTGTTGTTAATGCTTCTGTATTTATATGTATTAAAATATGTATATATGTATGTACATCTCTATGTTATAAGCTTCTTCAAGTGTTAATGTTTCAATAAATAATTAGTTTAACGCAACGGCAAACTATACAAGCCTATCTTTTATTATGGATTTAGATATAATTACAAAGTACGTGTCTGTGCGGTGTTCCATTCTCGTATTAATTACAGATGTCTAGCCGCGACTGGGACCTCACTTGTAAAGTATACATTGGCAACCTTGCTAATCACACCTCGCGTCATGACATAGAATCCGCATTTTCGAAGTATGGCAGCTTGCGTAACGTTTGGGTAGCGCGCAATCCACCTGGATTCGCGTTCGTCGAATTTGATGATTCGCGCGATGCTGAAGATGCTGTACGCGCTTTAGATGGATCAAGGTGGGTTCAGAATTTTTGAGCATTCCAGGTCGGGGTGGGGAGATTACACTCTATTTGAAATCTATTTGAATGGGTTCACAAGACTGTGGTTATCGCAATAAATTGCTTGTTAAAGTTTTCAAGCTAAATACATATATGACATAACAGCGAAACATAAGCCGTTGTGTGGATTTTCAGATAACGTTGTGAAACATATGGTATTTATAAACGAGGACCTAATTAATTACGACTTTTGTTGAATAGAGATTTTTATATGAGACATCTGCTTCGTTTTTCTATACGAGCATGTTTTTAGAAGAAACGAATTGTAGCGGTTCGTAATATTGCTATGTATCATTTCAAAGATCTATCTTGGCCATCACGCCATGCTTATTTAGAGCCAGCGGACAAAATTTAGTAGAGATCCGTTCGAATCCTTTTGCCATATTTTCCAAGCCATAGCCACCTCCTTTCCACATTTATTCTACAACTAAAACAGATCCTGATGAGCAGGCGGCTACGTTTATTGTGTTCTTAGTTTAAATGTCCCATAGCCATAACGAAACAATGGCTGATTTTACATGCAAGTTTTTATGCGCATTGTTCGCCAGCGTTTGCTTGTTGACCCGGCATGCAAAGCTGCTGAACAATTCACTCTTTATGCGCCTGTTGTTGGTAATGGGAGCTATATGCTGTTGATGATCTAAAGGGCTGCCGGGTTTCTAGATTCCGCCTTCCTGCAGAATGAAAAGCGAAAAAAAAATAAACTATTGTCTATAGAATTCAAGGTGACAGCTGTTTTGCTAACACACACTATGGTCTAGCTGTTGTTCTTGATGTTGTGGTGGTTTGCTGCAAAATTGGTCAATTAGTCACTTTGTACCTATCTGTCTATGTTGAAGTAGTAGTGTCTTGTTTTTAGTCTCATTAGCATTGAGTTGAGCAACCAAACTAAGATATACTGTGTGTTGTTATTATTCGTTGTTGTTGTTGTTGTTGATGGTGTCGCAATCGCAGTATCATGACGTCCCTCTGGCGACCGGCCGTCGGCTGATCCTCGGAGTGAGGCGACAATCTGCAGGCGCCCATCTCAGGCACAGACAGCTGCTTCCGTAGCGAGCATCCGAGCTCCTCGCCGGGCCTCGGGTTCTCGTACACGCCGATACAAGAGCCGCAAGATCAGCTCCTCGCTCATCCGCGATCAGCCTCCTGTCGGTCTCTCTCTCTGTCTACGTAGAAATCTACCTCCTGCGCTCGAAACCTTGTCGGCGTCTGTTTCGCACGTCGAGGTGCAACAAACAACAGTCCCAACATGAGGAGCACAAGGGCATCTGACAGCTTGATGCTTTCCTCGCCCCGATCGGCCGACACCAACCTACCTAGCCATCCAGCCAGCCGGCCGATCGGCCGGCCAGCTCGCCCATATGTACTCCCTTGATTCTTGGTCTAGGGAGTCCGGCTAGTGCTAGCGTCTCCACCACCACCACCATGAAGCAGTCAGCTTTAATCGGCTCGATCGATCTGCTTCCACTGCTGCTGCTTTGTCCTTCTACCACACCACTGTTTACCATCTCTCCAAGCATGGTCTCGAATGATGCCAACGAATGATACGACTTCTACAACTGCTACTACTCTACCATGTCGAAACACCTTTAATCTACCTCTCTACTTATCTTCTACTATTTGTCAACCGCAAACAACAGCATCAACTATCGGTTGTGTTAAGTAACCACCACCTTGAGCTCAACAACAACAGCAACAGCCACCACAACCACAACAGCCATGATTCATCATCCATTGTATTCAACCAATCAACCAACTATCCACCCAATCAGTCAACCAATCAGCCCTCTCCTCTTCAGCCAACTCGTTACTACTATCACCAACACCATCAATAACACCATTCAGGTCCCCTTCAATCGCTATGGCAACAGCTTCTGGGTGGTCAACTTCTTGCTGCCAACTCTCCAACTTCACAGCTCTATCGTGTTCCCTCGCATCTGCAGCAACAATGTTACGGCAATATCTTCACAGTGACAGCACCACTACAACTAGCGAGAGGGAGACAATTGGTGCTCCGATGATGAGCCTGCCTTGTGGCCATCAATCGATTTCGACAATAATCCACCACAACATCTATTCACCACAAGCACCAACAATTCACCACTACCAACTCTACTGTAATAGCTAGGTACAAAAGATACAAACAAAACGACAAAGGTACAAAAAGAACTACGAGATGAGCTTCTATCCCCGAACCTGCTATTTTTGCCGAGCAACTCGCCCTGTGGACTCTACCTGGAGCGGACGCTTTCGGCCAAGTGAGGCCATGGGTCGTCTAGCAACAGTTAGCGGTACTGTGTTCGCCTCGGCAGTTGTAAATGACTTATTGCGGGTGACGATGCAATTGTTTCACGTCACTATTGTATTATGATATTATATGGTGCATCAATGGTGTGCAATTGCTTGATTATTTCCAGTAAATATTTAACTACATACCAGGAAAGTGGTTGACTTAAACGAATGCTTGTGGTGGTTCGGGTGTTTTAAGTGTAGCTTAAGTTTCATCTTATTGATGGTGAATAGCTTTAGCACAGGCCGAAAAGAACCTTTTCAAGGAGATCTTGAGTTTTTTACGTTTAACGTATCTCAAATGATCTCAATTTACGTAATACAACTGAAACATGTCAGATATTATGAGCAAGAGGAAAAAATGGGCAAGATAATACATTGGCTTTTAGATTAACACAAATATTTTGTTGCGACTGTATATAGGATCTGCGGTGCGCGAGTGAAAGTTGAGATGTCGCACGGAAAGAGGCGTAATGGAGGTATTCGTGGAGGTCGTGGGCGCCGATCCCGCTCTCGTAGCTACGACCGCAGGAAATCATATTCACGCAGTCGTTCAAGATCTAGGAGCAGGTCATACGGCAGGGACCGCGGAGCTCCGCGTCGTGAGCGAAGCTACTCAAGGAGTCCTTCAAGGTCGCGCTCCAGAGATAGGCACTAAGCTGCCAGCGTAGTGAATTGCACGAGAACATGTGTCGATACGTAGATTGGAAGCTATTAACAAGGTGAACAGCAGCTCAACAACTGAGGCAAGGGGCCTGATCAGCTAGGATAACGCCTCATAATGTCCGTAGGGGAGGTCGGAGGCTGAAGAAAAAGCGCTAGAAACTGATATATATAAGGCGAACGGTAGATGAAGACCGATCGATTTATAAAAGCTATAAGTTCTAAAACATCGCTATGTTGTAATGTAAGAAAGGACACGTTGGCGAATAAGCCATCTTCGAGAGGTCTATGGTGTGGTTTCACTGCTTGGGTTCGGTGATTATAGTAGAAGAGGAGATGCTGAGACGGCGTTTTCCAATTGTAAACTTGGTAATGAAGAATGACAAAATAATCATAAATTATTATTAGTACTTGTGATGGTAATTATGATTATTTTCAATTGTGTATATTGTTTAAATAACTATCCGCACAGTTCGGTTATTTATGTGAAAAGGACAATACCATAATACTAGCTAATTATGTGCTACGAGGCTAATAATAATTATGATAGAGGAAAGTGTATTATGATCTTTCCTCCAGTGTTTGCGTAAAAGTAATTTTTGGCAAACAAATAAATGCACTGGGAAAATGAATGCACTGAAGCGCCATTTCTGTTAACATTATTTAGTTTAACAAGCATCGGATAAGCTAAAATGTCATTCGTAAATATTGAGAGGATAAGTTGTTGATGAAATTGCAGACATTTAATATCTTTTCAGCCTTTTGAAATATAACTTCCTAAATATTAAGGTTTCTTGGTACTACATTATTATATTGAGGGCTTTGTGCGGTTGTGAATTACAACGCGATGCAATAGACTCACAACAGAACAGGCATTTTTATGTAATGATTATTATAAAGATCCTTTAGACTGAATTGTCGGAAAAAATGAGTCATGTTGGTTTTATGATTTGATTACCAATTTCTTAATTAGTTACCAAACTCATTTTATATACGTATTCTGGAGATACTCGGACAACTAGCAACTGCATATTTTAAATCAAATACGTTTCTTGATATGATCAGCAACAAATCAACTGTGTCGTTCAGCTGTGTTTAATACTGAGTCGACCATTTACAAAAAAAAACGTGTAAAAAGGAAATACCGTTGAAATTCAGAGTTTTTCATACCCTAACAATTGAATTATTGACTAGGGTAGCTGAAACCCTTTTAGATTAAGTCATAGGTAGTTTATGTTATCCGTGGTACCAGAAGTTTTTAAGAAGTAAAGATTTCCATGCACTAAAAAAATTAAATGTGTACATTTGTGAGGTCTCGGCACCATGTGTAACCAAAAGAGCAGTTATTTTCCTTTAATGTTAATTTTGTGTTCTTACTGTGTTAAATGGTTCAAAAAGTTCCAGCGGTTTTTTTTAATTTGTTTTACTTTTACTTATGTTTGACTGGTTCTGGCCAATTGTAATATATCCTTCGAATCGCTTCCTCTTCTCTGCAAAACTATTGCAATTGTATTCTACAATGAACAACAGCATTTTACCTTGTGCATGAGATAAAATTTACTTCACTGCAGAACGCAACCACAGCGTATGAAAGATATAGCAGGCGCTTTCGAATGACGTATAACATTTGGAAATATGCAGGCGAATAATAAAGCAAAAACGAAAATTTGAAACAATCGAATGAACTTCTTTGACCTTATTTGGCCTAATCAATAGTGATGATAATTTATAAGTTTTATATATTTTATAAGCCAAAGAACTGACGAATTATACATTCCGCTACCCTGCACGGCGTATCTAGCTCTGCGCATTTTTTTTGTCAGTGTTAGCTATTATATTATTACGCATATCAGATACACGTTCCGTTCATAGCATCCTTAATTCGCAATAAGTCCTCTGTATAGCTAAATAGAGTAACCTTACTAACCTAGAGAACTAAAAATAATGAAAAGCAAAAATAGAGAATTGTAGTATGGTTCTCTCAAAAAATGTTCCAGAGTCGGAAGCTAAGACACACTCCAAGCCGAGGGTAGGCGTAATATTAAAAATCACTTAAATGCTCACGAGCACCACGATTTAGGAGATCGTATTCAGAATGAACACCGAGTTTCAAAGTTTCATGGCACCATCACATCAAGATAATATCGTTTATCTGTCCAACGTTACGCCATATACGCCATTGGGAATAAGTTACTGATCAATAAAGTCGCCTAGAAATGACGTGATTTAGGCATTAATATTATTAGAGTTATTTTTGCATTCTGGGATGTATCTTTTCTATATTTTCAACTTCTAATAGGATTTTTTCCACTGCTTAGATATATTGCTGTTTTTGAAAGGCACTACTAAATACCTTATTTTCTAGGCTTATTTATTCATTCGTACATTTTTATTTGTTCTCAATGTAAATAAAATTATGAAACCAAAATAATAGCCCCGCAACATAAATTCATTCACATTTATTTATTCACAAATATTCCAATTCGTGGAAAACTACCTGCAGGGTGTTTTTCTAGCTGTAAATATATATCATACTTTGGAATTTTGCTTTCACTTTCTTAAGTAAAATTACTTGGAAAATATGCCTTAGAATGAATTGATTATCACGCTGGCGTCCAATAGCCGTTGGCAGTATGACTCTACGCGTTACGCTTTTATGACCTTCACTATTATACGTTATTGTGAAGCCATTGCTGCGCATCGCGTGGCTTGTACCTTAGGTCCTGATGGTACCGTAACCGAGATTATACGCTGGCGCTGGCATGACATGAGTATCCACGAATATGATGAAGGGGCACTATTCCGTGAAGGAGGTGAAATACTGTCGGTTTTCTGCTACGCGGAACCAAATGCCACTGATGGATTGAACGACCGAAAAATCACAGGGAATAATGCAACATAAGAGCATCTTTATTGATTACCCTAAGGAGGAACACTCATTAAAATCATATAACGTAACATGAAACATATTAGCTAGTAATTACTTCTTGAAATTTTAGTCATTTCAATAATCGGGTTAACCTTCAGGTTAAAATCTTATCAATGTTCTTGGAAGTTGCGGCTTATAGAGTATCTGTGATGTTTTGATCATTACGTCGATGATTATTATTACAAATGACTAGCGATTGATCTACCGATATTTATGTTAACTTACCTATTGAACATTTAAACGTTGACAGCCTTATGGAGTTGGGTTATAGGTTTGATAACAAGATTACTTGCAAAAATTTTGCATTGACGCTACGTAATGTGGCACAGTTAAAAGCGTCAAAATGCTTTTTCGGATAACTGTGTCATATTTCCAAACAATACATATATTTTTTTGGAACTACAAGGTTGCATCAGGCATGTTATGAGCTATTTCACGTTTGATTTGGTATGCGCCAACTTGATTAATGGGTTAGGAGAAGCTAGGTGATTCACTGCTTTTTACACTTAGATTTGATGAGTATGAAAGCTTATCTAACTGTTTTTATTATATAACAGTTTGATTTGTGAATTTCAGAAAATAAGACTTAGTTATCTTTTCACTAAACTACGGTGACTCGTACATGCGGTAACTATATTTTACTTTATTCTAGCCATATTATTCTAACCATACTCATCGTTGTTTTAGTATTTAAAATAAAAAGAAGAAATCAACTTTTTCCTATTTATATGCTTAACAAGATGTTTTATTTCTTGTTCCTTTGTTGGTACTGGATAACCTTTAAAAAATACAGGTCAAGGGTCAGTTATACCGCCTACTAAATTAAAATGTATGATTATTTCTTTTATAGCTTCATTTCTAATAACAACACATCATTGGCCTGTTTTAAATGTTGCTCTATCATATATTTTGCGATTTTATTATCGAGAAAACCCACTGTCGAAGTATTTTTGTCTAACTATGTCAGCTGTTGTTGGCCCCCTGAAAAGAGTTTATAACTCCTCGGGTTTAAGCTCGATTAGAGCAGAGATTTGGCATTTACAGTGAGCTTTACTAAGAAGCTAACAGCTTAAAAAGGCAAATTAATCATAGCATTTTATTTCAATTTCATTGACTTAATTAAACTGGGCACAGCATTGCATGAGTGAGATTACAATTTCGATTTTATGGAATATGGGTACTGCATTACACCCAAAAGGATACAAAATATAATGGATGGCACTGTATTATACAAAACAGGCGTTCCATAAGCTATAGGCCAATTTCCGCCTAGCTTGTACGGTTTAGAATGGTCAAGTAAATCTCCAATAGTAGTGATATAAACTATGCCTTACAGTAGATAATATGCATTAGTTGTTGCAGCATACGATTAGGACTTTCGATGGGTCTTTTTATGGTAAGGTAGGGCAGTAAGAGGATATCATTTTTTTAAAAAAACGTTTATGTATGCAGAAAATCTTACCTTAATAGATTGGTAATCAGCTCTAGCTTGTAGGAAGGTAGTCATTTTTAGTCTTCGTGGATATGGTATAAATTTTTCTTATGTTCTGACACGCGGTAGTAATAGAGACAACAGCAAACCGATATCAATCTGAAAGCTGCGCCACTTAACCCAGTGCCACGCAAAAAATCCTGTACAATCAATAAGTAGAAGATTAGAGGGCATTAACGAGTTCGAACGGTTATTGGATGTCCTCTCCAAAAAAAAGAAAAACATACATTGTAAATAATGCAAGCAGTTAACCGCAGTATAATTCGTCACTTCACTCTCCGCAGTTGTTATGAGCACCACAGTGGAACCCCTTCCAAATATAATTATCACTATCGCATTGCCATTGTTAATCGGCAGTGTTGCACTGTCCTTCAGCCAAAGTTGAAATTGTTAAGAAATCAACAATGATATCTCCGAAAGTCCCATTCATTTATGTTGTGTCTCTATGCCCACGAACTACTAATCGTAACGTTATTATCATTCACGTCAACAACTATATAATAATGATTTAGAGAAATATTTTCCAGCAAAATCTTTCTATTGTTCTTGATTAGTTCTGTAGTACTGCATCAACAGCCGTGACTATCATACATATCTTTGTCTTGTAGTTGTTATTAATATGGTACAGTGTCTACTAGTGAACCATGGAAACAAATCTGCGGCATCTTTTGTAACGGCATCTTTATTTCCTGGGATTCGACAGCGTTGTTCGAATTGAGTACGTACTCCACTTCAACTTGTTCGGAATGAGTGTCGTTTAATTCCGTAAATAAAACCCAATTTTTCCTCCAAATCATGAATTTACGAGCGTGTGGAAAGTATTTTGTTGGTTACCTTAATAATCCGATATTAAGACAATATTCATCTGCTGGGTCAAAATCATTATTCAGTATTTTTTTATTAGGGAAAAATACAACAGGTAATTAATTAGATCTAGCTAAATCATGTGGTCACAGACTTAAAGTAAGAGCGTTATGTTCATTAAAATCCACTAACTGTTTAAGTCGGCCCAAGGTTATTTAGCGACACTTTCGTAACAATACAATGAGGGGGCATAAGGAAATAGAAAAATAATACACGTATACTAGCTTAGATACAACTATATTGTATTAACAAGTAGAACGTATTTAAGGAAATTCACATTGCTTCAATAATAATAAATAATATATAGAAATCTCTGTGTTTTGAGATTCACGTCCGGCACCGCCATTAGGCACTTAATCAAGGGTTCGCTCTCAGCACGAAATGAAGTGTGTCTATGCTCGGATTCGAACTTAGACTATTATGTGACACTAATACTATGTGACGTAAATGGTTACATAACTGCTCATTTAAGAGAATCAGAATGTTTTTTATTCAGTTCTCGTAAATATCGAGACAAGATATACTTTAAATATCTATTGTATCGCATGATTTTGAATTTTGTGAATGATGTGCAATTTAAACTTTTTGTACCACCATCATGGCATCGTTATATGACCTAACCCCGAAACATTTCACACACGCGGCCAAGTTCCATAAAAATCTTATCCAGCTGTATGACGAATTTACTGGAGTCAACCGTCTTCGCTGTGATGTAGCATTTGATCAAATACTGAACCACCGGACTCAATGATACGAAGCCCCGTATTATAAGGGCGCTCTTTCTTCAGGTGGAATTCACATCGATCGTATGTTCGAAGAGTCCCATTTTGTAGTGTTTCCTAGACCACAGAAGTCCTCAAGATATTCTGCACCATTTTGAATCAGAATGGATATAGCTGAATGTTAGTAATAACAAAACGTATTTAATAATAAAAAAAAAAGCATACTTCCTTTACACACTCTAAATTGCAAAAAGCGAAAAATAGTCTATAGGTTAGAGACACTTACAGAATCTAGCCTTGGGAAAATATCGTATTTATAATGTCTAATATAATGTATAATATAGCATTTATAATGTCCGTAGAAAAACAATAGTCACAAGAGCTCCCAATATGGCCCTACAAAGCGAAAAATGTGCATTTGCTATTCTTGCCGGAATATCATAGTGAAATTAGGCTCAACGTAAGAGCCATCCCTTGTAAAAATTGCTTGTCAGGGATACATGTACCCCCAAGCACATGGCACAGAAACTACATGAGAGGTCTATAGCGAAACTTACATTTCTGATAGGGATGTTTCTTGTAATTCCAAAAGTACTAGTCAATGTCTGTGCTGGTGTTCTCAATAAATTCGGATAAGAAGGTCAACGCAAGGAAATACGTTGTAACTGTAGTAATTTCGTGCATCTCATCTTTGGAAACGACCTTGGCTAATAGTGGAGGTCCACTAGCTAGAAAGTTTACAATATTATATCGTACATGTATTTAATTTTAGTTAGCACATATGCAAAGAAGATAGCTAGAAAGCATCAGAAACTGATGGTTAGAAAGCTAGAATAAAGCTAAATCACTGGAATTATCATGGAAGCTTTGTATTATTACCTGAATATGATAAACATTACGAGCTTCTCTCAAATGTATTATTATTTACCAAAGTTCACTACTAAACGTACTCTTAATAATTTAAAGTAAAAACGAAACTGCAAATATTTGCATTGCCTTCGAGCAATGCGACCAGTGCTTTTTTGTCACTTCAAGCACTGCTTATTGACACATGACGAAAAAATTCAAAATGTGTAATGCAAGGTGATATTAGGAACACAGGAATTGTCATGTTATGGCACACGCTGACCATTTGTGCCCTCCTCCAGATAGATTATTTATTTACTAATTCGTCTCAGTGAATGTCATGCGTTATTTCCGCCGGTATACGAGATGTCGCGGGTCAATACCGCTTGTGGATTTAGACGCGCCAATTTTTTTTATCATATAAGTGAGACTATGTAGTCAAAAAGGGTCAGAACAAACACTTACTGATATGATCAGCATATTATAGAAACAAATATATAAAATCAATCGCAGTGCATCTCGATTGGTGATCACTGCACGGTTTTAAAAGCCAAAGTTTATGTATATGATTTCTTTCATTGGCCCTGTATTCAACAAGTGATGGTTTATATATACCATTTGCACCGTCAAATCAAATACAGATACAAATCAGACCAAATATAGGTATTTATAAATAAAACTTTTGCTGCATTTGTTTTAACTAAAAATATGTTCGTCCTTATTTGCAATGTGTTCCATTTGAGTTGAACGCTCTTCGATTTATGATTAAAAAAGCATATAAGAATATTTTTAGCGCATATATTGTCCGCACAGTAGTCAAAATTCGTAATTTTTAGAGAAATTTCATAGAATCGATCACCGAATGTATGTTTACACTGAATGTATCGATCCCATCACGTAAGCTTACAAATCCACTTTACAGCCGTTTTCTGATCTACCAACATCGTCTACAGTTTTTTCTTTGTCTCTATGTCAATAGTAAAGCCAAACAACGTAGTCAAAAGATTACAAACTGATACAAAGTATAAACGCACGTATTTAGATCATGACCAATTACTAAGAAAGCAAAAAAGGTTTTGTCTATTGATCAACAATTATTACATTGTCTTACTATTGATGAAGAAATGATAATAACAAATAAATTTTGACCTGCAGATCCAAATCGATTTTTAGTCTCCAAGATCATTTAAGTAATTTTCGCGTTTATTGTACTATTGTGATTGAAGCAGCAATTTTTAAAATGTATATCAAAGGTTTTATTGAACAAATTTTCCGCGCTAAATATTTAAAGACTAGAGCTGATGGCTTCCGTAATGGTGCAGTAGACAGCGTATTTTGTCCGCCAAACTTAAGGACATCTAGTAGTCTAGCTCCGAACCCAAACGTACACATGCCTCGTCTCGCATTGGAGTCCATCCGTTGAACGCTCTGTGAATCTCCATTGTGAGCAAAACCAGAAATCTAATAAAACCTTAGCGCACCTAGAGCAATAAATTTCGTCGTAGAGTTACGTAATGGTATGCAAGTCAAGTTGTCCGATTAGGAGCTCTACTCTAGATCTAGATCAATTTAATGAATAAAATATTTTACATGGGAATGGATCCTCATACACCAAGAACAAATTAAAACGTAAGGAGCCTATTCTTCAAAAACATGCAAAATCTTTTAAAACCGACACGATCCTATGACAAACTAAAGTAATTTTGCCGTCTTCTAGGGCAACTTTTAGTAAACCTTGCAGTTGTGGTTTTATATATATATATATATATATATAAACCAATGAAATTACTTTTTCCATGAAGTATCGTGAACACTAAGATCGTCTCTGACTAATATGAAATAATATTAACCATCTAAATTTGCTGTCCTTTAGACAGCATTGGACTGATGATAAATGATCCATCTCACAACATTGGTTGCACCCTTAAACATGCAATTTATCAATTACACTTAATATCTATTTTTCTTAAATTAAAGTGTTCTATAGTACAATATAAACACATATGTATTAAGTAACTTTACCAGTACACTTGATGTGTTACATTATGCGGCAATGATTAGCAAATGTAATTTATTAATTTCTTTGTATTACTAACCTTTGAGATGGGTTTGCGCGACTCGTAACACAGGGCAAACACGATTTCATTAAATGACAAGAGGAATTTTCAGGTACGAAGGTCATACGAACTTTATAGGTGATTAGACCGACTTACAGCGTCAGTTGTTTTTCATATATGTGTGTAGCATAGTATTGCGTGGCCATAGATTTGACAATCATTTCGGAAATCCGCAAAAACGACAAGAACGTAACTTCAGTAGATTAACGCCAGTCATAAAACTTTTATTTACATAGTGCATTTTTTTGTTGTTTAATTGTCACATTATTCAAAAGATAAAATCATCTTGTCTTCGGCTGGTTAATTGTATCGTTTCAGAATTTGAAGGATCAGAAGTTCATCTTCGATGCATTAAATACTATGGTGTATATATTTAAATACGCTCGCGAGTGGGTTGCTCTATATGATTTCTGATAGACTAAATCACGCTATATCAATGATAAAAATATATTAAACTACAATTACAGTCTACTTAGTACTACAAAGAGTAGACAATATCTGTAATGCGTTACTTATGGACATAAATTCCGCGCTTATTAAATAAGGCAAAATTATAAAAGCACAAAGGTACGTAATTTTTAACTTCAACTTTCACATTGCTAGAAAGTAATACTATTTATTAGTTAATGTATGGAAATATTTACAATAACTTGAATTATCAAAACCGTATCACATATATTTAACAACAATTTTTGACCTTTCAATAACATCATCTCTGAAACAATCAATCTGAAGGACATGAGCACACCCTTTAGAGTCGTACCATACGCTTAATTTGACGTTATCGAGAGTTAGAAAGTGTATTCTATCAGAGCACTTCGACTTACGATATACGGATCGCAAATCCGATTTCAGCAGTTCTTCTATGGCTGGTAGCAAAGTGTCTTCATCGCTAAATCGTAGGCATCGCGGACACATCTCTTGGCTACACCTTTTATGAAAACTGTTTAAGGACTCACGTGCTTCCGCAGTGAGTACAACGTTGTTTAATTGTTTACTCTGCTCAGCGCGAGTAACCCATGTATCATAAGAGATAGGATGGTGCAGTAGGTCTGAAGGGCTATCATACGATTCAATAAAAGGCTTTACATCAAGCACTGGTGTACCATCAACAAGGTCAACTCCTGTTAGAGTTAAGGTATCACCACTCACTTCCTCCAGGTACGCTAAGGTAAGCCCAACGGGATTTGGTCGGTGGGGTGACCTTGTAGAAAAAACCCCTGTTGAACGGCCACCCATACGCGGCGGCCGTATCTTGGCCTTTGCTGATGATACCTGATTGAGGTGAAACCAAAAAATCAGCCATACATATCGAAATTCCTTAAGGCCCTGGAGGGAATGAGATGGATTGGAGAAGATGTCTCGAGAAATACGGAGTTCAGCACGCACCTGAGGACAAACTACTCCCTGACGTGGTGTGCCATTTTTGGTAGCATAGGCAGTGCGAATGTAACCTACCGGCCGACAAAACAGTAGCAAGTTCGATGAAACATTCATGTCAAGAACGGCATATGTTTTCGACTCTAGTGATGTCAGTTGACGGGACAGATCCGAAATACGTTTTAGAAGACAACGCCCCTCTGTAGGCGGTAACATATCAGATGGTACGGCATAGACTCTAGTGGAACTCAGCCCTCAAAATCCTTAAATAGTTGCAGAAAAATAAAGAATAACAAGAAAGCATATGGCGGAGAGTTAATTTACCTTTTTCACATTACTATTTATACGCTAACGTCCATGCAGGGCGGATTAATATTTAATGAAGGCTGGCACTACCCCAAAATAGGCGTTCAATAGTTTTTGGATTGTATTCAACTAAGAGCAAAATGCATGTAAACGAGAATTGATATATTTTAACCCTAAAATGTTCATATATTTATTAACAGTATGTTGGCACGTTATATGAGAATATTTATCATGCAAGTAATTTAGGTTGTTTCTAATCTCAAAAAATATGCATACATCTTTGAAAGATTGTACTGTTCTCCTTGACTGATAGAGATTCATGTTCGGTAAGGATGATATCGTTCTTTCTACTGTTTCATCATAAGACGCGGCAAGCTCTTCCAATAAAGTTGCAACGTTTTGGGAAATTTTCGCCTTGAATTTAAGCTTATTCAAATCACAACCTACCGGTTGCCGGTTATCGATGAAAGAAATCCACAACGAACACTTTAGTTGACTTTGTCGTCTGCTCGATACGTGATGCCACTGATAGCATAGTGAAGGTTTCCTCAGTCTTCATGAGATTTCATAACAGGCAATAAAAGCTCCCAATATTTAAAGCAATGACGACGATGCCGAATCGCAGAACACCGACTGCACTTGTTGATAAAGCTGACGCATAAGCTAGATCACAGATTCTAATTCATATAGTTATACAGACACAGAACTGTAGAATATAAGGTCTTCGTTTTGCTAGGTCGCTAATTGAGCTCTTTGAAGGTACAGATAAGGCAAACGAAGTGAAAAAAAAAAGAAACAATGTTGTCATAATTAATTAACTAGATTCGGAATCCAGGTGTATTTAGACTAAACAAACATTTTAGTCCTTCAACATGTAAGGTATTTGGGCCATATAGCAAGAGTGTATGTTAGGATTAAGAAAAAATCATGAAGCTCGGCTGTTTATTTCGATAGCAGTCCTCATTCCTGTTTAATAGATGACTTTATTATATTATCTTTTTATGCAGATCACCAAATACTCCTTCTCGCCATCACTCGTTCAGCCAAGATGGCGGCTGCCATGGTTTGTTCGCCAGCTGATGCGAATCAGCCTGGGAAAGCGAGTCTAGACGCTGTAGTAACCCTAAATTGATTAAGGAGATATCGAGGACTTGCTTTGTGCTATCAAACGAACAAGTGAGTTTGAGAATATGTAAAATAATGTGAAACATGTGTACTAGCTAATACTATCTGTAAAGTTTTGTAATATCAACGCGCTTAAATAGAGACAGTTCAGATTGTGATTTTAAAGAAAAAGTCCGACACCCAAACAACTTTTTAAAAGCAGCTGATCGTATGTTCGGATGCTGAGAAGGTGCCACTGACCCACTTTAGAGGGCTACGGGGATCATCGTCTGTTAGAAGGGCATAATAGTTTTCCCAGTTAGAATTGCAAATAAAAACCTATATTATCGGTTCTTAAAGGACTTTCTCCTTCCTTTTTAGTCTGTAGGCTAGAGTTACAATTTAAACACGTTAAAGACAATGCAAAGAAATCCTACAGTCGTTGTACATAGGTAGCCTTGAATCATGTTTACATTAACCATAGCTTTACGACAAAGTGCGCAGATGACATATCATCGTGTTGTTGAAGATAATACAGCTGCCGTATAAACAAATGCTTTACCAGAATTGTTCGGCTACAAAGTTAAGCGTGGATAGTAATCATGCACACACAGATACTCCTTTTTCTGAACGTTAACAATTATAACTTGTGGAGGTGTTTACGGTACAAGTTTTAACAAATTAGCTGGTAAAATGTATTTACTTTTAGTACCCAACTACCATGCGCATACGCTTTAATATGTATATTAGATAGCCGCAGGAAAACCGTACAGGGTAAAATCACGCATGCTAAGTCTCCCTTATGGGGTCAGTCATCATGTGTAATAGAGTCGAATACAAGCAGTTGATGATGACTGGGCCATGTTTGGCACCCGTAGCGGTAAAAATGGTAGCCATTATGTTTTCTGGGTACTGTGTTTGGCCTCCAAACTGAACCAAGTAAGTGCATATGGGATACTTTGATTAATTTATGACAATCTGTGTTACAGACCAATGTGCTCATCAAAAGGTTACTGCAATCCTACTGAACTGATTAACGTAAATCTTCAATCTCTTAACAAGAACTGACTTTAGTAGATGTGTTTTTATTCTGCACCCCAGAGCTAGCCATATGAGAAGAATGTAATGCGTTTAGAACTTGGATAAACTTATGTGTACCGTTAAGAACAAGCTATATATTTCAAATGAAAGGTTTTTGCGCGGCCTGAGTTCACAAAACAAATCAGCTACTATACAGAGCAAGGGAACACGGCACTCACAGTGCTTCCGACTTATGTTTCCTTGAAAGTTTTTGTAAACTAATAATTATTAGGAGTTAATTGATTTTATTCGCCTATGTGTAAATACTATTTATAAACTTGTGCTCTAGTTGTAGTCTTTGTTGCCAGAGCATTATTGATTTAATTCATGATCCAATTAAACATAGCTTCGAGCAGATGGTTTTTTCTTACACAAACGCAGCCTATAGCCGATGGCTTATTCCTACTCTTGGGATCATTTATGTACAACAACCTTTCAAAGTAGGCAGCTGACATCCTTCAATTAAACCCAGTAGAATAGTTCTGTTGTGAATACCTAATGTTAGGCTTATCATGTCTTGATGAATAATCGTTGCCGTACAACTAATAACTCTTGACGGCAGTAGCGAAACATTGATGTTGCTAAAATAACGTTATTGAAATCGTTAGTGTCATTAGTACTAGGTTAGCTTAGAAAATGGCGTGATATATTTTTTTTTATCGTGGATGATATACCAATAAAAATATGTTCTTCCATAGTGTGCACATTTACTCTGCAATTTTCACAACTGCCCAGCCGCTTGACAATTGGGTAGTATAGCTCAAATGTGTAAATGATATATAATTAGCCATTTGTGGGGCTTAGATGTAATATCTATACTGAGTAGAGTAAGTGCCAACAGATTTCTCTCATAATCAGTAATCTCTCATAATCATCAGTAAAGTTCATATATATATATAAAATGCTACATTTTTAATTATGTTAATTATAATACGGTAATTATGCTTTTACGTTATACTAAATATAGAATAATTACAAACTAACAGGCATTTGAATACACACATGCGTTTTTTGTGACCTGCTTGTCGTATCCCGCAAAACTGAATGGTTTTCGAGATAAGAACTTTTTTTTTTGTTATTTTCCAGCATCAGAACTAAAAGACATCGGATACAGGCCTATTACCCGGAAAGCGTTCTGTCATCAGCTGATACCAAATGGCATCTTCGAACTGCTCCCTGGAATCTCTACCTAATGAAATCCTTTGGCATATTTTATCGTTTTTAAAGCCAGGCTTTATTGCGGAAGTATTACCGCAAGTTTCTCCTAGTTTTCGTGCACTCGTGGAAGATCAGTCTCTCTGGCGGCGCAGATTATATTCTCGTTGGCCGGCACAGCATCCAACACCACCGGACGATTGGGTTGAATGTTGCCGCCAAAGAGAAGAACACTGGGATGCATTTCGAGGATGGGAAGACGAGGGCGCTCTGAAACATATTCGAAAGGACGATGCCCATATTGCGGCTGTAGACGCACTGAAATTTATTCAGGTGGATAATAATAATTTTTTTTTTTTTATATTCACAGTTATTATTGGTATGGCACAATAGGTAGACAATTAGGATTGAGAAGACAGAGATATGTCGGTTGTTCGAAAAAGTAAATAAAGGGTCCAAGTAAATATGAAAACCACTTTATAGTTGAAATAGCTTCTATTTTAATTGAGAGCCGCTTACTTTCTCTAACTCTCTTTCCCACCATATGTTTAGAGTACTTCATCTTAGGTTTATTACAAAATCCACTTGTTTTCCACTCAATGTCATTTCTTAGATTAAATTATAATGGATGAAAATATAAGAAAAATGGGAATGGCGTGATTGCAGAATGGTTCCCTGTGTGTATCCGGAGGTCGAGATCACCAGCTGCGAGTATGGAAAATCGATGAAGAAGAGGTATCTCTTCACAAAAACTTCTCATGTGCTCACGAAGCGTGGATATGGTCCGTCGAGCAGTTAAATGATAACACACTTGTGTCTGGCTCGTTTGATCAAACCGTGAAGACATGGGACCTAGAGAAGCAGGATCCTGTAGACACGTTTAAGCTACCTGCAGCGGTGCTTTCAGTTGCTATTCAAGAGAGTCTATTGGCTTGTGGAACCATTGGTCATAAGGTGCACCTTAGGGATGTTCGAACCAAAGACGACGCCAAAGTCTTTGAGTATCATAAACATTTTGTGCTTACTTTGGCCATGGATGATAAAGTAAGTCATCGTCAATGAATCTTTATCATAAACTGAACTGGTGTATTGAATCTATGTCAATTAGGATCATGTCTACGGAAGTAATGAAGTATCACGTCTGATGTTGTGAGGAGACCTGGAACTATTGAATTAAATATTAAGCGAACGCATATTCTTAATAATGATTTTGTACATGATGGCGTAAGTGCATTCTGTTTTGGCAACAGTCTCGGACGAATAGCGCCGAAATTATCAGCTGATGTTTAGTGTATGCCAAAATCTTTTACCTGTGGTCATTTTCTCATGACTTTAGGCGATTATTTCTGGAAGCAAGGACGGCACGATGGCGATTTTCGACATCCGAGCGGAAAAGGTTTCGCAAGTTATTAAGGTAGTGTGTCTTCAGCTGTATGTATGAAGGAAGATGACTTTTTAATCGTTCTGTGCCGATGGACAATATGAAGCAGGACTAAAATAAAACTATTCTCAATATGCAGACAATAAATTGCATTGCATAGTTCTACTGCGTGTAATATAGTCAGTTCTCTAATTTATCAACTTGCAAACAAAATATAATTAACACTTCATTCACTTGATGGTTACCATCATCATGCTGAGTATTTCGATTCCAGATGAAGGGATACCCGACTGCGATATCACACGGCGACGGCCAAACTTGGGTGGGAACCTCGCGCGGCTACGTTGCATGTATTGACACACGATCATTGCCTGAATCTGCCCAATTAGCAATGCAACGACGAGTTAGCGATAAAAGTGTTAGAAGTGTGGCGCATTCGTGGGGTAGTATTCTTTTGGCAGCTGGAGATGATCGACTTTTGCTGCTCGAACCGACCAAGGCTGCAGCATCAATTACACGGCAAACCATTAAAGGAGGTATTACAAAGGTGTGTTGCGATTTGCAACATAGGCAATATGATGTCTTTAAACAAGATTTTTGCCTATTTTAGGTAAAGCATTGTTCGTATGCATCATCCTGTGTAGATCATCTATTTTTCTTTTATTTGTAATTTTTAAAGTTTTCACTAAATACTGTATTATTGACTTTGAATACTAAATTCAACATGCAGAGAAGTTAGAAATACTAACTCTATTCGTAAATGATCTCACAATTATTTTATATGAACATTTACTGCATTTCAGGCTTCAATGCATAACCGAACTATCTGCGCGGCTGGAGCCTCTGGAGAACTGCTAGTGTGGGTCCCTCAGAAGGCTTAATCTTAAATTTACTAATTTTTCCATGTGCAATCGTTGCAGTATCGGATAGCTAATTACTTTGTTTTTATGCGAAGGTTTATTTGGGAGGGGTGCAGCTATAGCTGCGAAAACACCCGGTGTAAATAATGTGCATATCGTTCCACATCAAAGCACGATATAGCTTTCTAGAAATGCATTAACTGACTTGTACAAAAATATCCAAGACTCGCGTAGTTATAGCGCTTGTATTTTTAATACGTTATTATTGGAAGGCAATAAAGAACAAATCTAAGTTATTTCAAAATAACGTTATAGTTTTTATTATAACACTTAGGTTTGTTGTCTACCAGACGGGTAAACTGCTGACAAATGTATCGCATCATCATCAATAACAACATGCTTGACATAGCATTTACTATGTAATGTCACCGTATCATAATTTTTATCAATCGTATCATTATAGTATTTACTTTTTTTTTATCTTCCGTTTCCAGTCTTCTTCTTTGCGTGCCCTCGGTAGGCTAGCTCTGGATTTACTGTTTTTACTCGGTCTCTATTACGATTCTTTACATTTGCTGTTTTGTAGTAATGTATACCGATTCTTCTAATTTTCTCGGCATTATACTGCGCTCTTTTGGCTTTGCCTGTCAATTTTGGTACCGGTCGGCCTGCTTCGTTGTTTGATTCTTCCTCGGACTCTGTAGTAGCCCGTTCCTGACGCCTCTTCTTCTTTGCAACTGCGGTTTCACGTTCCAGCTTATTCATTATCATCTCTGTGACAGCGAAACCTCGAGTTCTGCGATTGACCGCCTGCTTCTGTCGGCCGCTCCGTTTGCCGTCAGCACTAACAATGCCATCTGCTGGCATTTTTTCCACTTTCCAATTTTTCACCGGATCCTCTTTTTGCCCATAATCAAAGTTGTCCTCGCTTTCGCCCTCGTCAAGCATCCACTTATGTTTTTCGTATGTTCTTTTGATTTTTTTCATGGCATGCTCACTAGAAGTAGATGCGAGATTTGGGCAAGTAGAGTCAAGCTGCTTATTATCCATAGTAGATTCCTGGAAAACTGTTTGTCTTTCTAATGCAACATCTGCTATGCTTCTTTGCGATGTAGGAGACGACCTTTTTAATTTTCTGTTTGGCAAATTGTCAATCTGTAATAGTTAAAGTAAGCGCAACATTACTCTTAATTAGCAATCCCATCCAACTAATTTAGCACTTTTGTAATGAGTAAATCAGAGGCTAGTATGAAAACGCAAAGAGATTATAGAAGCCGCAAACTACGCTTATACTTGAAATTAAAAAAATACTTATAACAATTATTAGTTGCCTTAAGTGGTCCAAAGGACTTGGTTTTGGAGGTTGGCCTTTTAAAAAAAGCTTTAGCAAAAATATGGATTGTCAACCACGCAATCGGAGACTTACAGTCACAAATTCAGCACCGAGGTCGTGCTTTGCTGTCCTTTTCAAACTCTCAGGTGCCTGTTGCTCTTGTCGTTCGAACGGCTCCCAGGAATTGTGTGCTTTTGCACAGTCTCGTTTCTTCAGTGCTTCTTCCTTCTCGAGCTTTTCTTCAGCTGACAACAGGGTTTTGGTGATTTCCATTGGTGTCATTCTAAGGCCCATTTTTTTCGCCAGCCAACGAGCCTGATACACAGATACCTTTTTGTTAGCCCCCGGAGGCTTCTTGGTGCCAGTAACCCCGATAGTACGTTTCACTTTCTCCTTATCCAGTGTATTTTGAGATGTGACGTGTGCGTGATCATTTTCAATGACATGGGCATTCGTCATACTATCGTCCACATCACCGTTCTCCTCGTTCTCGTCATCAGTTTCGCCTTCAATTGGCTTTAAAGTCTCGATATCTTCCTCGGCAAATTCATTCGCTACTTCGATTTTGTTGAAATCCTGGTTAACTGCTGGCTTTAACTTGTTTTTTTGCTCAGCTTTCTCCTTCTTCTTGATGATGTGAGCATTTTCTAACATGGGATATTGTTCTAGGGTTGGAGGTCTTACGAAGTATGGTAGCTTTCCTCGCTGGAAATCGTTCAGTACCATTTTGGCAACCGTATTTATATCTGGTTCGCCCTTCTTCAGAAGCTTACCGTAACGACGTGCTACCTTTTCCAGGAAATCGACAGGGTTTGACCAGTCTTCTATCTGGTAGGTCTTCTTCAAATAATCGTATTTCACACGATTGAGCACCTCGGGAATGTGATCCTCGGGGTCCTTAATGTTCTCTACTCGCACAACTCCTTTGAGAACAACTTGAGTGTCCGTATCACCTTGAGGATAAACTACACCAGGGCAATCAATGAGATATATTCTCCTCATTAAAGTTACATACTGCCACACTTTCGTCTCCCCTGCGATTGGCGCCGTATTGCACACCTTCTTTGCTTTTAGAGCGTTGATAATCGAACTCTTTCCAACGTTTGGATAGCCAATTAATCCGACAGATATCTGTTTCTTATCTATGTGAAGCTTGCTGAATTGCCGCAGCAAGTTAATGAGAGCTCCCTTACCAAATGGATTTCGCATTGATGCATGGAAAGCCATCGTAGGAAACTCTGCGCTAAGAATAGTAACCCAACGTTGTGTCAGCCAAACTGGAATAAGATCACATTTATTAAGAACAAACACAAGATGCTTGTGTGCTTTTTCTTTGCGAATGAAATTCTCAATAAATTTAGATCTAGTCCCCATAGGATCTCGGGCATCGAGCACCTGTATAACAACATCTGACGAATCAATTACTTTATATAGCTCGTTCCAGATCCTTTTGGACTGGCCTTTAAGCATTATACTTTCTTTGGCTTCATTTCGTACGCCACCATCATCTAAGCAAAGATCCTTGTCGTCTTCTGCTTTGTATTTTTCCTCACGATTTTCTGCCAATTTTCTAAGTTCGTTGAGATCGACTACATTAAGGAAAGGTTTTTTTCGTTGAGCTTTGGGTCCAAACGTCTGGTCAAAAGGCGCAGTGTCAAGAATATGAACCTTTTTGTTTTTTGCACTCTCATTAAGGAGGGTTACCGGTAACTTAGTCTGTTTCATAACAACCTGGTACGGGTCTTTCATTACCCTACCTAGCGCGTCTTGGAATTTTTGTAGTGCCGTTTGCGTAATGACTTTAGTATTGCCGAACCATTTCTGATTGGGAGCAATCCTAGACACAGTCCCGCTACTAACCCAACCCTGATACGGGGCTGCTTTGACAATTTTTCCTTTGCGAGTTCGAATCGGTTTTTGGTTCTTGTACATTAGCAAACGACGAATAGTAGCTCTGTCTCTCATATTCAAGTTCTTGCGTTCGCGGTCGGGGTTCATCGAATGACTGGATTTGTCAATGCCCCTCCGGCGGACAACCTTGTGATCTTTTCCCATGTTAGCGATTACACTGTACAGTCGCAAACACTACACTAATAAAGTCATTAATAATACTATCAACATATAATTCATGCAGAACACCACATTGACGAAACTTGTTCCGATTGCTTGCAAGCTTCGAATCCCTCAGTTCCACGTGCCGCCAGATCAAAATATGCTTAAGGGCCTTCCCATGATAACTCTTTGGAAAAATGCATGGCATTGTTTTCTGTATATCAAAGTTTTCCCCACCAAAATATACAACATAGATAATATATGCCAGAGAGCTAACTGCTTTCTTCGAGAAAGACACCAGTAATACCATTATACGATATATTGCCGTACGAGCTGAGGAATCCCTGGTGTTATGCAATCGTTCAATCCGACATGGCCGCCCCCAGTATTTGCGGGACCCATCTCTCACGCCTCCTAGTGATGATGGTGCCGCCTTTGGCGTGAGTGTAGTGTGGCATTGTGAAATGAGCGTGAATAACGCATATATGAACAGAATGAGCTTTACATGAAAGTGTATAGGAATAATAAGTCAGGTGTGGAGTCTTGACACCCCAAATTGTGCTTTGAGCTGCTTTATGATGGATGAACAGTTTGCGGACGACGTAAACATTGCTACCTTGTGCTCGATGGGATTCTGTGATGTGACGGCAATAAAGAACGCGCTGAAAAAGGCAAACAATGATGTGAGCGAAGCAGTATCGATTCTCACCGCAGAACCCCCAAGATTTCCCGAAATCAGTTATGATTATGGACAGTCCTCACAGCAGCAACAACAGCAGCAGGTTTGTGTACAGTAAAACCAGTGCTACCCACAGACACCGCTATCATAATAGTACCACTAGAACAAAACACACCGGGTGGTTCATTTGGCTTTACTCCCCACTTTACTGTTAGACATTTATTTATGCCATTCTGATAGTCGAATCAGTTATAGTATAACCTGGAAGGCGCTTGTAATCATTTTTTGGAAGGCGTAGGTGTCCATCCGGCGGAACCCGGTTAACCGGCTATAAATAATCCACAGAAGAGCAAGCATGCACGAGCGTACAGAATCCGTCTTTGGGCGGCGCTAGTCTTTCTTTAAGGCGCAATTTCTCAGGATGGTTGTCATATGAACCGTTCTGTTATATACTACCTTTTTGGTGATCGAAACCAGTGGTTTTTTGCAATGCCATAAGACATGAGACTTTAGGTCCATATACGAACGCGGGCTGCACTATTCTTCGTTGCTGGAATGTTAGGCCGCCTGTTATCTGCCTCACAGCCTTATCAAGGTAACGGTCACTCGTTGTCAGTTGGCGGCCGGTCATATATGGGCGCGAATGCACGCGGTAGGCAAGCAGTAGTTAAATCGATGAGATCTACCGTGTGCGGTGGGTGCCCGTAGCCGCCCTTGTAAGAGAGCCATTAGCAAATTTGAGAAACCAATGCTCTGTGTTCTATAATATTAATGCTATTGATATGGTGATATAATTTGTTTACCGACTACTGGGGATTACGGATTTTTGGGTTTCGTTTCAATCCATCGAACCACACGCAGGACGAAGCAATATGTACTTACGCAATTGTTAATGAAGTCCTAATTATTATTCTATGAGGTTCTAATTGTTTTTTCCAAAATGGCGACTTTACTGTATAAAACTAACGAACGCTTCGTAATTGACACATAAGCCGCCATTGAACAGCGAAATCAAAGCTAGTCGCTATTCGCCAACTGCTTACTAGATAGAGGTTTGACTGTGTCATGTAAACGAAACTGACATTCGACTAAAATGAAGCCATATAATTTATTGAGCATATTTAGAAACCTGCAATCAGAAATTGCTGGTTTTGTAGTAGTTTTAAATACCCTATCAGTTTTAGCTACTCAAGGGCCCACGTAGATTGTTTTTGGGTCATATCGGTATGTGATCATACCACTGTAAAGCGTAACTGTTGGAACTGATCGCGGTTTTGTATCTCGTTACTTGTTACGTAAGGCGCTCATTAAGTGGATTGAGCAACTTCTGGTATTCGCTAGGCACAAGGCTGATATTGTCACAGTTGGACGAAATTCGCGCCTGCCGGCCGTTTACTAGGAGGAGGAAACGCCAGTTAGAGATCACTTAAGTCCACTGCCGATTGTGCCCTAATTAAATTAGAAGGAGTAATATGAGTAATTGTCATGCATCAATTCAGTCCCTTTTTTTTTTCATTTCAAAATTTAATCTCTTATACGACAGCGCATACGGAAGGGTTTAGCGAATGTCGCAAGTGGTGTGCACAAATTTGTTACTCTTCTTGTGAAAAAAAGTGAATAAATCATGTAAATAAAAATAACAGCAATTGTGAACCACAAAACACAATGACACAGCTTATAATGACAAAGGAAATTGCAAAAAGCGAAACAGAGCTATTTCTTAAATATTTTACATTTATTTCAAGCACACGTCAATAAGTGAATTTATATTTAATGGACTATAACTCCATCTATAAGTACGTGCAGTATGTGCATAGGCAAGCTTTTGCTCACAAGATAAGTTAATTGTCACATATTGTACTTTTGTATCGTTGTGCCTTTACCTACTTTACTTACACATTATCAGAAGTTCGATCGTTGTTTAGCTAGTTTTCTTCCTTAGTGTCAATAAAAAAGCGTAATAAAAACCCGTTAGGGCGACATTATTGTGGAAAGAGTATTAATTTGTAAGCGCATTTAAAATCAAGAAGAGAAGCCTTGAAGTGGAGAAGAGTGTTACTGATTATACAGATATGTAAAAAAAACAACTGATAACTAATGAACATTTTTTAGTTTTTTAGGTCTTAAAACAGGAGTGATATTAACATTGTGAAACTGGAGTGAACTTAACCATTACTACTAATGAATGTCACTTGAATGTATGTTTGAAAATTATGATGCTGTGTTCTTCAACTGGTCGTGCATGGGATACGACCCCCAACTATTTAGGCATGATAAGTAGTAGTAAGAGTCGCTTAAATGTGATAATACATAAACCTGTATTGGTTAATTCGCATTTCGTTTGTACTTTTTTGTTGTTTGCGGTTTGATTGGTCTGTTTTCTTGTGCAGTCTGCTGCATCAACGTCACCCATGGAGCCCAACGATCCGCTCGAGTTTCCATCTTCGTATCTGCAAGACTTGCAGAGTCGCGTTTTCGTGCAGGACTGGTCTATCCCCTACAAAGAAGATGAAGCTTTAGCGCGTTGCATGCACGCTACAATTCGCCTTGTTGAAGCCGGTTTGTTGAAAATAATTTATTTCACCATAATATTTCAAATTATGGAAAATTCGATGATAGACGACTCAGATCATAATAATCTGTTTAAGCGGTACATAAAGCCATTTATAACCATCTGCAGCTACAGTACATTATGCAACAACTGTTATTAATGTCCATCTTAGAATTGTGCTATATACTTGTGTTTACCTTTATAGTCACTGTTTTCGAAGAAAACGAGAGTCAAATTAAAATATTAAAAATATTACGTTAAAGTGTAGCATAAGTCCATAATGAAAAATAGGTTCATAGCAACAAAAAACGCTCTGACTTGCAAAAGCATGGATGTTAACTGTAAACATGATTCCTACATGTGGCCTATTTTTCCTAACGATCGATTTCTGTTATACCTAAGAGTAGGTCTTTCAGTAACTTTCTCCCCTAATATTTTAGGATATTCACGATATTTTGATCAAAATAATGACTGTTTTGCAATCGGAAATCCAGAACAGCTCTTTAACAGCGGCACTTCGATTGTCATGTCCTCCTTGAGACGTCTACAAAATTGAATGCTTTCGATATTAAAACCGCGTCTCTGTATTGTTTCAGCTTTGAGATGAGCAAGCACTAGCAACTAAAATCGTATGAGGCTGCTTTGTTTTGGGGTCGAAGGCTTTTTTGTGTTATCAACTCCGAATTGTTTTATACCAGTACAAATTCCAGTCGTGGTCCAAAATAAATAACACCGACAAACACGAGCACGATGCAAAACTTCAAATTTTGCAAATTTGTAAGTTCAGACAGATTTCTCAGAACCACCTGGTTTTTGCTTTCAGCCGTCAGAGAAGTCCACCGTCTGCCAGATTCTACAGTCAGGTGGCCTACTTGCTCCTCACGCGCCGTATTCCGTGATGGACGTTTCCCTCAGTATAGTCTGTCTACGCTTGTACGTGTTGTCGGCATATTTCAACACGATCCATATTTGATAGGGACTACTTACATTCATCTAGAATTTTGCGGTCTGTTTAGGTGATTTTCATGAAGGGGTGCGCTTCACGACCCTTCTCTCTTAAATACACGGTTGTGCAAAATCGTGAAGATAGTAATGCACTTCTATTGCCAAACACCATGAATTTCAACTCAAGTGATACTAATTGTTTCGCTTACCACCGCACTGACTTCTTTTTTTGGATTAAAAAAAAGCCCGAGATTGAGAGAGCTATACACGCTACAAACATCGTCGAGGCTGATCTTGTACGCCGAGTATAACCTGCTTTGCATGAAAATAGTAAATCTGCAATTTTTTATAACGAAATGGATAATTTATATATATATAGCATACATTTTGATAATATAGTGTATGTATTACTTTATTTGCATCATGCTACTTCCTTAATATTCCTTACTTTTTCAGGTTAAAATACGCGCAATTTAATTTTTTTTCCACATATAGAATCTTAACATTATCCTAACTTGTAGAACCGAACTTCAAAAGTGTATATCTTCCATTGATATATGTTACACGATTGATCTCTATAAAACTGATTCAGAGTAGTTCAGATATCTCCAGTGTATTCACGATAACCTAATACGCATATATTAGTGAAGGCGAAAGCTTTTCGATGTCGTTCATAATTTAGAAAAATTAAACGAGTTTCACTCAACCTACTATAATAAATATTGTGGTTCTAATTTATTATGTATCTGTTCAGGAACGGCGGATTCAGACGAAAGCTGTCGGCAGTTTGTGGAACATGTGATGCCGGAGTGCTTTCGCAAATTGTGTGCTTCGTTTCCTGTTTCTTCCTGGACTCAGGACGTCCAAGAAGGTGTTAAGCACATGGCGCTTATTTTCGTTGATGTATGCACAGCCTACTTTAGGGTTGGCTTGGCCCCTGACAGCGTCCTTAGTATTTTATCAATTGTAAGTTCTATGGGATGCTACGGAATGAAGTTAATGAAAATGTTAATGAGCCTAAGATTCTCGTTACCTTTCTTAATCATTTGTTCCTCATGGTTAAGTTAGACTTGCCTCAAACCAACGTAAAAAAATGTAGATGGTTATTTAACATGACTTTATCCAACAAACCAATTATAAACTATTTTATAATACAACCACCTTTTTTTCATCATTAGATCCTAGATCCCGAATGTGAATTTCACGTAAGAAATCGAAATGCCCGTTACGAGGAGCCGTCCGAGATTACTGACCCTTCACTGGAGTTTGGTTGGCTACAGGAGATTATCAATAAACTGGCGAATACGGGCTGTACCCAGTTAATGGTTCAACTGTTTCTGCGGGACGAATTATCGGGACCTGCAATGGCTGCGATTCTGCAGCCACTCTCAAAGCCTGCCCAACTGTACAGACCAGACTCAATGAAGCGGTTACTGGATCCATGTGTGCATAAGGCACTTGATTTTGTCAATGGTGAGTAATTTTAAAGTCTGTAAATTGGTACTATTATACTTATAGATATTATTGATTTATGATTTTTGTTATGGACGTTAATGGTCAATTTAATGTTTGAGGTTGAAAATCTACCCGTCAGTAAGCTGCATTCGAGTTGGCTAATGGAAAGTTCCGTAAAAAAATTTACCAAAATATAATCTAGCAATGTATTGATCTAGCCATTTAGAAATCAGGATTTACCTTTTAAACGTTAAACGGCTCTTCCTTTACAGGATTGACAGATGTCGATCTTCGAACTAAGAACATTTCCTACCTCCCTGAGCTTGTGAATGCTCTTAGGCAATTATCTGCGTTTCTATGGCCGGATCAATTGCAGGATTTTACTGGAACATCCATGAAAGTAATCCTACGGCTTCTCAGAAGTTCACACTTTGCTGCACGAACATGTGGATTCAAAGAGGTCTGTTATTGTGACGTACTTCTCATATATTTACCACTCCCCTATATTGTCATAACTATTACTTTCTTTTATAATCGAAGGAAAAAAGGAAAAGGACAAAATATATAATATATAATGACAATGTCGATAGTTTTGTACGACCGGCTTGTTGAAGGTCAACATACATATTTAGTCCCCGTTATGGCGTATTGGATGGCATGTTTGCCGGCTAAACTGAAAGGGCATGTGGTGGTTTGTAATTGAATATGAGCATAAACATACTTACTTTCGTCTGATTGAATGCTTAACTGCGATACCAGATGTAAAACATTTAACGTAAATCTCTAATGAAACAGTGAATTCTATCCTATTCAGATAATTCAGTTAATCGAAGAAAGCGCATCAACGAAGCAGACTCGTGTTGGCATCGCAAGGAGCTACCTTGTCACATGGTTCACTGAGAACTCAGTTCTCCTCCTCGTACTTGAAAGTACGTATTCTATGAGATTATTATTTATGTACTCTTACTTTCACTGACCAAATACTTTATATTTTATCTTTGTCACCCGCACTCAGTATTTTCTCTCCCATTTTCACAAAGGTGTTTATCAATGTTTTGAAATATGCTAACGACATAGGTTTGCCATTGTAATCTAAGTTTTTTTTACTTTTATAACTATTCCAGACAACATTGAACAATCTCACTACAATGACAAACTGAAGTTGGTTATCGAGTTCGTTGCATCAACACTAAGCGAGACTGATTTAGAGCGTATATGGGCGATGCAGGATCGACAGAATTGTACAACGGCCGATAATGTTCACCACTGCGTTGCAGCGGCCGCTTGCCACTTTAGTGAACCTCTTTTGAGATTGCTGTTACAGCTGGTAGAGACTTCGTGGCAACGTCATTGTTCCGAAGAAGCGAAAAAACGCCTTATGACTTTTCTTGGAAAAATGGGCAGAGATCTTATTGCCGAAAGTGCACCCGTTGATAACCCTCTGTTGGTACGTAGCCTAGATAGCGACGCGAGTTCAGCATAGGTAATATAACTTTCACACGAGTGCTTGGGTGTGCTCCAGAAACAGCAATAGTAATTTTCGGTGAATTACTACATTGTTAAAACCACGTAACTTAATATCGCATCTAAAAATGAAAGGCGTCACTAAGGAGTTATTTTTTAATTTACATTGTAAGTTGTAAGACATATTCTGCCATAAATACTCTATTTCTAGACCCTTGAACTCATTTGGAGGTTGGTCAAGACACCGCACATCAGCCGTCACCTTGTAGAGCACTCACTTGAACAGCTACTGGCCATCCTCGCAGCTTTAAATTCGATACACAAACATAAGGCGAAGAAGAAGTTTGCGGATGCTTGCGTGTTTGATATCACTTCTGGGACGCTGGTGTTATCTTCTTTGCGGTTTCTTAAATGGATTCTTTGCGGAACTTCAATGACGCGCAGCGCGCCCAACACAAAGCAAGATAAGGCAAGTCTCAGATGTTCAAGGGGGAAGGCAAGCAAGCTCCTCACGTATGGGAGGTGCAATGAAGTCGGTGTAAAAGATTAACTACTGCTTTGTTTAATTTTGACCTAAGCACGATTTTGCCTATTTTAGATTTAAACATGTATGGTGCTAATCGCTCTGTTTTATGCGCTTTTTGTTATAGAATTTTCTCGACGAATTCAAGGCTAGCGTCAAGCTTGTATCATTGGCAACAAAGAGTCTCTCCGAGTGTCACAAGAGATCGGTTGAGGCGTACATTGCATGTCGAAAGGCGGACAGACACGCGGCACTCTTTACGAAGCATTCTCCACCTACGCCATTAAAGATGCTCAAGGATACAACTCCCCTAGAAACATCAACCCTTCTGGACAATCTGTACACTCACGAAGAGTATATTCTGGAACACCTAAATTTTCTTGAGTTCGCACTTAACCAGTGCAACGAGTACTTGTCACTGCAGGAAGCTGTCCAGATCTGGAAAACACTTTCCAAAGAAAACATGAACTCGTGTATATCTGATCAAGAAATGTGCTTCGATTTTTTTGTTCGTTGCATGAGTGACCTTGACGAAGAAACGCGTCTCAAACTATTTGAGCAAAAGCTTATGCAAATCGACCCTTGCAGCATTGGCCAAAAGGCGTTTTTATGCTTCAAAGCGTTTTTCGAGGCCGTAAACCGCGACGCGAAAAATTTACGCAAAAATGCCTTTACCGTTGAGAAGCCAGTGCTCATTGGAGCCGACTACCTTTGGATGCTTGTCCTCAACAACGAAGTAGATGAAATTGCTGAATTAAGTATTGATTTTATACTTGACATATGTTACCGACAGCTGTCACCGGTACTTAAAAAAGATCCGGTCAAACTGCACACACAGTTTGCCCAACAGTGCTACGTGAGACTGCAGCAAGTGGCCGATAGCTGCAATGATCCACAGCTTGTAGTTGCCATCTCCAGTGCGGCAGCTGGAGGAGCAGGTGACAGCGCCGCTCCGGATAGGTTTCCAATGCCGTCGTCAAACCAAGCGATCTGCCGCCTACTACATTTAGTTGAGCGATATATCTCATCTATTGAGTCAACTCATAATAGCGTTCGCGTTCGAGCACCTCATGGAGCATCGTGTTTTGGCTATCCAATTAGTTTAAGGTGCACAACCGACGGAACAAACTTTCAGCTTCTACGTTGTCACTCCAATGCCACGATTTTGGCAACTAAAAAAAAAGTTAACCAACTGTTGGGTACATCAGCACAGACAACTCTGTGCTATCTGAATGGCGAGGTGTTGTTATCAACAGCAGATGACACACGACGCCTTTGTGATGTCCCTCAGCTAATGGAAACTGAGGACTGTTGTGTATACGTGAAGGTACAGGGTGGCTCATCGCGGGACAAGGAGGCAGCAGGGGGAAGTAGTTCACCTGTTGGTTATTCTTCACACCTTAAACCTTCTGCTGCCTTTTCCCCGTCTAATTATTCGGAACAAGAGAAAGAGCTACCTAGCGTGGTCATCGCGAGCAATATTGCCGTATTCAACATGCTTTATCAGCTAGTTGCTGCGCTTGATAGTCCAAAAATCGTACGCCAGGTGCAGACGCTACTTGATCTGATGCCTTCTGATCCACAAGTTATCGCTGCACTTGATTCAATCCGCAGTGGTACCAAGGTCGATCCCATGGTTCCGGCATCAACTCAACGCAAGCTTGCCTTCGACGGACCTGCACGGCCGTCGGTAGTACTGCCACTCCAGCGGCAGTTGTCGCAGCCGATCAGCCAGAAGGAGGTGCTACACAAACTTTTTGGATTTACGGGTCAGCCTTTCAAATTGCTGTATAACCTTCAAGTGAGTTGATGTTTAATTTACTGAAATATACAGAAATCTAATCTACTGTTCAATTGTTGTTTATTACCCTTATGATTTCCGTCTAGTAATTATACTCATATTGATATTTTTATATGGGAAGGAGGAAGACAGGCGGCAGTTATTTGCTACCATATCGAATTCTATTTTGGTTTCAGGTTTTAAGTGCTAAACTTATGCCAGTGAATCAAGACAACTTCTCTCAAGCTTTCTGTGAAGCATTTGTGCGCGCTGGTGGCGTGGGTATGGTACTCAGCGTGCTTCACCAGGACGCCTTCTCCGCGGAAATTGACTACAATATTCAACGCGGCTGCTACTTTTCAGCGCTGCAGGTTCTTCGTTTTCTGTCTTGCGGGAAAAGTGTCCTGGATTCAGCGATCCAACCCCCCGCAGACACTAACCAACCCACTGATCCGTGCCGCACTCCTCTTGCTTCGCCAGCAAAATGGCCCTCGCAAGCTTCTTCGGGCAAGAAAACCACGGTCGATTTTATGCTTCCTTCATCATCGAAGACGGGCTTAACACCCCGCAAGGTTGATCTACAGCTTCTCATTCTGCAGATGACCGTAGAGGAGTTGCACACACTGCTTGATGCGATCATACGGGTAGCGTGGGCTTCGGCTGTTGGGTGTCTATCCGCTGTCAACAACAATTTACCCCCGAAAGGCGGTTACATATCGGAGACTCGTAGACAGGCACAAGGTCGTGTCGATAGCGGTAGCTCGGCGGGAAGCAATGGGAGTAACGATATCGACATGCAAAGTCTATCAGCCAAGCTTGTCGATAATGGTTTCCAACGATTAGATTCATTACTAGCAATTGAAGCACTAGAGTTCCTTGTTGAGTGTCTCGAGCAAAGAAAAATGCACGGATTAAGCTACTTCAAGGCACTTCCGTGCGTTGATTCATTCATCATTGATCTTCTCGTGAATGCCACAAGCACAAGTGTACGCAAAACAGCATCACAAGGTTTCTACCACCTCAGCCAGTTGCAGCAGGACTCTGCTAGCTTCTTTCTGCAAGTTTTACTGAAGTCGCGACTACCCTTCTGGGTGACGTCAAGTCGGGCTCGGGGTCCCTCGCGCCAGGTGTTGTCCCAGTGTCTCGAATACTTCGATCTCGTGTATCGACTGCTCTGCGACACAAAGGCTAACCACACACAGTATGACGTAGATACCGGTCAGATGCTTCTAGAAGAAATTAATTGGTTGCAGGCCTTCACCACGACGAAATCCTTAGAAGAGACCGATGGGCAGCTAATGGCTGGCCACTTCAGTCTGATAAAGGCATTGTTGCTATGTAATGAGGAGAAAAAGAGCACTCTAGATATTAATCTTATCGAACACCTACTAGAACAGTACCTATTTCCAGCATCATCTTTCATTAACAAAAAGACGACCAGGGTACCGTTTGAGAGTTTTCAGCCAAAATGTACGACAAACGAGAGCCGTCGGGCAGCTTACCAGATTCTCGTTGAACTTTCGCGGGGTTGTTTGACAAATATGATGCATATTACTCACTGGCTCCTTAAGCGGCACCACCGACTGAATAACGAACTGGCCAAGGAATTTGAATATGAGCCACTGATTAGTGGTCGCAGTAGTTCCGGTCTAGTTGGTTTAAAGAATGCTGGAGCAACTTGCTATATGAACGCTGTACTCCAACAAATGTTTATGCAACCCCAGCTACGAGAAGCTGTACTAAGCGTTGAATGTGAAAAAAACGTCGATCTCGATACCATTCTCCACCAACTTCAAAACGTGTTTGCACATCTCAATGATTCGCAGCTCGAATACTACATTCCCGAACAATTTTGGAACTCCTTCCGATTATGGGGAACACCGGTCAACGTGCGCGAGCAGCACGACGCGTTCGAGTTCTTCACGCATCTCGTTGACCAGGTGGATGAATATCTTGAGAAAAAGCTAAGTACTGACGCACTATTTAAGCCATTCTACGAAGGAATTTTCTCAGATCAAAAAATTTGCCAGGGCTGTCCGCATCGCTACGTACGTGATGAGTCATTTATGGCCCTAAATCTACCGGTAAAGAGCCAAAGTCTCGTTGAAAGCCTCGAGCAATTTGTCAAAGGAGAATTACTTAGCGGTGACAATGCGTACTTCTGCGAACGCTGCGGTCACAAACGAGATACAGTTAAGCGGCTCTGCATCAAGAAACTCCCTCCGGTGCTCACCATTCAGTTAAAACGATTTGGTTTCGATTTTGAGGCTAATCGCGCCGTTAAGTTTGACTACTACTTCAAGTTTCCGTGGGTGCTCGATATGGCACCGTACACTGTGGAGTACCTGGACAAAAAGGAAATGGGTAGCGGCAGGGGTGGAGAGCTATTTGATGCCAACTGCTATCAACTTGTAGGCGCAGTGGTCCATAGTGGACAGGCTAATGCCGGTCACTACTATTCGTTTATTAAAGATCGTCGTGAAAAGCACGATCCTAATACGTGGTTTAAGTTCAACGATACTACGGTTGAAAAAATTGATTTAACCGACGCGACGCTCGAGATTGAGTGCTTCGGTGGGAATTATAAGGCCAAAGTGTCTGATACGTCATCCTTCTATCCGGAAGATCGCGTTCGACACTGGAACGCCTACATGCTCTTTTATGAGCGAAAAGATTTGTTCTTGAGGAATCCCACGTCAACAAAAACACCTAAAAGTGGTAAAAATCGTTTCTCCTTCTATATAGAAAAAGAGAAGCCACTGCATGTAGCTTCTAAAAGCGCTTGCCTGGCATCCGCCAAAGCCGACAGTCTAAGCCAGTTAACAACGCTTGTAGACCACGGGGAACGCAGAGGATTATTTCCTTCACGCGTACCACCGCACATTCAGCAACAGGTGCACGAAGAAAACCTCGAATTTATGCACAATAAGGAGATATATAACAAGGACTACATGAAGTTTATACTGCAGCTGTGCTCCATCAACGCAGAGTGTGTGCAAGCCAGTGACAAAGATTTCGAACAACTCATGGTAGAGAGCATCAAGTTAGGCACCCACTTCCTTCTCAATACCTACTTGAAATACAAGCACAAAGACAGGTCTGTTCGTGCATAAATCTTGCGGAAGGAAAGAGGCAAATAACTATTGTTAGAAGTTTTAAATATGCTGCTTTTCATATGAACTTATGCCAAATTATTTGCAATTACGTAAGAAATAGCTTTCAGCCCTCAAAAAAACGACAGCCTTATTAAAATACCTGAAATGAATAACGATACAAACTAAAGTACTATTTTTACAGCGGATTTATTGAGGAATGGATTGCGGTTTTGGAAAAACTACTGCTGCTTAGTCCATCGGCCGCTTTGTGGCTACTGCGTTTTTTCGCACAACAGGGTGCCAGTCTTCTCAAGTACGTTTACATTATTCTATACTTAATGATCTACTAAAAACTCAGTGAACAGTTAATAATTTATATCGTAGACATCATAAACATCGATAAAAAGTTTTAAAAACCTAGAGCGCCGATACTTATAATGCTTTAAAATCTCATGGCGAAAAATGCTGTTTTCATAATGCTAGCAACTGACATAAGGTACTTGGTGTATTTCGTATAATTACAGACTATACTTGTTAGATTGTCCTCTACGGAACATTCGGGCATTCTTTGGTCAAATCTTGAATAAGTGTCTTCAGGCGACCAAATCATCCGAGGTAGAAACTGTCATTGACAAATTACTCGTTCTGCTTGATAAAGAGGTTGAGGAGAGCTGCAGACAGTGCAACGAGTACCTAACAGTATTGTCGTCGTACGCTCAAATGGGCACGTTGTCCTGCCAGCAGATGTTACGCCTCCAAGCGTACAAGCGTTTAGTTGTTTTTCTGCTTGGCGAACGTGCCTGTGAATTTGAAAATGATGTAAGTTCACTGTTGCTCTTAAAAATGTGAACACAAAGTTTGAGTTATCATCATGGAGCCCATCAAAACCCAAAAAATACAAGTGCGGATACGAATCTAAATTTGTAGTTTTATTTAAGGCAATTAATTATTAATTGTCACTATTTTTCCGATATAGGAACAGGTTCCTCGTCGCTGGAGCGCTAGTCAAGCGGCCGAATTGATCTTCTTGCACCGTACATTGGCTAGTCTGATCCAGGCGTGCGATCTTTCACCACTGTATTCTCATCCACCAGAGATCGACCATGTGATTCCAGTGTCCGTGGAACAGCCGTTACCGTTACCGGACGACGTACGTCATTCTCTTACCGCACCAGGCGTCTTTAGACTCATTCATGAACTTGTGTGCGCCTGTGCCGAATCTTCATTGACCCACGCACGAGCCTTGTTCAGCGTACTGGCCCAACTAAGCTTCTGCAATCGAGAACTATCACGAGTGATTATCCGGCAAGCTATGGTGCTATTTGCAAATCTACCATCGAATGAGCTGCGCAACTTATCGCAGCTGCTAATGAAATTGCTACAGGTACAAGATGGTTTACGCGCGGAACGTGTAGAACTAATTATCAATGGTGCGCTACCCCCTGATCATGATGGTATCCTTGCAATTGTCGCTGCTAGCCAGGACAACGATAGTCGACGAGCCTATCAGGGCATCAAATTCCTTGTCACATTGGCTACTAAGACTGAAACAGCCAAGGAATACCTCCTCAAAAGTGTACAGAGTTGGCAATGGGCCGTCGAGTGGCTCCAGAACCAAATGGAGCGGTTGGTCAGTAGTTCAGACGGACAAGCTAAGGACGACGGCGGGGTTGAAATGAGCAATGAGGACTCAAACACAAAAACGTTTCAGAGAACTGTATCTGCACAGGACACATTAGCCGAAGCAACAGCGCTATTATCTGAACTCAGTTCCCCTGAAACGGGGGAAGTACCAATGGAGACAGATGGCTGACAGCTTTATCCAGGCCTATCGAATTTCATCGGTCCTACTCTAAATCTCCCATTCGTGTCTGTCACTGTAGGACGTGTCTGTCAGGATTTTGTCACTGTAGCTGCTGGCGATTTTTATATATAGCTTAGGTAAAAAAAAAAATTGGGAACATCTATTATTGACTCCAACAAAGGATGTACTTATGGCCTCTTCTTAGATACGGAATCTGAATAATACAAAGGTAGATTTGGTATGTGGGTGGTTGTCGTATGCAAGCAAATGTATTTTTGATAATGAGTAATAAAATTAACAGTAATACTAAAAATTAACTAATAATTAAGGCTTTATGGCAGCAAACAGTGCAGCCAGGAGTGTATAATATTCTAGTTGTTACACAAGAATGAGCGACTGAAGTCTGGAATGTACAGCCTTTTCTGTCCATATGTTGTATAATAATAAATATAATAAAGATATATAAAAAAAAAAGACTATCTTCTGAGGATTGTAATCGACAACGATCGAAAAATAATTGTACTTGTTAATAAACCTGTTTTCATTATCACTCGTATTTTCTTTTGCTTTTTTGATATCTACCGACTCTGCTTTTAAAGGTATTTGCATAGATCAATGTATCTCTGAAGTTTTAACCTGCTCACTGAGCGTGTCCGTTCTGAATTGCAATGGAAATACGTATATAATATTTATATAATATATTTGTATATATAGTATTTTATAGATAGAATTGGTCATTTTGATATTTTTCTTGCCTACTATAGATCAAGACTAGATTTGTCCCCTCTTTGAGCAGAATCTCATAATCATGCTTAAGCATTCCGTTTACACGGCAGCATGAAACAATCAGAATTAATTCTCTATTGCGATATTGCTGGCCAATTTAGTATAAGTGGGGTGCTTCATACGTTCTCTATCTTCCTGCTGGGCTTTCTCAGGCCAATTGTTTAGATATGTGGTGCGTAAGTTGACTGTCAATAGAGAATTGATGTATTCGTCCTCCTTTGACGAGCTCTTCGTTTGCATATAAATTACTTTATCATTAGTTGACACTATGATATTACAGCGTTGCTTAAAAAGTTAAGCCGTAATTTCTAATCTAAGGACGTATTATATGTCACTTAAAGTAAAAAACACCAACTTGCATGCAGTCCAGTCCTGTTCAATGCACATCGACTTAATATGAATTAATATATTATGATGTCACCTTGCAAAATATGAAGTTGGAAAACTCTGCAACCAAGAATAAATTTAACGGTACTTCGTATCACATCTTGGCATGATTGATTAATTTCAGATTCATGACACGAGCACTCAATGCACAAGCAGTTTAATAGATCACTATGTAGTGTATACACACCCGCATTTAGTTTTAATCAGACAATGTACTTTTACAATACTTGCAGTTACAAGAATTAGGCTACCTGCTATTTTTATGTCATATTGCCATACTTGCGGTGAAGCTACTATATCCTAATCGGTTTATGACTCCCTGCTAACATTTACAATTCGTGGCCATAAAAAAGCTTCTTAAACAAGATTTTGTTTATTCAAATAAATAGTCCAACTGTGATAATACTGATGTTCACAAGATATTAACATAAGCAACAGGTTAGTAGCGTTATGCGAGTAAAGGCTATAATTTCGCGTTATTTGGAATTACTCCTTTTAAGAACAACTGGAGTCGTGGGCACCGTGAGCTCTTTAGCAGAAGGTAGCACTCGATACGGTTCACCCCTGTACACACCAGGCAAAGGACGGGCCTTAAATTCAAGACGTTGTCGATACGTTTTCAGCGCTTCCTTTTCCGCTTCTTCACGACGAATTCGTTCCTTCTTTTAACGTTTTTGGAAAGAAACAGAAAAGGTAACGCTTGCGTTAGCTGGTTAGTGTTTTTAAGAAAGAGAAAAACAGTCTATGAACAATACATTGTATATCCATATATTTAACTGATTAAGTTTTTTGATTGGATGTCAGTCTATATCACAGCTTATAATAATGGACTGAGATAACCTACCTCAGCCACTTTAATTTTTTCTCTGTTTTTCTCATCCAAAAGTTCATCAAACTTCCTCCGCTCTTCAGCTCGTGCTGTCGAATGCAGAACAACATGATCCGGGGTTGTAAAATTGTGGAACAACACAGGCTGAAACGGTTTTCGTCGAGTCACCTCACATTCTCGCGCATGAAACTTCCGCCTCCCTTGAGCATACACCTCGTTTTGTTCTAGCTGAAATACAGTCATTATCAAGTAATGTGGTATGCCACAGCTGCTATTACCAAAGGCGTTCCTAATAATATTGTTACTAGAAAGTTATATTATTATTATCAGATATACGAACCTATACTTGTTATACGGATTGCTTAGGTGTTTGGAAATTACAATTCATAGAAAGCACAATGTATAGTTTAAAAGTGTGCTACTCGTATAACGGATTATAGCTAAAAAACGACAAACTTAAGAGAGAAAATAAAGCAGCCATGCAAATTTAAAAGTCAGAGGGTCCTGGGTTTACTCGGAGCCAGTATATATAGGACCTTCCAAACCTTTTGCTCGAATCTTCTCCGGGCTATTTCTGATCGTGCGAGTACTGCAGGCACTTGTTCACTAGATGCCATTATGTAAATCAGTTCTTTTTCAGTGTAGATGGATATACATTTGTTAAAAGAGTAGGTGCATGGCACAAAGCTCCCGGGTAGCCAACAGACGTTTTCGAATGTATAACGGTAGATCGCGACGTTGAGCTATAATTACCTTTTCCGCGCCAAAATTCAAAAAGCATGTAAGAAATAAAGCGGTTGGCGTTATTTTCCCATGGAGTACTGCTATACGAAACTAAGTATAATGAGCTCTTTGTGCATCCTGCTAATTGTCTTGCTTGGGCTATATCTTCCGAGGAAAATATTTAGTAATGGATTTGCATTTATGTGACGTGTTGAAATATTTCAAATATTTCTCAGAGCTTTAAAATCTAATGATATCCACATGTAACCGAATAATGTATTAAGTTCAACAAATCTAACTTTATTTCGAGAAAGAAGTGTTGTATTACGGAAAACCATCTAAAGGCAATAAAGGATCGAACTTGTTTGCGGATGCTTAGTGTCTTATATGAAAATGTTGTTTGTATTATGGACAGATAAGAATATAATGGAATATGTATTTGTGGGTTGGCGATTACTAGGCAAGAGAAATTATAAGAAACATTAAAATAAACCCTTAAAATAGATGCACCATGCAAGTAAAATGCACTCAACTAAGTGCACAGTTCGAAATTGGATCCCAAGATCGATTAACTTTCTTATACTTACGTTTTTCTATTGTCGATTGCGACAAGCAAACTACGATACTTTTTAAAACCGGGGTGTGAATTCAGTCTTTATTTACACATAATCAAATCTAAGTTGCAAAAGAATCTATGTGAAATATAAACTTTTCCTCGTTGCACAAAATTATTATCGTTCTGGTAAATACATTGATAATAATTATTGTTATTAATATTAATTGCTGATTTACAATCTTTAGGAGACATTTAATCTGGTGTTGTGGCATATTTTTGGTCAATTGCTGCTTTTAAATTTTCCTATGTTGTCAATATTTTGACTCAGACCTTCTTTAAAATATCTTCACAAGAAAACGTCTATGAACGTCAGGTCAGAGAAACCAGCGAGGTATTCCATGAAACTCTTTCGTCTCATTCACGTATTCCAAAGATTCTCATCAAGATATGCTTTTACATCACAATAATAGTGTGTAAATGCTCCGCTATGCCGAAAATAAAATTCACATTTTCCCCAAACTTCCTCTGAGTCCGTAATAAAGCAAATGTTGTCAGCAGAAACAAGTAATAAATATCAACCATAGTATCGTTAAAGAGAACGGTTTAATCCTTCGCCTAAAACGAAAATAATAGCAAATGTACGTGGTGTTTCTGGGTCACATGTGAACTTGTGAATGTGTGTGGGACTAAGTGTGCCGTTTACTTTGAATATTGAACGTTCCAAATAATCGTTCCGGAAAACTGTGTGCCCTGCTCACATTTTTTTAGGCTATATTCCCAAAATTGTTTTCTTCAGGTCGGCTCATCTCCAGTGAAAATTTGTACCATTGTTGGAATGAAACTTTTTCATTTAGAGCGTAGATCCAATGGACGTTTAATTTTCTTGTCAAGTTCACGACTTAATTGTCTTCCAGATTTTTGGGATGTTTTGACTGAAGTTCCTGGTACTAAAACTTGCCTGGTAAAGTCTATTGATGTTCTCGGTTTTCTTGAATTTTGCCTATAAGCGCCCTGAACAATGCGGTCCGTTTGAAACGCACGTTTTATCCGATTAATCGGTAATTCCGTAGATGAATTGACCTGAAACTCGCTGCGATATTGTCTTTACACATCTGCTATGTTAAGAACAACCAAAAAGTTGTAAATGTCGAACTTTCCTGATTCTAAATGATGATAAAAGAAGGTTATAGCTTCTATCTATCATGAATACATATGACTATAAACAAATGCTGAAAAATTATCGTTTGAAAATATAATAATAATAAATAACACAAATTCTTTAGTTATGTTCATGACAAGGATTAAGATAGCAATATAGATACGACAAACAACATAATGAAAATACTAAAATAATCTGATATGCATCTAAAGTTGTCGATAGAACACCTCAAAATTTTACATCACTGTGGATGATTATGTAGTACAATTTAGCCTGGGTGGCTTTATAAGACTAATTAAGAATAATTACCAACATTAGTCCTATTTTTGATATCCACAGGGCTTTCCTTTTATACCAGATGTATTAATGTAAATCTTAGATATTTGGGAATGTGTGCAAAGTCATTAGAACTATAACGGTTAGCCATGTTGCGCCAAACTTATGTAATGTGCGCTTCCGAGGCTTTTCTACCTCAATTTGATACCCACGGCTCACCACTTCGGGACCATCTCTGTATTTCTGGAAAGAAAGGTATCCTTTATGGAGTACTTCTGTGAAACATAAAGAACAAGGTATTACAGCTTAGTAGATGAACCAAGGTTCACTAAATGCGTTAGAGCTTTTAGAGCTGTACAGTAGCAATGTACATGATCACAAATCGATGGGCACACTGGATACCGCTCGATTGATCTAGCCGGTATCGAGTTGTTTCAGAATAAGAGCTAAAAAGACGAAGAACTAATTATTATTAGAGTATACCTGCGTAACGCATTATATTTTTTTGCTTGCCTTCCGTGGTCTATTGGTAGTAATCTATAAGGTAATTAAGTTTGGATTAAGTCTTAAATCATGTCTTCGCCTCAGCGAAGTTATCTATAGTTGGAGTACAGTCTGCAATAGCGCAAACCGAAGAACCATTACGCCGTCTCAATAAGGTTATGCCTCAGTTTAATAAACGAAGTTCGTTATACACTTTCCATTATATGCGTAAAACTTCAGCTCCCAGAGTTCTGAGTGCTTTTCAGATAAAATCAGATCACCCTATTTTTGTTGTGTTTAAAAAGCCTAATTTTGATATGCGTATAACAAAATTATAATACGTAAGGTATATGATACTTCTTTTTTCATCAACTAACACCTTGATAAACTAAAATAACTATATTTGAATCCCACAAGATTCTGAACGATTTCGTAAAAAGTAATACTTAAAAAGAACCAGGAAAACGTTTAACAACAGAAAAAGCATAGAGCGGAAGGTACAAGGGAAAGAAAAAGCTTTTCTTCACCAAAGTTTATCACTGATCCCAAAAATATATAACTGCTCATTGGTTACATAAAGTAAACGCTCAATTTTGCCGCTTTTTTGGTGACTAAAAATGCCATGATAGGTGATGCTTTTAGCGCATATTTTATAAACATAAGCGTTCGCATTGTGACATGGTAAATTAACTTCAATAACAAATATAACACATTGATAAAACTCTGTGCCAAGTGTATGCCATTTAAATCTATAGAACCGATCAACTTAATAAGTTTGGCTTTGAACTCAACCGGAAGTAATACTGCTTACTTCAAGACCCTCGCTCTAATTTTTTTTTAAACTCCTTGAATATTACAAATGACTTCTCAGATGCATAATTGACTTTCGGTAGTCAACAAAGTGGAGACTGCGGCTTGTTATAGTTTATCTTCAGTGCAGATGGTTATGGTGCGGAACGTGGTGTGTCAATGTGTTCTTTAATATAGACAAAATTTTCGACTTTGCATTGCTCCTTTTCTTATACAAATATTTCAATAAGCTCACTTTTGATGCTGTCGTATATAATTAGTTACAACCTTATCGTTCTGACAGAAAAACTAGAGTCTGCGTTTGTCTTGGCTTCATCGTTTTTTAAGGAAATACCCTAGGCTTCCTTTTTTCTTTCACCCTTGGACATCCTTTAGTCATTATTTACATAAATATGACTCTCGAATACATATCACTAAAACTAGTCTTCTTCCGAGCTGTTACATTGATGATTTAATTACATTATATTAGGCAGATAAAGACTGATTACAATGACATCAATTTCTCCAGTTGTATTTAAAAGGTTAGAGCGATAAAGCAAGTTTATAGTTTATCGAAGTTAATGCAGAAGAGATGATGAGCATTCTGCGAGAATCTAGATCGGTGAAAAATATTCCTCTCCAACAAGATAAATGTTATGGATGTACTGCTTCTTTGACTAGACTAAGATCATTGATTCTTCTTCTTCTGAACTTCTCAACCAAGGTGTTGCTTCGTTAGCGCCCGTTTCTCCTCATCGAGCGGCACAGGAAAACCATTCCTTGTCCCCTACTTGAATTATTTTATGTTGTATTATTTTATGTTATATTTATTTATGTTTTACGTCATGACTATAATTTTCACTGCAAGGATGCATAGTTTCTTGTGAGAAAGATCTCTGGGAAGATTTTATTCAAGTAATGACTGAATGTCAGCCGTTACGTAGGAAAAATTTCAATTTCGATAGTTGAATTTCGCGCATTTGATTCATGCTAGCTTTCATCAGACACGTATAAAACATATTGTGAAAGAAACGAAAGATATCGTATTTTCTAAGCACTGTAAGACGATATGCTCAGTCTATAAAGCAAGCACATACTGTCCTGATTTAAGTACGGGGTAATTATAAATTCAATTGGAAGTTCGCAGAAGCATGTAACGTATAATTATGGGGGAAATAGTAGCGAAGAGAATACTAACATTGGCTATCTAAGTAGTGTTAGAGCATTAAAAGAAAAGCCGTGAAAATCGCCACAATGAAATAACAGCACAGTGCGACACGGTCATACAGAGTTGCTTGGCGTTTTCCAAGCGGCCGAGAATAGAAGTGATCCAGCGTACTAACCTCTCTACCATTACTTCACCTGCAGGCCTAACCAGCAACACCTCTATCAACGAGGAAAAGTTCGTTATACCTCCAGCTGATAAATATAATATTGGCAAAAATGAGTATTTGTAGCTTGTATTGGCTAGTATAGGGTGTCCTTAGCTTTTATTAGGATTGACATACATATTAGATTTTTAACTTCTGCCACTACCATCCCTTTGAATATCGTCAGTGTGCAAAACGTTTTCGGTATTCACTTGGCGTAGGCGCAATACGTCAGCCAGCGAGCACTGCACCAATGTGAGATATGCCATATAAAGAAGTAATCAGCTGAGTTCAGACTCCTAAGCTCCGACGAGATTGTTACAGAGTTTATAACTGCTCTTGATTGAAGTGGTCGAAAGGGCTATCATTCTTTTGTCCGATAGGCCATGGCAAGCGCAGGTGTAAGGGTTCGCTTTAAACGAGAGGACATTGATAAAATAGTAAGGCGTCAATACAACTTCAGCATGAAGAAGTTGACCTCAGAATTGTGCTCTTTGAAAAAAAAGGGGCTGTCTGCAGTATTATGACGGGCGAGCGCTTTCTTTAAAAGCGGCTGTATTTGGGCTTGAATCCGCACCACTTGAACGGTCCATCTCAATCGAATATGAATCCGACGAAACCATTAAGAATCTTGTGACGGCGGTAATCACACTTTTGTAAGTCTTTAAGTTAATCATCGAAAGTTATTCCGGTATTCCCACCGACGGATTATCAGAGGTGAATTTGGAACGGAATTTGCTAAAATGTCGAACAAGCAGTTCTGTATAGCTTTAGCATGACGCGTGCTACCCAACTTGCTGCGAACAAATATCATCTAGGCAAAACCTCAGAACGGACACCTGACGACGAAGCTTTTTAGCTTTCTAATGATAAACGAAAAATACAGATTCGTCTTTAAATGTGTCTCTAAAAGGTGTGCCAGTGAGTTTTGACGGTGAATACGGCAGACTGTTACCAAGTGTGTTATTCGTTTTTGAAAAGAAAATCCGCTGCAGTTAATAACAAGCTCTTGAGAATTTAATAGAAACCAAAAAAGGGATCTTCATTTTTATTAGCTTCCACCGCCATGTAAAATGGCCACCTGAGACCTCTTAAAAGATTTGATTAGCCGTTTGAATCTTTGCAAAAATTAATTAGAAGGCATCAGTACGAGTTTGTTTTTTTTCGAAGCCAACCGCGACCCGATTAAAGAGCACGCAGTCGTTTTAGGTTTCATGCGTGTTTGCGGCAAATTCTGTCAGCATGAAGAATACATTCTGGAAGAGATCGACAGAAACGTGGAGTAGCACCCTACGCTTCCAAAGAAAGGTACTGATACGTCGTATTTTCGTAAGACCATGCTTTAGAAAGCAGAGTGGCCGAAAGCCAGACGTTCATAGAAAATTTACCTCATTTCATTTTCCTGTGTTTTCCGCACATCTTTTAAGGAAGTTCTATCTTATCATCCGGAATGGAAAATCTTAAAAGCGACGAGAAAAGTATCAATGTATTATCCTATGCAAAGAGCACAAGCCCCGTTATGACTGCGATTAGTTAACTGCAGCCATCTACAAACTGAACTAGTTTGAACTTTCCACATGCTACTCGCCGACGAATCGTTGCTTTTCGGAATAATCTAGAGGCAGCCACGTTCTCCATTAATGAGAATGAATCGTGAACTCATATCCCATATAAAAACGGTGACCTGCACGACTTGCTCCGTTGTGTTCCACAATGAAAAAGGTACCAAAGTCGGCCGTTAGATAAAGTATTTTAAAAGCAAGTGTTTTTAAGGTACAATATATGTATGAGAGTGAGTTTAAATAAATAAACTTTTCGCGACATTTCCTCGTAGATTCTGTAATTTGAATTAGTCAATCTTTGCACAATTCCGTGACACATTGTTCTTATATATATGGATAAGCAATGTACGAATGAGTCTAAATTTAAAAAAAAAACGTTTAAAAAAATGAGTAAATTAACCTACGAGAAAAATTTGCATAAAGCTTTGTCATCATAAAGATCGTGTCAAATAAATTATTTGATTATTTATTATTATTATTTTCATTAAAATTTTCGTTTAATAAAATCATACTATCGTAGTAGATAAAGCTGTAGGTTCGTTAGATAAAAATCTTTTGGAAATTACATTACAGAATATTTGTACATATAAAGTATACCCTAAACTGTCGATAAAAAGGAATTACAAAGCAACCACCTAAGTAAATGCGTTAAATATTAGCGCTACGCATTGATTTAGGCGGCTGGTCCTTTTCGGCACGGATCGAAACCATACAGCCAAACAATTCGGCTTTCAAAGCATGTAAGAATCGAAACTTAACACAGGTCTTTTGTTGTATGCGTATATGTAGTTAACAATTAAGACATTCGATCTATTACGCATGTCGTGTTCCGTCGATATTCGAGCCTGCATTTTTATTGTAAACTGAAATGATGCGACGTTATAATAAATGGTTTAGGATACTGGAAAAATGTGGATTAGTACCCCTTTTGTGTAGCTTTCGTGACAGCTATATGAATACAGTAAAATCAGTTACAGCGTTATAGAAATACAATGTATCTTTAGAAACACCCTATAACCTTCGCATAGTCTGCTTGTGCACTTCTATGTTCACTTTTTTGATATTATAGAAAACCCTTTTTACATATTTTACCTTTTACAGTTAGGTTTATTAATTATTTTCAGTCGTTATTTCTAGCAACATATTTTTTCCTTAATATCGCTTGAAATATTAAACAATTCATCAAAGGTATTGAAACATTTTGTTGTCTTGTATGCCATTATTGCGTATAATTTTTCTTTGCATATCTATTCTCGACCACATCTAGAAATTATGGTTCCAAAATTTCGTTTTTCTTTCTCACTAATGTGCTTCCATAAGTTTGTACAAATGTGCTCGGTGTTTTCACAATGTCTCCCTTACCAGTCCAGTAGACGCCAGTATGGCTTAAGCGCGCGAAATTTGAAGTCCATTACTAATTAGGTAGCAGCCCACGATTTACCATCACTAGCGAGGTAACGTGCAGCTCGTCCTCCCGCGACCGCGAACGCCTATGTCCAGTCGTTAGTGTCTGTTATTGATTTACCGATGCCAACATATAAGCCGAATCGCAGAGTATATATCCAGAAGGGCCGTGAACAGTATTCGCTCTGCCTTTTCATACCCCAAGGTCTACACAAAATTAAAAAAAAAAAGACCTCCACAATTCATTTACTTTTGTTCACTGACGCGCGAAAACAATTTCAGGAACCTTTGCGTTTTTTATAATGATATCCTGACGATTATCGGATAGGGGAGAGCTTGGTTCCATTGAGTTACAGTAGTACAGCAGTTACACCTTGATCCAGTAGCGCGTAACGTGTTTACCGACTAAACTTACACGCAGTGGTCCAGGTTCGAATCCGAGCGTAGACACAATTTGTTTCGTATTGGAAACTAGCCGCCAGAAGTAATGGCTTATGATTTATATACCGGACGTATAACACGAAAAACATAGTATCACAGCTACTGTAACCGTTGTTCTAGACCGCGCTTGCGCTTCGTCTAGAACAACGAAATGCGGAGGTTTGCAATCTGAATCTGCTGAATGAAACCAAAATCTAGAGGTGTACGTAGCTCTAAATAGTGAAAAGAAAGGTGCGTAAAGATATATAGCGACGCGTGCATCATAACAGCGTGCGCAAAAAGGCGTTCGCATGCCGAGGGGACGCGATCGAGGTAAGTTCTGTGGTACCTCGTGCAACCTCTGTTGAGTATATATTTTGAAGAAGCTGGAACCTTCGCAAAGAATCTGGCCACGGTTCTGAGTTTGTGAAGTACCTTAAGTTATGTAGTAGTATGTAATAGTAGGTGCCTGGCTGTAAATAAAATCCTGGTACTAGCATAGTAAATTAAAGCTCCTGTAACCAGCGGTGCAAAATACTGTATTATGTAATCATGATCGATAACTTTGAAAGGTGACGAGTGATAGAACCAGAAAAATCATTACGTTAATGGGGTAAGGCACCTTACTTTTTGTATGATTTTGTCCAGAATAGAACCTGCTATAGTGCGGTATTTTTATTTACTATTTCCATTTTCTTGTAAGTTAAGGTAGTGGCTACAGAATTACTGTGGGAAAGCAAACATGTTTTTGGCGTCCACATAACCCGCAAAGTGACTGTCTAATTTTTACCAGTCTAATTAGTAGGTTACTGTTGATGGAAACTGGAGAAAATCGCTTGACTCGATTCGACTAAGTTATAAAAGCTTGTAATATCATAGCGTACTCATATATAAGGGTTCTATGAAAATGGCGGTATTCCATAATATATTTGGAACATCTGTTGTATTTGCATGTTTGCAGAAAAGAGAGGATACCAGTCGTAATAGAGAAAGAATAATAGAGACCAGCTATTTCTTCTGTTTACGAAATTAATAGTGGATTACTATTTTTTTTATTTCTAACAACAAAGGGGTTATTATATGAAAACAGTCTAGATCTATAACGGGGAAGTGCAGTTTTGTTGTCGGTATGGTCTAAAACAGGACCATTCAAATAAATGGTAAAACAATGTTTAGCTATATTCATGTAGGTTTTTATAAAAAAAAAAAAAAGTTTTAAGAAATGTATGTCTTACCTTAAAGACTAAAACCTAAAATTTGTTTACGTTTTGCTTCACGTGCGATTAGTCTCTACAAACATTTCTTACTGTATCGGGATAAAACTTGTAAAATGGTATAGAGAAAAGTATGTGGTTCTATTTGGTCGTAAATCGTAAATTTAAAATATTACGATCTCCAAGAGTGTGCTTTCAGGGATCAACCCATTACAGTCAGCTTAAGCTCTATTAATGGTCCCCAGAGCCAATTAGATGTACGCTATAAAGTATTTCTAAACGTGTGCTACTTAACTCTCCTAATAAGTATAAGCGCTTTAAGACCGTTATCATAACCAAAGATTTTCAACAATATCAAAAAATGATAACAAATAACAACAAAAGAAAATATTAATTCCATTTTATGTAATCCTCTAAGCTTTCGTTATTCATTTTTGTACACTGAATTTAAAAGAAAGGCGCAAACAAAACACTGCAAGGAACACATTTTTACACGCTGTGGACTTTTTCACTTAGACAGCACAGATGACCAGTACACGATGATTGCAAAGGTTTTAATCACACAAGTAGCTACAGACATCATGTAGATGGGACTTTACGACAGATATAACGGATGATGCAACATCGAATGACCCGGAGATACAAGATAAAGCTACAATAATTTCAAAAATATATCAATATACGAAGCGCGCCAACATCCTGTATGTAGATCGATTTCAGCTGGAACTTCCCCGTATAATAAAACACCGAAGACTTCTAGCGGAGGGAGCTAAACAAAGCCTGCGTGATTGCCAATGAAGTCATAAAATTTTCGTTGGTAAGATCAGTCGTGTTCTGACCTTAAGAAAGCAACCGTACTCGAAAGCCTCTACGCCTAGCCTACTGTATACGAATCTGTAGGTTCCTTTGGTTACACACAATTAAAAGTGCCCTCGGTTGCTATGCGGGTTCAGGTACGTGAAAGAGTCATCAGAAACAAACGTTTCTGTGATTTCGGTGTTCAGACACGTCAGATACGAAGAAACGTAGGCAGGTGCTTTCTGAAGATGCTAAAGCAGAGTTTCAGTAGCACTATTGTTTTCTACTTATTGTTTAACCACGAAGCGTCTAGTCAATTATTCATCACCGGAAAAATCTTTACCGTTAACGCAAAAGATAATGAGAGGAATAATCGCTAAGTTAGTTGCGACCCCGGATATGCTCTAATTGTACCTGGTACAAAATTTTGTGAAACAAATACTGATACAAAATACTTGTGAGGCTGATGTCATATGACCACGCCCGTTACGAAACAGTATGACGAAGCCGTTGGAAAGCAAATACGGGTTCTACATCGCGATAACACCGTGGATCGACACAATGGCAGAAAAAGGATGATTTTTAATGACCAGTGGAATGGCTGAGTGGCTAAATGGTTGCTATCCGCTTGTAAATCATTGTTAGAACTGGCTTTCTAATAATTTCATCTTATCTTTGAAAAGACCGCCGAACTCCTCAGATATCATACAGACTTTTTGTATGAAATCAAGCGTACACGCGCGATACTCAACTTTCAACATAGCAATGCTCAAACAAATTATGCTCACCATAATAGCTACTCCACTCCAGAAAATTTTTTCGGGGACGAAACAGAGGGAAAGCATCAAGGTCATAAAGAGAGGCGAATTGTATTGACATACAGCTTTGTCAATATAATTACACAATTATCATGTTGTAATAATATTTTCAAAGTGATTTTGCCTTCCAAACTTCGTTAACGCATTCTAAACTGCTCTATGAAATCCACAACGAACTGATAACAAAAAAATGAATGAAAACAGACTTACAATCAAAAAAATATTTACAACATAAGTCGTAGACTGGATTGTGCTGACACCGCTTTACCTTATTAAAGGGTTGCACTGCAAGCATTGCTGTAACCCATATTACAAAAGGATTATTTCACTCGATCGAAGTCCATTTAAAGTCTTCTAAATATATTTGTGATAGGCGAATCGCTTCCCAGGCCGCTTCCACAATCGGAAAATGTCGCGAGCGCCAGGTTAAGGAACAAAAACCTGAGTGGCAAGGATAAGGAAGAGACAGTTGGCTATTTGAGTAGTTCTGATAAGGACGAACAAAATTTCAGGTAAAGTAGGCTTAATAGAAAGTTCTTTTATGGCTCACCTTGCAAGCGTTTGTTAAAATCAATGAAAGTCTATGTAAGTTGTCAGAACTATAAAAAGACGCACTGTTCATCGCATCTTGGAAATCTGTTTCGTTAATTATTATGCACACCGTCCGTCTCTCGATGCCTGTCCTTCATTCGCTGACTTCAAAATGAACTACAAATAGGAGGTTAATGTACTATTTTCAACAATCACCGCTCGAGTTATACAGCAAAATTCAAACTTTTAGCGCAGCAGAACTTTGCTGTCTAAACCTCAATGATTGCGAGAAACCGTACAACAGTTCAATAACGACTAAGACACACTAATTCATTCAAAGGGGTTCTTTCGGTGTTTGCAGTCACTTCGCCTGACTGCGAACTTTAGCAAGCTAGAAAACGGCCCGTGAAAGACGTGTTAAAAGACCAACTATCTAAACAGTGCAGCATAGTTCCTAGCAATTTAGAACCACAAAAGAAGATAAGAAAGTAAATAGCCCCATGGTTTCTGTCACAGGGTAACACGATATGAATAACTTCTATCCAGGGAGAAGAGGATCCCTCTCACCAGAGGTACCGGAAGCACGAATTCCGGCCACCACAAGAAACCAGACGATAAAAGCTCTACTTCATCAAAAAAGGTGTCTAAGGATGATTCTTCTCGAGGTAAAGGACTTCCTCAAACCGCCTTATCTGGACGACATAGGCCCCCTCTTTGGAGACGTTTTGCTAGCCGTAAGCAGGCACCTATGCGTAAGAAAGATCCTTCTAGTTCTTCTGATGAAAGAAGTCTATCCGACCAGAAAAGTTCATCCCGCAAGAAGACTACTTCGGTAAGGGATATGGCTTTCTCAGAAAGAGATTCAATTGATTTAAGCTTTTCTAGAGAACAAGAATCATCGACATCTTCAAAGATATTTTCTGGCAAAGGAGTGGATGGCCGCGAAACGCTTGATCCTAGAGCTGCCACTGGTGAGCCCATATTTGTTTTAAACTACAATTTTGGGTTTAATCTAACATGGTGATATAATCTAATATATAGTCTTAGTCTTCCAACCCAAAAGATTAATCCGTACACTACCAATTTAAAATTAAACCATAACTGTGTGTAAAAATACTGGCCTGCTTCACAACAGACGTGAATCAGAAGATTTGGCTCGTCGGGTTTTTTGTCCAAGCTAACGTTCTCTAAATAACATGCTGGGACCATAACATTTGCCCTACTAAATGTTCCGCGCTTACTTCGTTGATGCAACGTAGCCGATTCTGTCTGCCAGATCGATATGTTTCGTTTGATTATCTAGAAAGCAAGAGGAAGCATCATGATTGACGATGTATAGGAGAATATCTCATAACCTATCTAGGCAGTACGTTTTGTGTTAAAAAGGGTAGCCAAACATTCCTTCTGTTGATTATGATATCTGAGTAGTCTTAGTCACGGCAGGGTTTTTATAGTATGAGTATTGTATTGTATATGGTGTCGAAGTTGTACTTCTATACCTATATGAAATAATAATCGCGGGTGGAAGACAGAGTATCATCTGAAAGCGATACATTCTGTAATAATAAAAGGCGTGTATAAAGCATACAATTCAGGACAATGCAGGACTCATTAGAGGAGGGTAGAGTAAAAATAAAAGTGTAAATTGTAGTTTCAACTACAATTCTACCGTTCTATGTTGTCATCACTTGTAAAGAAGGTGCGCCACAAGACGACGGGACTAGTGAGAATGGCATTCCACCACTACCGGCTCCAACAAACCAAATGTCTGCTGCAACTCCTGCTCAGACGGGGTCGTCGAGTCAACTAGGATCGAGAAGCCCTTCAGTGAGAAAAGAAAATGACGAAATTAGAAAGACCCGCAAAGTGACCAAGATGAAATATAAGGGTAAAGATTTGGAGACAAGTAGTACTTTCACTACTGATGCAGCTGAAAACAATGCATTGGTATCTCGAAACTACAAGTCGCTTATCAGTACCTCTCGAGCCCCTCAACAGCATCAAATAATGGCCACACCAAAGCACGATGACTGCGAAGCTGGTCTTTTACAAAGGATTCTGTAAGCAGTACCTACTAATTGAGTTCATTTGTTCAGGCTAAAATATGATAACATATATTTTGCGAGATATACGTAGTGATAATTCGCCATTTAGAAAATAACATAAATTTTCAGTTTATTTTTTTACTATTATATATTCATTACGCATAAATAGGACCACATCAACGGCAGATAGAATAATACTGTTCTAGTAAATCCTTGCATATACTGCGAGTTTTACAAGCTGTTTGCTACGGCGCCTATATGAAATAGCGTAGTTTTGTCTTGTCTAATCTTAATCTAGAAACCGTAACCGCTATTTTTGTTACACATGCACACTAAGTGTCACGAATGCGTACATCTTCTCTAATTTAAAGCCTATGTATTCTGCACTGGCCTATCCCTATCTGTCTAATCAATTCACTGTTAACAGAGTTGTTCATTCCTTACCATTGCTAACTCTAATGTTCTACCGTATAACGCCCCTTAAAGTAATATTTGGTGGGCCTGTCAGCTTATGCATTTCCCATGCATAGGCTAGGGTCCACTAAAGCAGCCTATCAGGCATTGCAAGACATAAGCACTTACTACAAAAGCATCTGATTTGAGAGATTGACTGCCCAAATAGATTTAGAACCACATGCCAGCGGAACTCAGTGATCACAAGCCGATTGATCGATTGACTAGTTTCGCTTGACCAGTGCTTTCCGCATAGAAACTGGCTCCTTAGCTAATAAATCGTTGTACTTTACAATGTCAACTATAATTTTCTGACTTTACTTACTTGATACATACAGCTGACGTATCGAACTCGGAATCTCTGTCGGTGAATTATCGGTGAAATAATAGATGAAATGAGGAGGTACCGAACGTGCAAACTGTTCGTAGGCACAACATTTTGGTCCCTCGTTTATAATTATGAGGCATATGTTTCCAAGATTGTGTGCCATCCGTACCAGATAGGTTTAAAATCTGCAGAATCTGCGTTTATTGCCGGCTATATTCGAAGCTATGCTGACATTGAATTAGACTGGTGATTTTTGGGACAAAACCATTGGGTCCACTTCAAAATTCGAATTCGCTTTAAGTTTAATATTAGTAAACATATAAATACACCAGCATGGTAAAGTATACCTCCAAAAACTTTCAGGCGCACGCTGTCAGCCTTGTAACCCATTTGAGTTCATTCAACATTGTTTAAATACCGAAATCGTCACTCCGTTCATCCGCAGGCGTCATAACCATTACCTTTGTGTGTAAGCTTATATCCTCCATATCATTCGCGCTTAACATTTTGGTGAACTTAGGCTACTTGGTGAAATACCGCGTGGTCTGCATTGCTAGCACACATTTTCACGCATTGCCATAGTAACCAAGAAGAGTAAACGCAAAGCATAGCGTCCTACATTGGTGCTTCGGATCTAAATGTTGGCAGATCGTGAGGAAATATTTTGAGAAGTATGTCGGGAGGTAATAGATACGGGAAGTGCCTATGTGATTGCCCTGCTGCCTCATAAGTTTGTTAGATAAACGCCAAGTAAATCCAGCCTGATTCAGAGGAATATTTCTATAAAGTGTCGATTGGCGTCACTGCAGTATTAGTTCGCAACAGCTATGCTTAAAAGATCTTGAGACAGGTCATGCTCAGAAGGTTTCAAGGCATCTTATCGCCTTGAGCAATACAGAAAGCGAATCTTGCTGGCCTAAAAATTGCTCACCAGTTTGGAGTACGTAATCGACTATCGAAAACACTTCTAAAGTGCACATATCCCTCTGTAGACATATAGAAAGAAAGGACACTATAAACCTTCCATCTTCAAGAATTTTGCAATCGTTTGTTTTATTGCTGAATGGTTCAGAGAACTGGAAGTTCCTTGACAGATAATATTGCGAAGATATCTTTTTTTGTTTTTGTTTAACCTTTAAGATCTTGAGGCAATTTCAACTGTCTGAAAAAAGATTCTACTTGCAAGAACATGCGTATCGCCTTAAAAACATCTTCTTCTGAACCTTGTAAATATACAAAATTTTTTTAACCAAGAGGTATGAGTCAAGCTCTAACGAAATAGATTGGAGGCTACAGAAGGCTGGAGTTCTGTAGTGACACTTCTTCACTGAGCTTACTCGGATGAGTTTTAAGCTCTACCAGATTGATCTTATTCTGATTACCCGTTTACGGTTAACAGGTACAATTTCTTACTGGACATCCCATCAGGTCCCAACCAATGCTCGGCGTAAGCTGCAAAAAACAACGCCGCGTAAAGTAACCATAAATATATAGTAAGTCGAAACTAGTCTGTTGAGTAAAAGGTGAGTGTGGAACTATTCTTAATCACAGGTATTCAGTGTCTCACCCTGTCATATTTCAGGCATGCTCTTTCTGGACCGGCACCGATCTTGAGTAGTCCGTTCCCCCGATCAAGTAAGAAACGTGCACGCCGTGTGCTTATTGTTGTAGTGTTCACATAGATCGTACTTTGATTTTATAGAAATTGTTCAAATACGTTGATAGCTTTATTTCTTAGTCGCAACCATATACTCCAGCTGGCAAAGCACATCGTTTTTTTTGAGGAATAAACGAATTTGCAATAGTTCAACTGAAAGATTTATCCCCATCACCCAAAGAATGCGTTGCATGCTATAAAAGCACAAAAATACGATTTTAATAAAAACGAGCTTGTTTTTTCGACATCTTAACAAATCTCCTGAATTTTCTTCACAAACAAAGGCTTTGTTCATTTTTTTAGTATCGCAGGCACTGTCACCCCGACCCCTCCCAGAACTACTTTACCGAAGACATGAAACAGTCGAGGATGACAATGCGAGACAGCCGGGAAGTTCCTTCCTAGGAGCTAGAAAAATTCTCCGGTAGGTATAGAGGCAATTAACTCTCGTCTTTGAAGCAAGCTTGTCTGGGTAAACTGCACTGAATGTTTTCACTTGTCTTTGGATTTTCTACTGTTAAGCAATTTTAATTTTCAATTCTGCTTGATCATTGACGACGGCTCCAAAACAATTTATGAACTGCTTCGAAATTTTCCAAGAAATCTGTAATTTTAATTTCATATTTTTCTTACATATTAATTAAAATCTCATTTAGAAATGATTTCTGTCAATGTTGCAACGTTGTGAAGCAACTAGAGTACAAAACATTCGATTGTTTCGTTAAATTAGTGATATTAATTAGTTATCAAATACTAAGTGTCTATTACAAGCCGTGAGAACGGATGCGATCACAGACGTTCTAAATAAGGGCTTAGCGTGGCTCATGTTAGAGAACCATTCGTTCATTAGTCGGTCATATCGATACATTACTATTGATGAATGTACTTACCCTAACGATAAGTTATAAAGATAAAAAGATAAAAGATAAAAAAAATTCGGACTAACATATTATGGCTTCACTGTTGACTATTTTTGAGTTTATACACCTTTATTAAATATATATGCCGCTTCTCAACAACGAGCTTACTATAAAGCATCGCCCGTCATCGAACTCATCATTGATACGTTTAGATACTTCATCATAAGTTATTTGGCAGTACCAGTAAATGCTTATGCTCTTCAACTGTGTTTGAGTAAACATTTTATTTGCTACAATTCTATTCCATGACTATTATTGTACCTTTTCCCGCATACAGAAAATCTGAACCCACTTAATTGAATCTTTTATTATCGAATTTATCGATTATAGAATTATATTAACGGTATTTTAGATTGAATTATCTTAGTTCTGGCTTGCTTCCTTTATAAATAAATGAAGTGAAAATTTCAAGTTATTTTATTTGCTCTATGCCTTAGATCTGAATCTCATCAGGTTTAAAATAGTCTCGTTGTTTAGTAATAGTAATAATGAAAATTCTAATTCCGCGAAAAAGTAACTAAATGTTGCTGGTATTGAACTGATATTAAGTGTAATTAGTTTTGAAGTAATTCCTTGTGTAACCAACTTTGAATGGCCACAGAAAATCTTGTCGCTATAAAAGGACCTCAAGACCAGTGTCACGGGATAAGTCGAAAAGGATCAGATTTCGGACAAAGGTGAGTTAAGCGAATTATTGGCCTATAAACCTGTACATGACGAATTTATTGCACCCTACACATGGTAAAGATGGAGGTAAATGTTTGAAGTTTATATTGTTTATTGATAAATATTTCCTTAAAATCTACGAAGCTAATTTTCATTTTATCACATAAACTCATCGCCGGTTTATCACTTGAAGACTTCCATTTTTTAACACACATGTAATGTAAGTACGTACTTAAGTAAATGAAAAGCGAGCGGCAGCTATAGCTTTGCAGTAGTATGCACAGAAGACCTGATTATGCGATTCAAGTCGCTTAATTTTTACCATAAGATGAGGACCATAGGTGGTCGAAGATAAATACGCTCCAGTATCCTTTTAGTAATTTTCTATTCTTCCTGTCAGAGCAACTCCTTTTGCCCCTAGTTCACCAGTGGCCGCCGAGTGTCCTTGGTACGATGTGCAACAGCTTTTGCGGATGATGCAGGTGGCAGTGTAGTTTAGTATAGAGGCGATTTAGCAGAATAATTGCATCTCGCAATTAAGATAAGTCTCTAGCCTTTGAAGATCAACAAGACTGCGTTAAATGCCAGATACGGACGAAGTCAATTTTTTCGAATATTCAATGAAAGCGAGCAGCAGATGACTAAGGGCATCCTGAGCATGAGTAATCAAACTTAAGTCATTCTCTTGGAAAATATTTTTTAGTTGGAGCTTTGAATCCTTCACTTCGAGTTAGTGGGTATAAGTTGTTCAAGCAAGGTTGCCAATAAATTATTTTAAAAATTAAAACACGCCATAGACATCATTTCGCTGAAAGTGCTCGAACAGCGTATAAATGGATTACTGTTTCAACACAGGAGTCATAATACATATTCGATAAAGCTAATAGTATGCCAAATGAATTTGACTTAATTCTTCCTTGAAAAATAAAACAACCCCTAGTAAACAGTATTCCGTTTAGCTGATATTATTGCATGCCTTTGATGGTCTCGATATGTTTTGCATCCCACGTATCAACTGGTCTGGTAGATTCGCCACCAACCAGTTAAGGTTGAAATTATGCTTCGACGGTAAACATATAACATTGGTTAACAGAAAATATATTTATCAACATTAATGTCTTAATAATGCCCTTGTCGTATACAAACAGGCGTACAAGATTTTTAATTTGTATAGTAATTATTGCAGCAAAGGTTTATTACTCCCGCGTAGAAGGGGTATTTGATTATAAAAAAAGTACTTTCTCTTCTCAAAAAGGTCCTTCATTGCATGGATAAATGGGAATAATCTTCTAATAAGCATGAAGATAACCAATAGGTAAATTTGCCGGACAAGTGCATAAGTGCACTCTACAGCTTCTTAATAAAAACAAAAAACTGCCTTCCTTAGTCAGGCACATACATCTGTTTGATCTTGCGTATATAAACTAAAGAGGATGCTAAGTTTCAAAGGAATTAGAATAATACAGCAATACACAAATGACCCTAGAATACGTCTTGGATCGATGTGTAAGTAATAGATGTTTGTTTATTACTTATAAATGTAAAAAAAACGGTTATAAAAGTGCGATTAACTAAAATCGTTGACATTAGGCGGATCTGGTGCGCGTAATTTCTCGTTCGCCTTCTCCCAAAGCGCAATCTGAACCTCCACGAGAAAATCGGCGAAAATTACTGAGAATGATGAGAGAAAGTCAGGCTGTTTACGAGGCATCCCAATCAGCCTCTACTGAGGTTAGAGCTTTTCTAAATATTCGCAATTGCAACGTATTGGTTATGAGTTAAACTTTCACGCGTAAGTCCTTGCAGGTATGCAATACACCATATACTTTGCAGTAGCAATTTAGTATTCGAATAGCCAAAGAAATTCAGTAGAAAACTGGATTACCGTGTGCATAAATAGAATCTATCTTGTAAAAATGAAGGCTGTGCATCGCTTTTTGTTAGCCTGCCTGAAAGGCATTGAAAAATGAAACTAGGCAATGTAAATTGTTATAGGACTATGATGAGATGTGCAATAATTTGCAGGATGTCGCGTTGCGTCATCCGTATCGCACCTTAAAGGAACATTGTACGAGACAATTATGATACTTTCCAATTTTTTATTGTTAGGAATTACTTAAAATGATTTTTCTGACAGGATGCCTTAAAAAAATAAGTAAAAGAATAACTTTATTCTTTCAGAAGAATGCGTGTAGAAACGGTTTTATAGTATTTTTGAACAATAAGTGGTTATCTACCTACCTTATACAGATAATTAGCAAATTGACTTTTCTCTTTGAACAACTTACATGGGCGTCTCCGTACGCATCGATTAGGAACGTCGTAAGGAAGTGCAAAGGAAGGCTAATGAATATACGAAGCATCGGGTGGCTTCACCATTACTGGATAGAGCGGATGAAACTGTTGATCTTCACAGGCCAGATTCAGGAGCGCTTCAGATGGTTAAAGAGAAAAAGAAACATACGCACGCTCCACGAAAACACGATTAAATCTAGAGGTGAGCATTGTAATTTTATTTAGTCTCGAGTGTAGTAGAACGTTTTTTCTTCAATGACCTTGCTCTTGCACAGAAACATCGTTTGATGTGAGATAAAAACCAGTTTGTTTGCTCAAGGGTGAAACAAGTTCCTAAAGCAGAATCGAAAGTCTGACACATTTAAATGTGTTAGCCAAAACAATCATTTTTAATTTTTATATATTCGTAGAACTTGTGTATGGAGATCTATTTCTATCACATAAGGCCAAATAAACGTATTGTACAGTTAAGTGTACACTTCAAGAAGCTCTTATTTGATTCGCTGAAGTTCTTACGATATGGCAGAACGGGACGCTGGGATAACTTGTGGAAGCTTCTAATCTATGCAGACGCTATTGATGCCCAACTATCTCGATTGGTTGCGTTTTAGTCAACGCTGGAACGTGAAAATAAACATACACTTGATTGCGTAAGACGCAGAAACAGAATTTCCAGAAACAGTGAGTATACATTTATCTTTATAGTTATATATCTAAATGTATACCCACAATTAGATAGCTGGTTTTAAAGGTCAGCGTACAAGCTAAAAACATCTCTTTAAAGCATTAAAAAAAAGCATTTTGTTTTGGTTTTGGCTGTTCAGTTTTGGTAATATCTGGTTGACTTGAAATTCTTTAGTCTAGATCACGTAGTCAGATTACCGATACTTGTGTGAATCATCCATATACTTATCCTCCTCCATCGATAGTTACTTGACGTTGAAGTCAGTTCATCACTTAACACATGAGAAACGTCTGGGCGTTTTTTAGTGATTCCATTACATTTACGGAGAATCTGTTCTTGTTAGTGTAATCGACGGCAATCGTGGTATTACGAAGTGTGCCATATATATAATATATATATATATACGTATATAATATACGGAGGTACGATCTCATCCTTAGCATTGCCAACACCAGCTACGTTCTAAAGTTGGAGATCGGGCGGCGCGCATAAGGCTACAAGCGAAATGTCTTGCGACGTTTTGGTCACATGGAGGTAACTCCTGCAGGCCGCGCTCTGTGCCACGGTGATCTTATCGGTTTTATCAGCATCACATTTATCTTGGAAGAGCATTACCGTTTTCTACGGGCTGTTGGCAAACACTCATGTTGAACTGAAATGCACTTTGTCTTATGCTAGTCAATAGAAATCACTTTATTCCAGTCAAGTGATTTCTATGAACTAGCAATTCTAAAAATCACTTTACTGGAATAATCTTCTAATGAATTAAATTAGCTAGGGATTTGACAATACAAATACATTTTACATAAAGCCGTGTTAACTCAACAAATTGAATAACGCCGACTTGGAACCGAAAGGCTGCGTGGAGCAATAGTAGAGATAGCTGGTGCTTGGGTTCGTCTCCTTCGAAAACTACGTGTAAATGTGCCCTTTTTTTTGTAGCCTTACATGTCATATAAATTAACTTTAGGCTTACTTTTCATTTGATGTCGCAGGACTCCTTTTTATTAAATATTTTGCTTATTCAGTTGACATGAAAGCGCCGACCAGTTACGCCGACGTACATATATGTACGCGTGATATATACACGTAATAAGCATGTTCATGCACGCATAGCGTTACCGTAGCTGCGTCATAATATACAGTGTGATCTCTGGCCTAATTGCTATATTTTCAAATATTTTTTAAATGCCTTTATGAATATGTAAAATCATATTGTGGTCGTCGTCTCTTCTACTTATGCATAGGTACGTCTCTAATTATGCCAGTATGACGTGTTTATATAAAAAAAAAAACAGTAGCTTTTAAGCTACTGTTTCATATAAACACCTCAGAAAGGTGCAACATATCGCGGGTTTGTTTACGGTTTGTGAACTTAACTAGCTAAGCTTTACCAGGAATATAGGTATGTAATATCTTAGTCGTTTCGCTTGAGAAAATTGTTACATTAGGTGCTTAATAATTTTTGTCGGTATACTCGTTACAGTTACCCTTGAAGCCTATCATTAGGGATTTCGTCGGTAAATCGCCTGAGCAGATTGGTTGAGGACCATGACATCGCCAACAGGTACGTCTACGTAGATCTAATCAAACGGTTATAGCTAGGGCGGCCCAACAAAGAGCATCGAATGTGCTAATGGAATACCGTGGTGGTGAGCCCGAAGCGAAAGTGGCTATATTTCTTTAATGCATTTTCACTGAAGATGAGGTTCCTTTAGCGTTGAGTGAGCGTGCGAGTTATTAAGTCGTCATTCTGGGTGCGGTTTTGTGTCGAAATTATTTGAGTATCTTCTTTCTTCTTCAAAACAAATTGTGCATCAAAGGGACAATTATTCCACAATTATTATTATTCAAAACCAAGATACTTTTTAAAAAATAATTTACGTCCAGTCTAAATTTTAGATCATCGTATCTATACTTAAGCGTGTTCTGTTTTCAAACACATATGTATTCTTAGCTTCTTTTTCTAATTTGAGCATTCATTTTAATCGAGTGCTTCTTAATTTTGTAGGGGTCGCAGTCGTTTTTATAAAAGGATGGACTTGCAATTTTTTCTAATGGCAACCGCAACACTAACGTTGAACCTGAAGTTGGTCGTCGCTTCGTAATTGGATATCTGAAACGTTCAAACAAGGACGCCTTGCGAACCGAAAGCCTTGGCTATATTTTTGCCAATAAATGATCCTAATTGTAAGTGAGCTGTGGCGTGGTCTGTGTAAGCCGAGCAATAGACGAACAAATTCTGTAGGTTGTAAGTAAGTGTGCAACCTAGTCTGGCGGATAGTTACTGCGACGGTTTGTTAACCGGTGTTGCAAAAATAAATGAGAGCTTAAATAGGATACCGAGCGCATGTGTTTTTGATAATTGTGTCGTCAAAGCTATCTCTCCATATGGATTCGAATCACTTAATGAAATGTGATAAAAAAAAATTAAAAAAATGTAATAAAAAAAATTTAATAATTTCACATCATTGTTTTTATCAACAATGATGTGAAATTATTAAATTTCACATCATTGTTTATTCGAATAAATGAAAAAAAAACAGCGTTTCTAACATATCGTTTACCAATAAACCAAATAAAACAGAAAAATAACTTTTTTTTTTTACTGCGTAGGGTCTTGTTCCTTAGACAAATAGGCAACTTAAAAAAGCAACTGTATACTATGCGGTAAGCTAATGGTTAAGTTAGGTGAAAGCGATTAATATAATGGCGGCATTATTCTGTGCACGTAGCCACGGCTGCCATCCTCACGAATTTAACGTTGCGTATGGACACATGAGATGCACAAAATTAGGAGCAAAGGAAGATGCACTCGACGATGAACCGACGGTAGCTTGATTAGCCCGGGCTGGGTTTTTAACGATGCTCATCTATAACTCAAACTAAATATGAATCCGGCCTAAAGACAACAATCGATACAGTTTAAAAGTGATAAACATATTTAGTCAGTTTTCTTGTTTTTTTTTTAAATTTAATTTAATTATTTTAACTTATTTTAAATAAATAAATGAATAAATAAATATATACTATGTAATTAGATATTTTGTTAGTTTTAAAGCTTTGTTATAAAGCATACAGACGCTAGCAGATTCCCTATAGTGTCATCCGGTTTTTAATACGGCGGTCTACCGCTTTCTGCAAAGGGAAAGCGCTGCCCGATGTACTGCATTGCTTAGCATGATCGTCACTGCCTAGGTCGAATGTCATGACGCCTGTAAAATATTTAAATATAGAGATATCTTACTTGTCTCATCAGAAATGATGATTCTCTGATGAGAGAAGGTTTCATCAGATAATACTGTCCTAATAAAAATTGTTTTGTTATAGTATGTGCCATTGCAATATGATGTTATACTGACAGTTACGCCTGAACGAAAATAGATCACGTATTGAAACAAACCTCGTACTGCGTATAAGGTATTTTCGGGAAGAGAAAACTAGGGGGCTCAAATTGTCTTCTAAGGCATAACGTTTTACACAAATCTGAACAACACATTGCCATTATCTTTAAGAAATGAGCGAAGTGGAAGGGTTTTTTGGTATAACTTAACGATCTGTGGCACTAAATAACCATACGCTTCTTCCAAGCTTCTCAGTGGCTCTGTTTAATATTTAGTGTTAACATACTGAATTTAGCTGTGCTTCTTTCTGATGTAAATTGCCACTTAGCACATCTTAGATAACAGATACATATAATACATGGCACAGAAGCAATCGTAGATACATGACGTAGTGCGAAGAGTACGATATCCTGGTGGTCCGAGTCAGGGCCGTAATTGCAGGATTTCGACAAGATTTCGCATAATGGAATTAGGTCATCACATAAGATGCTGTTGATTGCTTTAACAGAGGACGTTGAACACAGTGTATTTTTCTTCTTGATCATATCGAAGTGTGGCACAATCTAGATTTCTTTTGAACTAATTATGCCATCCGTCTGCTGTGCAAAAAAACTATTAACAAGGTCGAGTATGACGATTTCTGGGACACGAAGAATGCACCGGAGACTATTTGTACTAGTCACTCCGTTTAGCTAGTGTTTTGGTTGATTGTTGAAAAAAGTAGCTATTAAAAAATTAGTTCTCGAGGCAATGTAAGCAAATTCGTGGGTCGTTTTCTTGCTACAAAATATAGCGCTACACAACGCAATAGCTTTCGCGGCGCGCACTACATATATTCTATGCTATACGATTTAGAAAGCGAGCCCGCACAGTTGAACATAACGTAAGTTCTATGCAGCAATTTTCGTCAGATCGGTGTATCGTTGTAAACCGATTTTGATGCTAATAAAAACAAATTCTATCCCCCCTTACAGGAGAAACACTGCCTGTGAGTATGGTTTAAATGGGAGAGTGGCATTTCGGCGTTGATGGTACCATTCTGTCTTGCTATGGTCAGTAAGCAGCAAAATCAATCAGTTTTTGTTCTGCTAATCTCAAAATAATTTCGTGGGTGTAGACATTTCACATTTAACAGGATGCTATCAAATCACGTTTCGAACCTTGGCAAATATTACGCGAAGTAATAAGTTTAGGCAAAAAGCTGGCGAAAATCAAGAGCTGGCCCGGCAATGAGGACCTAGTCTTGCTGAATGAACTTCACTGGATATCCTCTTACCTTCAACAAGTGATGCCTTATATTAATCAATAACCCTGGAACTGATGCATAGGGAGGACGTCCTATAGATGACTGAATCTAAATCTTCTCGGTCGAAAATATAGGAAAAATTGTGAAGATGCTTTAGAGAGCATGATGACAGTTTGTGTTAAATGTCCAGTCGAATACAATACCCAGTGGTTGGGCGCATGTTGGCCTCCTTTTGGTGAAACCATGCTAACTTGGATCTAGATGATCCAATGACACAAGCAGTGGAGTATGGTACCCATCAAGATGTTTTCAATAGTGATAAAAGCTATGGACTTTTAGGCGATAGCTCTCGGGTGCTCTGCGCAATTTCTACTTGTGTGGAGCTATTGACACTTTTACTCAAGATATCCAGGTAAAGTTTCACCATCTTGAAAAATCGTGGCAAAAATAAGAGTTAGGCCTTAGGCTTCACTTCCAGTCGAGGCGTGCTTTTGAGCACTTAATAGTACCATTAAAACCTGTGCAGTTGTGAACGCGAATGTTGGGCATCGGCCCGTAAGGCGCGGCATGTTGAGATTTAAGATAAATGATTAAGAATTAAGGTTCTAGTATTATCAGCTACCAGAGAATCACCGGTATGAAGAAAAGCAGTGCCATCACCACTCAGATTCAGTCGGCTACCACGAAGCATAAAGAGCTCTTTAGGCGTTTGATATCCATTTCATATGAAGTCGAGAACGAACTTGGAGTAAGTATCTGGAGTACACAGCAGTTGAAGTGGAAGAGATATTCGTATATATATATATATATATATATATATATATAAGCGGTTAACTATGACATACGTGAGGAGCATGCATGCGTGTAAAAATCGGAAACTGATGCACTTTTACTGTACCAGCTAGTACCACTTAGTGTGACTCCGACACCTAGAAATCATTGTTAAATTTGGTGAGTGGTGTGATCAAAATTAAACACAATTTGTAAGAAGAAGGCTTGAATTACTTTTACCTCCAGTATCTGTCATTTAAGAAGCTCGTGAAGATATTCTCTGAAACCTGCGTAGTTGTTCTATCCGGCTCAAGTGCTCTGAAGAGTTGTAGCGATGAACGTATCATCACTTGTCAGTAATCACGTTGCCACTTCGAGTTTTAGTTAGATCTGTCACCTTTTTCCTATGTCCTCAAGACACATTAGATGCTACTTGAACGAGAGTTTGGAGAACAATAAAGTTCGCTCAAGTTTCTCGCGTAAGAACTATAAGAATTATATGAACAATTTGATTCCCATAATACGGACGTAAATAGAATGAACTACATCAGAGACAGTAGTGTCTTTTAATAGACGCGCGTTTATATTTCAGCGATTCATTTTGTGGTCCATTAACGCACATATTTTTTAATTATGTATATTGAAGTTATTACGCATGATTTTAATGGCGTTAGGTTAGAAAATTCAGATTTCTAGAAATGTTTCGAACGCTATTTTACATATAATGTTTTTAAAATCCAAGAAAAGCCTTTCATTTGCCCAAACAGCCTCATTAATCGATTCTCGAGTCATATGCGGTTGAAGATTAGTTCGTTGCATAACGTGGCCATATTATGCGCATATTAATGAGTGCATATAGGTTTACCAATTTAGGAGATAATTTTCTTTGACCTAGTTAAAAACGTGCAACGGGGAGAGTGCTTTGTATGGATTCTTTGCCCATATTGGTAGTGTTAAGTGAACGTATCCAATCGTTCTGAAGATATAGAGTGTAACGATTGTCACTTCATGCAGATGGCTTAGCTGGCTAACCTAGAGTCGAATACACGGAAAAGTCGCGCAACTGATCCGTTGGCCCATAATCGATACTAAGCACGAGTAGAGCGAGAACCGCTAGTGGACATGCTACGGCTTGCAGATACATTAGCGCGATCGAGATATCGGCCCCCATATCATGCCTATTTTAATGTTTAGTGATTTTAATCGTCAGCTCGATCACCTGTTCTTCGAGACATTCGTCGATTCCCCCAAGAAAAATGCATAAATAATGCTATCATAAGCTGACGTGCCTGACTGATCAGTCCTCTTGCCCCCTTAACTCCGATCTCCGAATCAGACTCAAAAGGATGATAGTCTATTATAGAGCCTTTAAGAGTAAGTTTTATGTTTACCATGATTTCTATTTGAAACGGTGCATACGAAACGTAGAGACAGAAGCACCGTAAATAATCTCAAGAAGTAATCGCAATAAATTGCAAATCTAAATAAATTGCGACGAGTAACACGGTCTTCCTTTATGGACGCATAGTACGAAATATATTTACCAAAAAATAGATTTAACTATTAATAATTATTGTATTAACTTATTACAATATTAGTAAGATTACGACCGTAACCTTAACTTCTACACAAAACCTTTTCCCTCACGATTACGTCCACTCATCTTCTCAGTGTATCTAGAGAGGTTTCCTGTGAAACGCAATCGGTGAATCTTCGTGCCTTTTTGCAGTCCGTGTGCTCAGCTATCCACTTAACTTGCGCTGTGCCGGAAGTACGACACGATGGCTCTTCATAATACTATTGACGTGACAAAGCAAGAATTTTTTTATAAGGCCACCGAGGTGTGATTAAGTAACCTCTTATTGAGGGCAAGTAATTGTCGGTTAAAACTGAGATAAGGAGGATGATAGTCATATCCTTGGGTAGTATCTTGTCACAAAAAATAATTTGTTTCATGTATTAATCAGCATAATTAGTTT